ATAAATGCTCTTCTGTCAGCTTCACATACTGAGTGAAGCTAATAACAGAAGATGCATTCTATATATTTAGAGATTATTTTGAGTCTCACTGAATAGTCAGTGCTAAGAGTGAGATGAGAATCAAGACAGTTGCAGCAGTGAGCTGATGTTTAATATTTATCTGAATATGTGAAACTGCTACACTTCTCATAATGTAGAAGCTGTACACAGTTTCTTTTCATATGAAAGCTGTGATATCTTGTGCAAATTGAGATCTTTGATGATTTTTTGATTTTATTAATCATCATTGAGTGACTGAAAAGATGAAGTTTGTTTGAAAAAAAATATACTTCAGAGATTCATACTTCAATTCAGATGTACTCTTTATGCAGATTGAGGTCTGTGAACTTCTTTGTTCAGTGACAATGAATGATTGAAATCTGATGAGTGATGTCTTAAATCTCAGAAAAAAGCATCTTTTCTAACATTGAAATCTGAGTGATATTCTATCTGTCAAAGCTGTATGTTGACTTTTTGATTCAATCAATTATAAAAAAGATTCAGAATTTCTATTGTTTAATAAGACAGTCATCTACAGCAGCTTTCAGCTTATTTGCATGTTCAAGAATGAAGACTGTCTTCACTGAAGAGAAAGTAGTCATAGTGATTTCTGATGAGCAGTATCATACATTAATAATTCAGATCAGATCAGAGATCATGACATGTACTCATTCATGAATAGTTTAAGAGTCTAGATCATGAGCAGCATATGCTGCAGATAGTTTAATCATAACTCATTTGTCTTTCTGTTCTTGATGCAGAGAACAATTAATCTGCTGTATCTGCTTTTTGTGAGATTGTCTTATCACTGAAATAATCTGAGAGAAATTGTTTGAGAGAATCATCTTAGCTGTCACAGCAGTAGCATATATCAACATAGACTTTGATTCAACAGTGAGGTTTTTAATAACTTTGACTATGCTGTGTTCCATGGCTTGCCTTAGTACAGCAGTCTGATGTGGTAGAGAGTTCTCATAAGTGCATAGTATCAGATTCAGTACTGCAGATAGCTCATTGCATAGCTCAAGCACTGCAGCTAGCTCTGTAGAGAAGGAGTTGTTTGTATGACTCAACAGAGCATTGAGCTTATAATTTGCTGTGAAAGAGGAGTTCTTCATGGTTAGCAGGACTGCTTGAGTGCAGTCAGTCACATTCTCAATGGATTCTCCTCCTGGTGAGAGGGCTGGGTGGGGATTGAAGTTGATATTGATTTGATGTAGTTGAGCTGTGGTGGCTGTTGTAGTGTCTGACACATCCTGGGACATGTTGTTTTGGGGCTGGGGGGGATCATCTGGGGGTTTTAGCAGAGCAGAGGAGATTGCGCGGGCTCTCTTCTTTTCAGAGCAAAGAGGAGCCTTGGTGATAGCAATGTCGCTGTTGTTTTGGCTCATCACGGCGTGATGGTGCTATCACATTGTTATGTTGTCCCGGTTGGCGTTTAACTTTACGGTTAGAACGGGCTTGAACGGTGTTGACACGTGACGGTGAGCTTCAACACAAGCTTCCAAAGTCTTAGACCTCAAACAGCCTTGAGACTCTCAGGCACCAACGGCGCAGTTCTTCTCATTAAGCTCCTCAGTTGCTACACGGCAACTTCGTCACTTGAGCCAGCCTGCAGGCCCAGGCCAGTCAAACATACGGTCTTTTGTCGAATCTTGCCGCACCCGGCGGCCAGTCTTTCACATAGGTGTCGAAATCAGCTTGATATGGGCAACTTCGGAATTCTTGAAGGGCCAAGTAAGGACCACGTAAAGGAGGGTCGACCTTATAGGTTTAGCCACGAGGGTTAACCGGAATAAAAGGTCCCGTCTCATTCACATGTCTCGGAAAGGAACTGTGTATCAGTACCACTACCCAAGAATCAACTAGCGGCATCCGCATTTTGTCCCGTGCTGGGGTCATATCACCTTATTCTTTAACGTCTTTGACAACTACGTCTCGTTTAAGGTCTACGCCAACGACACACCTCCTAAGCTACTTATATCGCTCCGGACTGGTTTGACATTTGGATTGCCGAAATAAAGGACCCATTGGACGAGTCAACGTTTTTTTTTTCATGCTGCATGTCATTTGGAACCACGAATGAAGGAGAATATTTTTCAACTATCACAAATCTCGGGGCTGTCTCCAGTGAGCCCTTTTCCTGGTTTAAGTGTCAGTTAAACCTCATAACCTCTGCATCTGACGCAGAACAAAGAAGCTTGAGAATGAAACATTGTATCTCAGCTTCATACAATAATCATACTCCTCTCACCTTTGTAGAAAAGATCACCAGGAAGGAGCAATATTTGGCCCTCAATTTTATACTATAAACACACCTCAGGAGTGGATTAACATCATGTTTAATCATCTAGGGCTTTTCAAAGATGTTCTTTGTCCTGAGGGCAGCCGCTGTCTGCTCCTAAATTGCATTTTCTCTCATGCAGACAAAGAACCCGTCCCTGTGCCTGTTGCTCCTTTGCCAGCTTCGACTCCTGTACCCGAGAACGTAGCTCCAGCTACTGCTGCGGATGAGGGACCTGTACGAAAGCGAAGGCGAGTAGACGCTACAACTGATACTAAACCGCCACTTCCATCCAGTACTAAAACGGAAACAAAATCAGAAAATACACGAGATGTGGTTGTGAAAGAGCGTCAAGAAAATGGAAATTCAACTTACCACTTGTATCGTGAAAATGCTCAAACTCTACGATCTGTAACAAAAGCAGTTTCCCCGCCTCCAGTTTCTCGTCGATCAACATCCGAGGTCTCTCAAGGAAAGACACCCATCTCATCGCGCTCCGATACCGTGAAGCCAACTGCTGTGAAAAATGGGACTACTTCTCACCGGAGACAGGTGAAAAAGGAGCCACTAAACCCGAGAACCATTTCTAAATCTCCTGCATCGCATACAGTTCGGATGGCCATTCTTACCAAGTTGCATAATGCCATGGTCAAACTCAATAAACAAGTTATCGAAAAGGGCGACCCGTCCAAGAAAGCTCTCATTTTGTCTGCTGATGAGGTCGTGGCAATGGCCTTGGATGAAGAGGAAAAGGCAGCAAAGGACCATTATTCTGTATATGCCAACGTTATCAAACTCCGTATTACAAAACTCATGAAGATGGCCAGAGAAGAGTGGGAAGACAACGTGACGAAATATATTGTTACGAAATTCACCCCGCCAACATCGGCAGCAGAGGATTCGCCTAAAAAGCTGGAGGAGGATATTTCCACGGGTCTGAGCACTCGAGAAGAAATCTCCATCCTTTCGAAGTTGAATGCGTCTCATGAAGTCCTACGCAAAGCTGGATATGTCACCACTCCTCCAACTGATGAGGAAATCGCAGAGGCCAAGCGCGGCGCCGAAGCAGCTCAGGGATGGGAACTATGCGAGCGCTGCAATGGAAGATTCCAAGTTTTCCCAGGCCGAAGGGAAGATGGTCTTTTAGCTACTGGAGGGCCTTGCATGTATCATCACGCAAAACCAATTCGACCAGAGAAACAGAAAACAGACCTCATTACTGGACACAGGGAATCATACTACCCATGCTGCAAGGAGACAGTTGGGACATCTGCCGGATGCACAAAAGCCGAATGGCATGTCTTCAAGGTATCAGAGGTTAAACGCCTTGCTGCCATTCTCCAGTTCAAGGAAACCCCCCGACAACCAAATAAACCTACACTTCCTCCAGTATGCTTTGACTGTGAAATGGGTTATACTACCCTAGGCCTTGAACTCATCCGTCTTACAGCTATCTCATGGCCACAAGGGGAAAAGGTCCTTGACATTCTAGTAAAACCGATCGGGGAAATCCTAGACCTGAATTCTCGCTATTCCGGCGTCCTCCCAGAACATTTCGCCAACGCTACCCCTTACAACGGCAAGAAACCGCCATCATCGTCCCAGCGTTCTTTTATCGACAACAACAACAACAACAACAACAACAACAACCACAGCGGCATCCCTCCATCGCTCCCCGTCGTCGACTCCCCCCACGCTGCCCGTGCCCTCCTCTTCCAACACCTCCAACCCGAAACCCCTTTAATCGGGCACGCGCTTGAAAACGACCTGAAAGCATGCCGCATCATCCACCCCACCATCGTCGACAGTGCACTGCTATACCCGCACCCGAGAGGCCTGCCATACCGCTTTGGCCTACGGGCACTGACGAGCAAATTCCTTGGTCGCCATATACAGACTCAGGGCGGCGAGATGGGGCATGATTCTATGGAGGATGCGAAGGCGACGGGTGACTTGGTTAGGGTTAAAGTGAGGGAGATGTGGGGGGCGTTGAAGAGGAGTGGGTATTCGTTTGAGAGTGGGAAGTTAGTGGAGCCGCATGAAAGTGGGGCGGTACTGGGGTGAAGATGAATGGTGGTGTTCTGGGGCATGGAGTGCGGGTGAAGAGGGGGGAAGTGAGTAGCGATAGACGCTTAATCCTTATTTTGGTTGCGGGTATATTTTTGTATGGGCTGCGTTTGTCTAGAGACCGCTTGTGCCGTTACCTGACTTATTTTTCGGGGCTGATTTTGGCTACTTATTTTCTATCTGTTCATAATACGCAAGGGCAATTATCATTTTGTTGCAAGACTGCATCCCTCATGTGTCCGGTTATCCTGCCGCTACACCTCCAATTCCGCTCCAATGACAAGTTTACGAATACTGTTAAGTTCGAAGAGCACAAATAAGGGAAAAACTGGAGAAGGATATACTGCGAAACCTTACACCGGGAATGAAATTCGATTTCCTGGATTTCGTGAGATCCCTATCATGTATTTGAAGAAAGGATTATGCAATGTTTTCTTTATTTAAAAGGAAAACCAACCTAAACTCCACTTAAAGATATAAACGTAGAGTATATCACGGCATCCATTCATCATCAAAGAGAAGCGATGCCTAGGTTTGCACAACCGCATCAAACCCCATCTACCCCTCCTTATTTTTTTGAAGCCAAAATGCAGAATCTGATTCCTCAAACCTAATCCTCATCCTCATCTGCCTCGTCATTGACGACGTTGTAGAAGCGCAGCTCATATACACCCTTGGAGGTGGAGACGACACGCAACCAATCGCGCAGCTGTTGCTTCTTGAGGAATTTCTTTGTCCTACACACAGTATTCAGTCAGCATCTACCTACCTGCATTTGGGGAGGGCGGTAAATTCCGCAAAATGCCAGGCCAGATACAGCCCTAGAGACACATGTGACTGTGGCATGGGAAATGGATGAAAAAACGTACAGGTACTTCAAATACCGTCCAGAGAAAGGAATGTGTGTGACAACCTCGATCTTGCCATCTCCGACCTGGGAGATCTGGATGGAATCGCCGAGGTTACCGACGCGGCCCTCAACCTTGATCTTGTCGTGCAGGAACTTCTCGAAGGCGGAGACATCGAAGATTTTGTCGTTGGCCGGTTGGGAGGCATTGATGATGTACTGTTTGCCATTTGGCGTTGGTTAGAAGATCGCATTGGAGGTGAAAGGAGGCGGGGGCTTGTTTGCGCATGGAATGCATATGACATACCTTTTTCGTCACCTTCTGAGACTTGCGGGCCTGTATTTTTGACATCACGAGAGGGTTGTTGGTTAGCCTGCTGTTCCTGACATTTCTTCTGCGGGTGATCACAGAGGCATTGATTCTTTTACAATCCCTTGATATCACTTCTGTTTTGCTCCTTTCCAGCTCTCCATCCATTCACCCCTCCATAATCATCATCCATCCATTACCATGTACATGATAAAAGAGGAGAGGGACGGAGCAGAGGAAAAACGGCAAAAAGAACCCGGTTATCAAGGGGGAAATGACAAAGCTGTTTGAGGTCGCAAGGCAGAGACATACAGTTTGAGGAGCCATTGTGAATTAGCGGAGGATGAGGATGATGTGGAATAGATCCGTGATGGAGAGGCCGCAAAGAGGTCGATATCCTGCGGTATTCTTGTTGGAATCTGATATATTGTTTTTGGAGGTGGATGAAGTTTGCGAGTTTGTTTGATGAAACAACGGGGCAATGTGGGATGAAAACTCTTGGCATCGAGTTGTGGAAGTTAATTAGGGTTAGGGTTATTATATCATGTGACTCAGATGGTTGGAACCAACCCCCCCTCCTTTAATTACATATTATCCCATTCACATAGGCCGATGGCATTTTAAAATCTAGTAGCCTGTGTATTTTTTGCAGAATATGATATTGATGCATTCATGGGTAATTACAAGCCTTACGATTCATACATCATGTTGGACTGGACTTAACTAAGGCAGCACTTGCGGATGTTGAACACCGATGTTGAACATTCACAATTACCCTACTCCGTATGTTATTTGCAAAATCCCGGAACAGCTGGTTTCTTCAAATGCCGTCCTCGCATGAGGATTCCCCTCCCCATCTAACCGGTCATCAAAAGCTTCAAGGCAGTGCTTCATCCAAGGAGTAATCAGATCTGAAATCTTTTAATCTTCTTACGGGTGCCAAGTGACGTAACTAGCATTGGTCAGCCCTGTCACTGTGTGATTGGTGGGTTGGAGTGAATCAGTCTGCGAAGGTGTGATTTTGGAGTTTCGGGCCGACCCCGATAGCAAAGTACAGTATAAATACCTTGGGACAGACAAATGAGTCATCTGATTGCAGAATGTTTGGAGGAGTGATCAAAAGATTTCTCATCATGTGGCGGACCTTTTTCTTCTTGAAGCTAGGTGAAGTTCTTCATATCTACTAGCCCGCAACATGCCGACTCCCGTGTGGTGCAGACAATTCCATATCATGGGAAGTTGCGGAGCATCTGGTGATTGATCTGATATTTCTTATATTCTTACTCAGCGTTGGAGTTGCAGTCCGGTTAACTATAACCAGCAATCTCGATTGTGGTCTCGCGTCACGAAAAGTTTTTGGTACGTTCGATTAACTTTGGCACTCGGGAGGGATGAAGAAATTTGTCCGTTCCCTTTGAGTAGTCATCTCCGAGAAATTATTCTTAGTAGTGGCTTAATGGGCAGTTTGAGGAAAGGTTTGATCAAACTACACGCCACGATGACGAAAGGCTTCTCTGGAACCGAGGGAGGTTTGGGCCTTTTGGTGAAGTGTCAGCCACTGCCGAGTGGGTCTTGAATGAGGCTCCCCTGAAATTAAACTATTATTGGCACTCTGTTGACAACACTCACCTTGATGGCGAGATATTCCAGAAATGGGGGCTAACCCAACCGTATGAGTCGGATTTTGAGTCGAACGCATTATTTATATTACTCGGAATCTCTGCTCTTCCGAGTAATTCCATAAATTAATCATAAGGTACAATGATTGAACCGGTTTACACGATTAGTCTAATAATAGTTCTCTGGGAGCAAACACTAACTTATATTAGGATATTAGTAATAATATTTGAACCAAGGTTCCACCACCATCATCATCAGGCCATCAAGCACCTTCCAAAGTTCGTCATTCCTTGCTAGCTGCGGGTTAGGTGAGTTACGGTAACTACTTGAGCCGTTCCTTCCCCCGGTCAACCATTCCCATCAACATCAACATCACCAAACCATCGGCTTTTATATCTCTATACCCACCTTTTCCGACTGGAGCCTTTATTTTATTTGCTTCATTATACCTTAACGTGCCCGCATTACGACAGCCGCCAAAGTGTTTCGTACTAGGCCTATCTCAACTATTTCCATAGCAAAGTATCTTAAGAGACCTCGCCCAGGCATCATGTCCTCCGCCACTTCTTTCTACGAGTTCCAGCCGCTAGACAGTACGTGAAAACATCTATCTTCCCCCCCCCCCCCCCCCAAAAAAAAAAAAAAAAAAAGAGACGACAGATCCGGGAAAAGAAGGGAAAAATTAATGAATTCAGAACAAGGAGAGAAATTCTAACGTTCCAAACAGAAAAGGGTGAACCCTTCCTCATGACTGGCCTCAAAGGCAAAGTCGTCCTCATCGTTAACACCGCTTCCAAATGCGGCTTCACCCCGCAATTCAAGGGTCTCGAATCCCTCTACACCTCCCTCTCGACTACCTACCCTGGTAAATTCACCATCATCGGCTTCCCCTGCAACCAATTCGGCTCGCAGGAGCCAGGAACCAATGACGAAATCCAATCCTTTTGCTCCGCCAACTACGGCGTCACGTTCCCTGTCCTGAGCAAAGTTGACGTGAACGGCGAAAACGCGGCACCTCTGTGGAAATGGCTCAAGTCTGAGATGCCCGGTATCATGGGCATGAAGCGCGTGAAGTGGAACTTTGAGAAGTTTTTGGTCAGCGCGGATGGAAAGGTTGTTCATCGTTGGGCGAGTTTTACGAAGCCTGAGTCGCTGAGACATGCGATCGAGAAGGAGATCCATAAGGCCGAGGGGCAACCTGCGGAGCAGGAACCAACTCCCGAGGTTCCGACGGTGAAATCTGAAGATCAACGTCCTGAGGCTACACAGCCTTCTCAGCCTTCGCAGCTGTGATTGTGTGTGTGTGTGTGTGTGTGTAGTTTTGCCGAGTTGGAAGGACAGTTGCGTCTTGGATATAAGATGTTTAAAGATTCCCCATAGATGGCAGATGGCATATTGTGGATGGTATTGTCTCCGCCTTTCTTCTCCTGTTTTATTTGTTGTTGGCTTTAGTTTACATGTTGATATGCATTTCCTCTGGAGGAATTTTGGGGGTTTGTTAATTTATTCTTATGCCAGACCCCCTCTTCCCCAAGAAAGGGACCGGGCGGTCCACTACCCCATTCAGCATTCTTAACACGCTGTATCAGAAGATTACTCATCATGTTCATTGTTTTGTTTTGTTTTTTGTATACATATTTTGTTGTAATGTTGTGTCTTGTTCCCCTTCTGCTCTCCCCTAATGTATGAGTCTGTTTCTGCTAACCCTCTGCCCCATCCTCAAACTTTTATTATGATACCGAAGATTCGTCTGGTTTTTATAGAATTACCAAAACACAAACGCAAATTGCATGTATAATTATACCAAGTTTAATTTTTAATTTTTTTAATTTATTTTTTATTTTAATTTTTTATTCCGAATCGGATCGTTTGTTAATTAACGATATTGTTTCCCATTTAAATATAGGTGTATATACCTATGGATGCACATACATCTTGTTTTCATTATAGATTCAAAACCCATTCATTCACTCATTCCCAGCTGCAGATGGCTTGGGGATCAAATTTCGGAGAGCCAGGTCATACACGACATCTTCGACTTTCTTAACCTGTTCACCAGTGTTAGAAAGTGACTGAGCTGGATGATGTCAAAGCTCGGTAAAAATAGGGAAGGGCATACGTTATATTTAATCCCATCGAACCTCTTACGCAGACTGTCGTTTTTCAGATTCAGCAGCTGGAAGCCGGCAAAGAGGTCCGAGACGAACTTGCTAATCTGTAGCGGACGAGAGTAGTCTCCCAGCGTTACCGAGTTGACGGCTAGCCGGCTCTGGCGCATCGTGGGCTGGTTAGTGGATGGTTTTGATTATTTGCAGAGAGAGAGGGGGGGGGGGGGGAACATACCAGCTCCTCAATGAGCGATATCAAGGCTTGCAAATAGTCTTCGATGGATAGGTGGAAGGAATCTTGGTCCTTGAGGTTGACGGGGACTGTGGCTGTTTAGAAACGTTGGGTGGAATGTAGGAGAATAGTAACAAAGACATACCACCCAAAAACTGCCCAACCTCCTCAATCGTCATGAAGCCCTTTGCTTTCTCATCCCGCGCATCCTGCAAGCCACCTAGCCATGCGCAGAATTGGATGGTGAATACCTTTGAAAACACAGTTGGGCATGTTAGATGAGGTCACGTGGTCGACCAAGAGACGCAGATTAATAACGAGGGATATGGGAGGCTGACCAGATTCTGCAACTCGCGACTCCAGATGTGGTGATACTTGTAGAAGGGGTGTTGGGATGCGACTGAGACAAGATGAGTGACATCTTCCTTTTGCGCGTGGATTTCTTGAGATGCTTCAATGAGGAACGGGGTTACTGTGAATGTTTTATTCGATTAGAATGTCAAGTAGGGGAACATATGAATGCAGGAGATGGAAGTTTTTCCTTTTTTTTCCTGGGTTCAGAGGTTCTGTAGGTGTGATACAGGCTGTCCTGCTGACCTGCGCATGCATAGCAAATGCACAACTTAGGGCAAACAGAAAAATCTGCAGTTGCGCAGATAGATATGTATTTCCAACGCGATCGAGGCCCCTCCAATCAAGGAAAAGTATACATGACGTTCGTATGAAACAATTTCAATGACCAGTGTGTATTCCATGGAGGCAATCAAAAAAGATGTGCTTATATAAAATGGCATTTTGAGCATCAATATCAAACTTGGAGTGAAGTTGTAACGCACACTGGTCTGATGGGGTTGAGTGAGCTCGCGATAATATGGCTAGGATTGATCGACCTGTTCGACCAGAGGAGAAGACACCAGGTCAGCTCAATGCCAAAAAATAATACTCGGCATATTTGTGTATATCAAGTGAGGCTTTCCAGAAGAATTCATTCAAGCCTGCAAGGTGAATCATATCCACCTCCCATGGACGCTGAGTGCTGGGTGGTCTACGGCGAATATATCTCTATTGGCCTATAGAGACGGAAAAGTGAGAACACACCTCGTTTGGATAGAGTCCAGACAATCCCTTGAAGTTCCTGAATAACAGCAGTGAGATACAATACCAAACAAATCAAGGTTGAAGCTTACATCATGAATCCGGCTCTCTTGGTCTATCTTCGCCTGTAGGCTTTCAAATATAGCAGCATCAATCATGATTACTGAGGAGTACAAAAAAAGTTATTTTTATAGAATAGACAACAGATAAAAGAGAAGAAATCCAGTTCTTACATTTAACAGTTTATGTTTTTATCAATATGAATTATCTGTTGGACGGCTTAGTTGGGTTGTATTGGCAGCTCTGTATATTCTGTGTGCGGGGGCGCTAGTCTGTAATAGGAAGCCTAAGCTTCAAAATCATCTTATCAATGTGAGCAGCAAGACGAAGCCTTTTAAAGGTTTGTTAAAAACATTTCTTTCATATGAGGTCTGAGAAGGCTTTTGGGCTGAACTATTTCCACCATAAATTAATTCATGTAGGATAACATAAAACTGCAACATATTGCTACCGGTCACGAGGCTAAGCTAGGCCGGATTGGGGCGAGAGTGGGGGAGATGGTTTACAACTCTGAACTTTAATCACTGATCCGAACCTCTAATTCCTGGTTATTAGAGAGAAATAATACAGAAATACAAAAAAATATAAGGGACATTGAATAACAAGAACATGGAATAATAATTCTCTTCTTCAAACCATCGGGCAAGCCGACGAATTAATGAAAAGAATTTTCGCGTCACTAGGTGATAGTGTAAGACCAAGGACACGGTGCGAAAGGACATGCGCAAGCACAGAGGTCCAATCGCGCGATCCAAAAATGGGATTAATCAATGTTGTATTCCTTAGAATACTTTCAGAGATTAAACTGAAAAGAACAGATACTACACTTGATCTTAGCCTTACGGCAAAGAGAGCTGGAGAAGAAAAGAAAAAAAAAAATTAAAAAGAAAGCGGGAGGGTGGAGGTATTTATACGATCGGTGGGACAGGGATTGATGGCGCTAGTGATAACCGAAATTAAAAAGGCGATGATGATTGGCTATCAAAGCGGGCTGGAATGAGTCAGCGGGTTAACTTTTGCCACGAGAATGAGTTTGATATTCTTGCAAACAAGACAAACAGGCGGTTGGGCGTGACTTTTGCTTCCAAAAAAGGCCAAGGTTATTAAATATCTATATAAGTGAAGGACGGACTGAGGGGGACTGTCATATCAACATGAATACCTCGAATACGTCGCCTGTAGCGGAATGCCGCTATTGCTAATATACCGACTGTTACATTTACAAGTTGAAGAAAAACCTGTATTCCCCTTATTTAGGTGAACTTTTCATTCTATACACCACTGGGGGAAAAAAGGTCTTTGATCATCATGCTCAGAGGATCGGTAGATTCTGAATATACAGCAGATTAGAGCTAAAAGCTCTCTTCTCATCATCTTAATTTTCATCACCATCAACCAGAAACTCTCATCCCGCAGTGCGCTAGAAATTTAAAATGCACCCACCTGCTTCAAGCTCATCATTCACCTTCATTAATTGTGTTAACAGTCTACAGCTCACTCCATTCCATCACCAGCTAGCTACATGTACCCTCTTAAGATAATTTCAAGTAGATAAACAAAGTATTCATCCCACATACACACATCCCTTCATATACCTCATAATGACAACTAAAAAAAGTAAAACTCCCACCCCCCTCCCTATTCCGCTCTACAGTTTATTCCAACTGCCCCGCCAAAATATCCACGTCCAACTCCTCCATAACCCCCAACACCACCCCCAAACTCTCCATGAACCCATTCACAGCCACACGCAGCATCCGGTTCGTCGTCGCCCGGTACTCCGTCTGCAGTACTGTTAGTTCCTCCACCTCTTCTTCTCCGTCCCCTTCTCCCTGACCCCCTTCTTTCTTTTCGCTTACTTCCCCCTCCGTCCTGTTCAGTATAGGAATGTCTGTTCCTTGGCCTGGCCTGCGGGGTTGAGGGGTTGTAGCTGTAGCTGTAGCTGTAGCTGTAGTTTCAACTAAAGACGAAGCGGGAAGTGGCTGTGAACTCAATTCTTGCTGCTGCTGCTGCTGCTGTGGTTGTGGTGGGCGTGGGCGCGTAAGACGGAACGAGCGACGGACGAAAGGCGAGAGTTCGGAGTCGACTTGTAGAGCTCGCAGGGCGGCGGAGGCGAGACGGTGAGTGGGGAGCGGGAGGGAGATTATTCTGTTTTGTTTTTTTATTCCTGCTATTAGTGTTCCTTTATGTGATTTACTGATTCACTCGTTCATAGTCTGCCTTTTGCTTATGTCTGGGGGATCCGGGGGACTTTTTACAGGGAGTATGGGAAATCAGATTCTAGGCTTGACTTGAACGAAGCGGGGTGGGCCATGGTGGATTGAGATGGTGAGGGTGGCGAGGTGTGTTGATAGGGGCTTTCGATGCTTGTTCAGCTAGTCTGATTGAGTGGCGTTTCTTGTTTCTTTCTTCGTGCGATATGAGGCGGGAAGGGGTTAATGAAGCGGTTGTGTTAACTCATGGTGTGAAGGTTGTAATTCTTGCAACTTTAAGAGGAAAGCTCCCGAGTTGAGTGCAGATGGTAAGTAAATTCTCGGTTCTTGTTAATAAAAAGTTAGGAAAAGTGGTTATATTTAAATGGGAAAGTTTTTATTTCCTTTACTCTGTCGCATGGCAGGTGTTCAGGATGTTGTTAGGATGCGATGATGATGATGATTCGCGACGATATTTAATTTAGACCTCGAGATGTAAGATTAGAGTTTTGTTAGGATAACTAAACTTTCACACAGACCTTCAGAATTTCGCGGGTGATTATGTATCTACCTATGACATATACTTACTACTGTAGATAGTTAATATTATTCGTTAATATCGACCTTCAAATTTGTAGGAATTGATGGTTGTTATTCTTTTCAAGAGTAACTATAACTAATACTTGGTGGTAATCATGTTGAACTAACAGAAATATATTTACTCATTTTGCATTGACCCTCATCCAAATGTGCTGGACAAAGCAGGTACCAACACGAAACTGAAGGTATGACGCATATTAGCTACTTAATGAGCATATACACATGGGATGAAAATTGAGGAGATGGGAGATATGACTTTATGGAGGACCCTCTCAATAGATGCAAAGTCATGATGGCTATATTATTTCTATCGACCCAACAAAAGCAGCAGCAAATTCAATTCATCGCAGTGCGCCACCCACGGGCCTTTGACACAACGGCGGTAACTATGTATTTAACGTACCCCGCACCACCAGGGGAGCAGTGCACTTGTCGATGTTGTTCGTTAACCCTAAGTCGTCGTGATGGTAAAACACACGGTCGGATAGATTAGACCAAACTCTCTTGGGGCAGAATCGAAGAATCTATGTATTGGATTGCATCAATCGCGCTCTTGTCCTTTGTAGAGTGTCAGAGGTTTGTTGTGGAAAATATCATTTCCATAGAGCGCCCTTTTCAAATTATCCGCCGGTTGCGCTGTGCACACTCTGTAGATATTCAGGTGTCGTTGTATGGTGACCAAATGAAACGATCATCATATGACCCGACACCGAGATGTTATGGTTACTTGTTTTGGTATTTAATTTCCCACTCCCTCCCTGGGACGGATGGAGCACGGTTGTTGGTTGTTGTTATCATTTGAGGATATGGATAACTTCTATTGTTAGATGATGAAGATGCTGAAATGCTGGATGTTGTCATGTTGACCTCAGCCTTCCCCAGTTGAGACGGCAAGACGCCGCGCTATCCCCGATCGGGGAGCAGTTGCCCTGCCAACCACCGTCCGCTAAACCCAAACAGGCACTAACCACAACAATCATGCACCTTGCCAATCAGCGGCGATCGTTGTCTCCTTCTTCTTCTTCTTCTTCTTCTTCTTCTTCTTCTTCTCTTCTTCTCCCCAGTCCAGGTTTATTACTCTTCCTATCAACCTCCAACCTCCAACCTCCAGATCTTCTCTGCTCCGGATACCCTTTGGCTGCTGTCCGGCTGCTCTCCTGCTCTCCTACTCCCCATTCTTTCCTCTTATATATATATATATATATATATATATAACCTCCCGGTATCTCTGCAGTGGAAGAGAAGTATAACCTCTGCTGCTTGCCATTGTTAGCTTCCCGTCCCATCCAGAGAGCTCAAAGATACCAAATAAACCCATCTGGGACCATGCCCCTCTGACGCACGAGTGCTACCTATCCTATTCTTCCCCGTACTCCCTTTCCTTCTTCTTTGGCGACCATCTCTATATCAGATATTTTTCTGTCATTCCCTTGTCCTAATTATTACCTGATATCATTTGAAAATTCTCGCCGCGCAGAAAATATCCTCGCCATACTCCACTCTCTCAATCTCTATAATTAATCGCCTGCCAAAATGCCATCCGTAGGAGGTTCCTGTGGGCAGGTGATTGAGTATATTCAAGGTACGTCTGCGTTTTTTTTTTTTGTTTGGCAGAGACCCCACATTGTTCCGACGAAAGTGAGGAAAAATAAATAAATAAATAAAAACAATAAAATAAAAACCCACCATGCTGATTTCAATATCCCAACCGGTAGACCGACTCTATCTTGCATCTTATACTCACAAACCGAGCGAATCCACTCCATTCCAGTTTCCCACGCAACCAAAGTCCCCAAGCAAGAGGGCCTTCAAGACTCAACCAGCAGCAGGGAGCGCACCAAGAAATAACAACCCGGTATATTTCACAGTTGACGACTACCTTCTTTATAATTCCTTCCATGCCGATTTTGGCCCTCTGCACATTGGTCACCTGTACCGTTTCGCGGTCCATTTCCATGAAATATTGGGGGACCCTACAAACAATGACCGGGCTGTTGTTTTCTGGAGCAAGCCTGATGCCAGAAGTCGTGCCAATGCAGCTTGCTTGGTTGCATGCTACATGGTCCTGATTCAATCGTGGCCTCCTCACTTGGCTCTGGCACCCATTGCACAGGCAGATCCTCCATATATGCCTTTCAGAGATGCAGGATACAGTCAGGCAGATTTCGTTCTGACAATCCAGGACATAGTGTATGGTGTGTGGAAGGCGAGGGAAGAAGGACTTTGTGGGTTGAAGGACTTCAGTCTGGAAGAGTGAGTCTTGTGCCATTGACTTCGTTTAAAAGGCCTTTTCTTGAATTCTGGAATTCTGACCTAGATATAGGTATGAAAAATATGAGCGCGTGGACATGGGAGATTTTAACTGGATTACACCGCACTATCTCGCATTTGCGTCGCCGCAGCATCAACCAGTTGAGCCAATCCCACAAAACACAGCAGAATATGCCGCTTTGCCTTCAACAATCTCTGAAGTGCTCAGTTCGGATCTTCCTGTTCCTTTTAAGAATGTCCTCTCTCACTTTTCGTCCCGTAACATTGGTCTGGTCGTCAGACTAAACTCGGAGCTCTACAGCCCGTCATACTTCACTGCAATGGGCATTAGCCATATGGATATGATATTTGAAGATGGGACATGTCCGCCACTTCCATTAGTCCGGCGATTCATCAAAATTGCACACGAGATGATTCACAAGAAAAAGGGAATAGCGGTGCATTGTAAGGCGGGGCTTGGTCGAACAGGCTGCCTGATTGGAGCGTACCTGATTTACCGTTATGGTTTCACAGCAAATGAGGTTATTGCTTTCATGAGGTTCATGCGACCGGGGATGGTTGTTGGGCCTCAGCAACATTGGCTCCATCTCAACCAGGGCAGCTTCCGTGAATGGTGGTTTGAAGACACCCTCAGAGAGAAACTGGCATTTTCCAACCCTACAACCCCTGGCAAATCAATCCAAAAGCAACGCATGACCAGCAATGGGCAGACCGCCACTCCACCAAACCCAACAAGTCCAAAACGTCATGCGCTTGGCGAGATTGACAACAATGAAGCTTCCGGGTATGCGGATGATACGCTCCCCGCTCCTACGCCAGGGCAACCGCGTAAATCACACCAGAAGGATTCGAGACATCACCCGTATGCTCGTACCGTATCGTTAGGGTTACGAGATGAGGCGGGTCTAGAGGCAACTTCTAGGAATGGAACAGCTTCAACAAAAGACGTTCGTCGCAGACTGGCAGATCACAGCGAGAGTGAGGAAGAGCTTCAACTCCAAATGCTTGCTAGGCGCGGGTCATCGCGGTCCCCCATCTCCTCACCCCAGCGGTCCATGAGCCACTCCACCACTGCCACTGTCGGATTGAGCATTCATGAAGATGTGGAGAATTACGGAGGCGAAAAGCAACTGAAGACGCCAAGTTCGACGGTGTCAATGGCTGCTACTAAGAGTGGGAGCGGTGTGCTTGGTGTTGGGAAGGTTCGTGGGAGTCCGAGGAGGGTTGAAGGGAAGACCGATAAGGGTGTGAGGAAACATAGTGGGCGGATTGGGAGTGCCGGTGGGGTTTCGAGGCTGAAGTAATTCTACATGGATGGAGAAATGTATGCATGCGTTATCCGAAAACGCGGCTATTCTGGTACGGGAAATGCGATACACGACCTTTCTTCTCTCCCGATGTTCCTTTTCAATAATGTACAGTTTGTTGCTGGTTCCTTTTTTCCCGCTGTGAAATCCCCTGCATGGCTGCTGGCAAGGCGTTCGTTGGAGCTCTCTTTTATCATCCTCATTCTTCTCTTTTCCTTTTCTCTTTTTTGTTATTTCAATTTTATAAAGATTCCTTTTCTTTTTCTTTTTCTTTTCTATTTTTGCCCTTTTTCGAAGGTTTTTTTTTTTTTTATGTTGGACGGTGACGAGGGTTATAAATACATACAGATGTCATTCTTCTAAGTCCCCCCCCCCCAACCCTTTTTCTTTTTTTGGTTTTTGGCTAAAGATGCTTTGATGTTTTTCTTCCTATTTTGTGGGCTTTATGCTTTCTGCTTTCTGCTTTTGTCGGAGTAATGAAGGTGTTTGGCGGTGAAGTTAATGTACTGTACTTAAGTATATTTATTTTTATGCTATTTCAGTTCTGGTGTCTTGTGATCGTGGCTTTAGTGGTCGATCATCAGCGCTTGGCGCTTAGTTAACGGAGACCATAGCCGTTAACTAGCAGCTAACGACCCACCAGTCTGTTTTCTGCTATAAACTACAACACGGTCAAACGCTCCATCGGCGCCACTACTCTATGGAACAACAAAACCCACAACCTACGAAAAGTATATAGTCGGCTACCATTCCGTTGAGTAACCTATCCTTTAAGAAGAACTGAACCCCTCGACAATGGCCACCACTCCTCCCCTCCCCCATCCCTCACCCTGAGATGGGGGCTCTTTCCAGCTTCCCCCCGGAAGTCCTCCACATAGCGGGGACTTTTGTTAGCGTACAGCATGATTACGGAGGGTGACGGGCCCTCTCGCGCCATGCGGGGGATCGGGTTGCCGCCACCACGCCAACCAGGGCCCACTATACGTCTTGTTTAGATCACAAGGGACAAGAGGCTGATAATCACCAGTATTTAAGTTGGGGCTTCTGTTAGAGATTGTTTAACGAAGTGAAGCGTTTCGAAACATGTGGCCTTGATATGCCTGGATGGTGTCTGCATTATGGAACTGTATGTGCTTGTTAGGTGTGCAGAGAGGACAAATAGAGTGTACTTCAAATCCTGATGTCTCACGAACATGCTTCAAGTATTTCAAACAAAGTTGCTACAACTTTAGAAGTATAGATGCCGTACTAAGTACATCATATGCTCTGCTCCGAGGATGACTTAGCTCTCCATTGATATGATGTTGTCAGTAAGTGCTCTTTTGGTTCTAATTTTGCTTCCCAATCGTATAATAAAATGAGACATGAATATTTACATCTGAAAGTCCAATCTTTTGAAGCAGCTAAAAGAGAACTAGCTATTCTTATGCGTCGTAGGTGTTTTAGGCATGAGCCATGCCGGCCACCAGTTTTGAACGGCAGTGGAGACAGAGGTACAGAAGACTGCGAGAACCACCCTTATGCTCAGGAGTTCAATAAGGTTTTGGAGTCCAGAAATAAAGTTGTGAAAGAGTCTCAGAACCTCCCATTTACCTGGTGGTTGAATAAGTTCTTGGGGAACGACAACCATAATACCTTCTTCTCCAGTGAAGCGCAATCGCACAGCTCTGTTGATCCTCCTGTCAAAACTTCCAGCATCATCGTAAGAAGTAAACTCGTAGATAATATCGTCGATGTTATGCGTGTCAGAAGACGTTTCAATTTGCTGTCCGACCATTTCAGCGACCTTTGCTGCCCAACAATTTTGGATTGCCCTTTTGTTTGGAAACTTGACGATGATGCACCCGGTAGAAAGCGCAGTTGCATTTACTGCACCGTGGAAAAATACAAGTATCTCTTGAAGCTCTTCAAAATCCAATATTCGGTGGCAGCTCAACCTGCTGAGAGTAATGCCATTGTCGATAAGAGTGGAGTCGATAACGTGATGCGACGTTGGAAATGGAGCAAGAACTTTGACTTTCCTCCCTGCGGCTTCTGTCCCATCATACTGGACTGAATGGACGGAATTGGAGATAACCAAGGATGGCTTGTCGGTTTCACAGACAAAAAAGACCTTACTTTCTTTCAGTGACTGGTCATAGGTTCGAACCAACGATTCGATTTCGCGCTGGACATATGTTGATTTCTCCCCAAGCATTTGCAACCCTGGATCTATGGTATCAGACGACAGTGCTGTGGGGTTTAACATAATATATCAGAAATGGATTCTCAGCTAAATTAGCACATGTAAAGAACGGAGATTGGTACTCACCTGCGGCGGGCCGAATAACAGGGAGAACCAGCTGATTTTGCTCGGAAGCCCTGATACGCTGTTCCCCACGCGGTGACATTTCCTTAGATTATAATTTCAAAGTATATTATGATACTTGTAGTAGTGGCTGTGTTTCAGATATCAGCATTTGATGGAAGCTACTTTCAATTTCACCGGAGTCGCAGTCGGGAGTTCTATGCTTGAAAATGTGGGAAATTTGTTGCATCTTTAAGAGCGAGAATCTTAAATTCTTTTTCACCGACAAGTAAATCTACGTTCTAAGCCATATGAGGTTGATTGATGTCATTATATTTTATCAAATAGTTTATTCTTCTTCGTTCCTTGGTTGCGGTTTGTGAATTGTTTCCAAGTACAGTTCTTCCTTGAAGGTTTATCTTGCTGGGTGAAGGAATGAACCCAAGGGCTAAGCTGGGACACTGGACTCCAGCTAGAGATCCGAAAATACCCACCTCTAGATATGCTTTTAGCCTGTAAAATCATATTGGGGTTTGATCTTGGGGGTGAATGAAAGAAATTTAAGGGTTTTTTAAAAGCCGAAGAGACAATGACGTCATTGAGGCCGGCTCCCGGCTTAGGATTGCCGAGAACTTTAATTTTGACAACCCATTGCCGAAGGCGACGTCGCTTAGTTATCGAACAAGTCGATCAGGAATAAACTTCGTTTACGATGATGTTTGACGTTTTTAGAGTTTAATGTCAGATAAGCGCTTTAAGAGCCACAATACACTACATGGTAAATATATTCTAGGTAGTCTGGAAGATAAGCCCAGTGGAGAGAAGGGTATGATTTCCTGTTCAGTAACCTGCCATTGCTAGGGCTGTTTATGTCTTCCTTCGACGCTGCAATACCAGTCATTGCTGCCTGCGTCTGCCATGAGATACCCAAACCTGTCTTCTAACGGCTCAGAAAGTATATACATGCGATACCATTGACCATTTGTCCTCTCCTGTAGAATAACTTAGCAAGACTGCCAGATTTCGCCGCAATGCCTGAGTTGAATTCGGAATGGCTGGAGTTCATCCGGAGCGAGCCAGCCATCCAGGAGCCGGAAACCCTCAGTTGACCTGGAGACCAAGCGGCGGTTGCGCTCTAGGCAGGTATTAGAGAGAAATGGTGCCTATCTGTCGCAATATGAACCTAGGTTGGCGCAAGTTGTTGTTGTTGTTGTTGTTGTTGTTGTTGTTGTTGTTGTTGTCAGAGATTCTACTGTGACCGCTGGAGATGAAGTAAGTATTCCAATCAGGATATACGATGGCAATCAGTCAGCGAACCGCCCGGTGGTAATATTCTATCGTGGTGGTGGGCTGACAGGCTGGGATCTCGATACAGAAGATTGTATGTTTTTCTATCGCCTCCTATCATTTATATCAGTGCTGTTGTTTGAATGAAGAAGCTAATTCTGGAAATATCTGTATTTTCCACATATAAGTATCGTGCAGACGCATGGCAATTGACTGTGCCACAGTCGTTATCAGTGGTGTTGCATAACGCCTCGCTCCTGAAAATTCATATCCCATACCGATTAATGAATTAACATATTGCTCGCTACCGAAGACATCTATGGTGTTCCTGATTCCGAAAAGTTGATACTCTTGCCCATCCACTATGGGGTGGCCTGACCAGTCTACCGCAAACCTTTATTCAGATTTGCGGGATCGATATATTGAGAGATGATGCAGTTTGCTATGCCACAGGTTTGGTTGATGCGGGAGTTGACGTTCAATCGAAGATGTACGAAGAACGTATCCAAGCATCAAGTTACATTTTGTCTTGTACTGGGACGTGAAATGTGCTAACCCTACTAATCCGTGCGAAGGATCTCCCGCATGTGTTTTGGCTGCAGGCGCCGCAGTTGGAGATATCGCGGGAGGTAGAACAGGACTGTTGGTGGGATCAACTGGATAATCAGCAAAAGGCAGACGAAAACTCCAAACTAACCCTCTTTTATGCAACGTGGGAAATTTTTGGTCAAGGAATGGATGTATGTATGTATGTATAAATGTAGACATGAACCTATTAACATGGAGATGTGTTGAACACCCGCAGCGCTGTTGTTCAGGAGGCAAATTGGGGACGGTGTGTCCACTCATTTAGTTTGCAAGCTGCAGCCTGTTATTCTACCTGGTTTAAGGATTCACCAATGGAAAAAAACTGTTCTTGATATTGTTAACGCTGTAGGGTTTGATATTTAAAACTCTAGGTAAAAAGCTTATCATTGGAGTGAGCAGTGGGAACCGATCGTTAAAGCTGATGGGATTGGAAGAACGCCGAATGGTTATGCAGTTACATCGTCTTGAAGTTTGAAGTTAAATATTTAATTGCAATATGGCCCATTACGGGGGTTTTATTTATTTATTTATTTTTAGTCGTGAATGAAATGAGCTTAAGTCGTATCTCAACTGATTACCTGCTCTATCAATGCATCCGCTTGATAAGGTGGCAAATTGTATTTCATCATCATATTGGTTAATGTTTTATGTTCCAATATTTTCTAACTCCTAGCGTTGATTTCGAGTTACCCACCATGGGATAGAAGAGAGGAAGTGGATTTTTCACCGTTGCCGATATGAATGATACGACCATTGCCGTGGGTACCGCTGAAGAAAATACAAAAGGGCGAACGCGGTTCCGTTGAATAGAGAAAGTGGTTGATACTGAAAAGGATGAGGATAACTTGCGAACAATTTGATTGTTCTATCATGGACAACGAAACTTTAGACGTGGGTATCCATACATGTGCCTGAAGATCACCACTGCGCAAAGTCTGCTTTAGACTGAGGACTATTTGGTAATGTAACTACTATAGTTACTGACCATGAGAATAACAAAATAATGCAGAAGGAATATGTCATGCACTATCATTTCGCAACTCTGCCGGCGCACTGCCATTCATCTTAAAGTATCCCGGCTGCAGTTTCTGAAGAATCTGCTCGGGATCATCGTACAACGACGCCTCCCGCAGCCGCTGAACAATTTCAGGCCCATAACTAGAGATCACGTCCTGAAACTGGCTGGCATAGTTCATAAAAAGATAGTCGACATGGAGGCCGGATTCTTTGGCTTCTTCCCTGATCGTCTCTAACATGATGGAGAAGGCCTGATAGATTGTCATGTCGTCAATCTCGTTAGACCAGGATGCAGAGAGGAGGAGAACGGCATACGGTCCGCCTTCGGCTGGAAGCCCAAATGTATTACCCTTCATGAGCGACAGCATCGATTCGGTGATGGTTTGGAAAATGCAGTCGGCTTTTATGTTCCTGATATATTTGAGCGATTGAGTCGTCGCAAGAAATGTGTCCACGACAAACTCCGCAAGCTCAAAGTCCAGTCGAAAAGTGTATGTCCAGTGGGTATTTCGAAGCCCTGATGGGGTTTCATTTGCCAATCTTTTTGAGATCTCGGACATGTATTGAACCAACGAACTCTCAAATAGAGAGGGTATGGTCTTCATCTCGTCAAATATCGGCGGATACGGGATTCCATCCGCATTTTCAAGGCCAATGCTAATTGTCTCACTGTCATTAGTGACGGAAAAGGTTGTAAAACTGTTACTGCTGGGTGGGTCTTTGGTTGAGTTCCTCGCAATGTTCACATATGCAGCGAGAACGTCTTGTGTTTTATCCATGTCGAATACGTGTAGTCCGTGCCACATTTGCTTTTGAGGGTATACGTTTACAGTGAACCTGGTTACGATTGCAAAGTTATTTCCTCCTCCACGCAGTGCGAAGAACATCCCCGGCTGCTTAGCGTCGATATTGAGAATTCCACCATGAGCACCCACAATCTGGAAGTAACCGATGGAGGTTATTGACTTGACCACGTCCAACATGAAAACGAACCAGGTGTTGGATGGTTATAAGCTAACCTCATAGTTTCTAACATTGTCGCAAGCCCATCCATATAGATTGGACAGAGAAGAAATACCGCCTAAAAAGGGCATCGTCAGCTTATGATTCAAAGTTAAAGAACACCTATCAGTTACGGACACTTACCTCCAAGTATCTGGCCACCGACGCCTTCACCTGCGGTACTTCCACCAACCGCGGTGAGATTTTGTACTTCCAGCTTTTTATAGACATCATACCACGTATTCCCTGTACCCAACACCGCCGTCTTCTTATCCGGAGATATTGTGATTTCGTTGATCGAACGCAGATCAAGAGTCATACCATCCTGGATATTGGCAGCCCCTGGGAACGCAGAATATCCCCCACTCCTCACAGCAAATGTGCAGTTGACCTCGGTATTTACGAACGTGGCGAACGACACTTGTTTGGTGATTTGAGGCCGGAAAATACACGTTGGCTGAAATTTCGACTGCTGCTGTGACCAAAAGCTCTCCTGGAACTCACTGTAGGTCCTGTTTCCTGGAAATGCAACTGTGCCTGGGTATACCTTGGAAAGGTAAGTACAGGCAAATACACACCGGCGGGGGACGGTATCATTTCTGCTAAATTTAGGAACAATCGGTAGCTTTTGAAACGATGTCTCTTGATAAGCTAAGGGGGAGGCAGAGTCGATATCTAGCAGCTCGAATGCTACCACTAAGCGCCCCAGCAGAATTGAAACCAGCGCAAGATTGTAGCTTAACCACATCGCTAGGAATGAACCTGGCAATATCTAGTTGGCTTAGTGTAAGCGGGATTGAATTATTTCAGTGGACAAAAGCATAAAACCCCAAGTTTAAGTTATCAGTGTAAAACGTCGGGAGCAGATTTGGGGGGGAAATAACACGATTACTCCCTCGTCTCGTTGCCCCCGACTACAACAACGCATGGAAATGATTGAACATAACTAATGCTAGCCCCGGAAGGAAAATTCTGAGATAAATCCAACTGCCAGAAAGGGGGTAGAAGTTGGTTCCCGAAGAGTTCTATACTATCACTTCGGGGCTGCTTTGAATGCAAGTTATAAAAAGTACTTGCCGCGTTTATTTTTCAATGCGAAGTGAGAATCGAATTCCACTCAACAGCATATCTACTTGGCTCATCTTACCGATCAGAGCAGAATGGCTGGATCTAGACTTGAGAATATTAAAATCGAAACTCAAACTTCCGTGTATGCAGGCGAACGGAAAACTCCAAATGTCATGTGTGGTTCTTGGGAAGTTTTGTTTCTTCCTTTATTTTAGGATGGATGTCAGTTGTGGCTGTGCCCTTTGCGGAGTGTTATAGAAGAGACAGGCTGACTATAAGTGAATGTTACCTTCCTTGCCGGTGCTAAAATTAAATCTCTCAAACCATCGAACGTCCGCTACGATGCTTATACTGGGTTAGCGGAATTGGCCATAAAGGTTGAATTATTATAATTCAGTTTTAAGAGTTTACCCGTGTGTCGATAGAGACTGCACTTGCAGTTGGTTGTGTCGGAATGCGGTCTGGAAAATATATGGCTGACACTTTAAGAAAAAAAAGTTTATTGGAAGAAGAACTTATCGCTAGTTAGTTCCTAAATGAAAATACCTATAAGCGGGACAAATAGGAAAATAGCAGATTTGTAGGGTAATAGAAAAGGCTCTAAAATTTACTTTATTTGGCAACCATCCCGTCAGAGGAGTATAGACGTTGCTAGGATGCCAATGACCAGGCGGCATGCAACCAGTCGCAGAATTTCTGAGGATTGACATTATCTAGGGAATGCAGGTTAGGGGCCCCAAAGTCATAACAACCAGCTGTTGTTGCCAACAGGTGGTGAAGGCTCCATTGTTCCAAGATGTTGCTAGAAGCTTTCGCATGTGCCAGAGAAGTTTCAAGGGATTCGTCGGTAAGGAGAGTTTTTTCAAAGTGAACACCTGAAATTTTCATGAATGAGTTTCCACCTGCATTGCATGAGAACGAAGCCAGGTATACCGTATAACATATTAAATCTGAGACATAGAGAGCAAACAACATGGATAAAAGGGGAAAGGAAATTTGGAAAATCTCACCACGGACGTTTTCCACTACGTTCACAACATCACTTAAAGTCATACGCTCACCATAGACTCGAAACTCCGTCGGCCACTGCGGCAAGTCCAGCGCTGCAACAATATACCTCACCAAATCCTGCGCAGACGTCATACACACGCACACAGGGTCCCCCATCACAATGAAATACGGAATTTCAGTCGTCATAGCACGTATATTCATAAGGTAATCCCCTTCAGCGTCTATGCGTGTGCTCTTGCCAATTTGGAAGGAAGCCATACCGCCCGGAGCAAAACGTTCGTAGAATATCCCACAAGCAAAAAACGGCATACTCCATGCCGTACTTTGCATACCCTTGCAAGCGGGCAAGACTACTCCTGTTTCCTCGGTCCAGGATGTCAGCTGCTGGGCGCGTAGATTGACTTCCCTCAAATTCTGACGGAACAAAGCGCCTGACGTGGAGTTGAGCAGCGGCATCAATTAGAGCTATTTCGGGCTGCCCTGATATGGTGGATATCACGGTGTCAATGCCGGTTAAGGCGTATTGGAGATCGTTTTCGTCGCCGTAATCAACCTTTATTACTTGCCAACCTTTCGCGGTGAGGCCCGGGTTGTCCTGGAAATGTGACAGTGATTAGCATGGGGCTGCAGGAGCTGTGGTATAGGAGTGGGTGGAGATTCTCGAGAAATATAAGATGTACATACATTTCGCGAGAAGAAGATAAACTGGTGACATGTTTGTGTGGAGATGTACTGGGCAAGCCCACTAGTCCCAGCGATAGCTATTTTGATCATTGTCAAACTATGTGCGAAATTGGATGCTCCAAAAGTTCCGGGCATGAGGCATCAGGATTAGAAATAGGTAGCGGAAAGGAGGCATGCTACCAGCTGAGCCAACGCATGCATTTAATTTTCAATGGTTTTCAAAACAGGAAAAGGGCCTTTCGATAAATCCGCTGGGCAGCGACTAGGCTTTAAACTTCAAGTCGACGGCGTGGCCTCTATGTGTGTCCACGATAGGAGAGGAAGAAATGAGGACTTTGAAGAGAAATATATGAACTTAACCTGGAACATGTAGTGTGAAAGCAGGATTTTCAGGAGCTTAACGTAGGTAGGAAGAAGAAAACGCCGTATTCTTCCGAAAAATATAGCAGAGAAATATTTATAAGGAGTTCTAGCCAAACAGCTAGGAGGATAGGCTGGCTATATTTGGCCGACCGTGATATTCAGCTGGTAGCACAGCGTGAACCCTAAGGTTCACATTCACAGTGTAAAGATATGAAGAGCATATGGAATTGTAACCATTCGAAAATAGTTGGCTTCATATTTGCTTACCTCCTGGATTCTGTTTTAGGGGTTTTTAAGGCCTCTGCATGAACCAGTTCATGCCAATAGAGCATAAAAGAGTATATGGAAAGTATGTGAATTGCCTACTAGCTGTAACTGAAAGTGAAAATGCAAGTACAAAGTTCAGATCAATAAACAGAGGGACGTTTTGGGTGCTTTGTAGCGGAAAACTTCCTGCAGGTATAACTTGAACGTGAAGATGAAGATGGCTGCTGATCGACGAAGCCATGGGTGGGCCCGAAAGACGCACAACCAGTACGATGCTATACAGAATCCTTATTTGAGGCAAGGCCACTATGACGCGTATGGCATAGGGCTTAGGTTAAAGAGCCTCAGTGAATATGGTCCGGAGAAATATCAGGTAGACAAGATGAATGAGCCTGGAATGAAGCAGTAATAATCTGCGGGCACCCAAAGGAACGAAGGCGGGGCATCGAGTGATGAAAGTAGATAGCACTCAAGAAGCCAAATGAACAACCATTCATGGGTTGTCCATCCTGATCCATGAAATTGTAGCAGAGTGCTTACAGGCTTGATGTAACCGAGCAGCCTTGGAGAGATGGAAAACTTTTCTTTTTATAGCATAGGTGAAAGATATATAGGCTCAGGGTGACAAGAAAACCCGCTGGACAGCGGGACTAGGCAGTGGAATGAGTTTCCCAGGCTCTAACAGTTGCTCCCTTATCGGGGACTTAGTAGAACGTCTCCGGATAGATGGCGGAGTGAATGGCCTCCTAATCATCGTCTCGTACCGTCAAGCAATGGTTTCATTAAATGGAAAAATCCACCTGAGGTATCACGATGCTAATTCCATTCTCGCATTCAGCGTTGACAGGAAACGACTTCCGAAAAAGATTAGAACAAAGACTCGGGAACCTGAGAGAATTGGGATTGGGATGGGATGTAGGTCAGAGGGCAGAGGTTGGGATGCATGTCCACGTGACTCAGTGTTCGCGTATCCCTTGGCATAGCGGCAAACGCGTCTACTGTTACCGAGATTACGCAGGGGATCTTCCATCGAAGAAATGAAATGAAAAGACGGGACATTAGGTTCATTAATTACCTCTTATAACTAAAGAGAGTTTCTCTCATTGTAATTGTTCCATGGCTCATTTCTGTCTCTGTGAAGAATCATTCCGCTTGCCTTGACGTACCACAGGACGGAAATGTCTGGTAACAGGAACAAAACCGCGTCAATCAACCAAATAAAAACCGTTTTGATCATTGTCATTGCACCACTTCGCATCGAGAATAACAATATAAGTTGGCTTGGGGACCCCCCCCCCCCCCCCCCCCCCCCACTAGTAAACTACGGAAAGCTAAGCGACAAGCAGGACATAAATAACTACCAACAGCCAAGGCAAACGAATCCACCTCACCCGACCTGGATGACCGTGCACCTCCGCGTCACAGCGCGACGCGAGCAAATATCACTCCTCGTCGTCCTCTTCTCTTCACGCCGTGCAATCTCATTGTGACTTCTCCACGCAGTAGATTCTCCATATCAAATTCGACACATTGTCTTCAAACCCCCCGCCAGCCATCATGAACAATCCTGAGCAATCATCGCCGCCAGAGGGTGCCAAATCGTCTACGATGCCATCTGGAAACGCTACCAATAATAACTACCCTTTCTTGGTCCATTCTCAGAAGACATTGACACAGAATTTGCCTCCCAGGGTAAACAACAAAGCTCTGGCTCGGCAAAAACGTAGACGTACCAGGTACTTCACTCCTCCGCAACACCCTGTTCTACGTCGACCGTGATTCACGGCACTGTGTCTGCTATCTATGCTCCTTTCTTCAAGTCAAGACCTTACAACATTCATTGCCATTTGTGATTGCTAATTCGCGTATTAGCCCTGATGACCAAAAAATATTAGAAGCGGAATACCATCGGAACCCGAAACCAGACAGGGCAAAGAGAGCGGAGATTGTCAACAGAGTTACATTGGGCGAGAAGGAAGTTCAGGTACGAATTAAGTGAAATATCTATGTATTCAGAATCAAGGTCTAACGCCATCTTTGATGAAGATATGGTTTCAAAATCGTCGACAGAATGATAGACGCAGATCCACCCCCCTCCACCCAGAAGACTTCAGACCGTCCAAATGCTCTACCTCGGACCAGGACGCGAATAACAATGACAACACCGCGACTTCTGGCGGCCCCTCTACTCAATTATCTAGACCTGGCCAGGAAACTGCTAATCAGCTCGGTAACGTGCCACGCGAATGGATATCACCACAAAGCTCATTTAGGTCTGGAACGGGAAGTGATTGCGGAGGAACGCTTGATTCTTCTCAAATGAGAGCCTCGCAGATCACCAATGTCTCTCGGCGCGGGGAATTAAACGATCAAGTAGTCAGTCCGGAAGAGCAACCCGGCGTATATAAAGAAGGCCCAGTCATACCAACCAATGAGCCATGCCATATCCCCTCTGCCAACCGCAAGCGGTCCAGATCTGAACCCCAGGCCCCAAACGCCAACTCAAAGAGCGAACACAGCCCACCCACTTCAAGCACGTTTATACCGCCGTCACTACGCATATCGTTATCCTTTGACGGGGAAGCTGTTGTACGCAAGGAAGGAGAAATCACACCATCTCCACAAAAGCCGAGGGATTCAATACGCATTTCTATGTCTGCGGACGGGGAGGCACTTATCAGGGGTGCAAACGAGGAATCTCCCACGAAGGGTCACTCGTCTTTATTGAATTTCACCCGACCTGCTTTGGGAGGACTCCGGAGGAGCATCAGCGCTTTCCCCCTTGGATCACTAAGGACAACCAATGACCAACGAGATCCCAAACCATTTGGGAGATCTCGTGACTCCCGTAACTGGGAGCTTCATTGTGATACAGATGCCAGAACTGCATTGTTAGGATCGAAAAATAGTCTTTCGTCTCTTGCATCTCGAACAGGAAAATTAGCTCGTCGAAAATCCGATCTGGGACAGCCCAGAGCTTTAATGCAGCGGACAAATCTCCCAAACACATTACCACTGTCAAGGGAACCGCGAGGGAAACGGAAAAAGTTGCCACGTGCGATGTCATCCGTAGCTTGTTTAGAATCCGGTTACAAATCATTACCTTCAAAGACAGGAGATGGGTCTCTAGAATACCATTTCGGCGATTCTGACAAGGAAAATTGGATTCCAGCTACACAAATATCTGCCTCCAGGCGCTCTCCTAGCAGCCAGAGGACTCGTCGTGGGGTGCTTCAAAACCCCAGAGTCAACAATGAAAAGGGTAGTAGTCAATCAGTCAACGGATCTAACAAAATGCAAACGAGCTATCGGGGCCAGCATCCAAATAGCACCCGTGGAGGGGAAGGGGGTGGAATTGAAGAGCTTTGCAGAGGACCTGACGACGTATCTCAGCTGATATCTGGTCCCAACCAAGATGAAGATTTGGACTGCATCCAGGGATTGCTGTCTTTGAGCCAGGGTGCATGGAAGTAGTTGACCGTGTCGGTCAATATGAACTATATTTTTTGCTATATATCTTGAAAATTGTCATTGGGGTTCTTGGGGAGGCATGGCTTATTATGTAAAATAACAGCCATGCCTTATATGTGTCATTTTATTTCATGAAACCCTGGTTTAATAAATCAATGTTGTATTTTTATGTTTAAATTGTTTCTTTGTCCTCAGAGTAACGCCACAACTATCTGATAAAACTAGCTTGTCAGTTACCTGATCAGAAAAAGATGACTCAACATCTCAACCAATTCGATATTCGACACCAGCGCTCGCAATTTACCAACCTTTTGCACGTCGCTTTTTTTCTTTCTGCATGAAAAAAAGGAAGATAAAATAAGGAAGAAAAAAAAATCCACTCTATCAGCGGATAATGCATTGAAAACAGCCCTTATTGACACTCCTCACGTCAGTAAATAAATTTGCGTGGCCGTGGATTCTTTCCAGCCTATCATCTGCATCCCCGCATTAAGTCAGCTTCTTGAACCGGCTTCCGCCGGCCTTTCGACGCTCTGTTGCTGTGAGGAGCTGGAATGCCAATCCAACTGCGACTTTCAGCAAATGTTCATATTTTGATTATGTACGTTTCCGCCTGTTTCTACATTTATGGGTATCCCCGCTCGTTCTTATCATTTGATACTTTGGTTTCCTAAGCTTGTGGGTATTTCTGAATTACTCTTCGCTTTCAATAATTTTACTTGTTATAAGTTGCCGCCCCGTTTTGTATGTTCCTTGTCCTCTGATGGGTGCAGCTACTTTTTGACGAGGTGGGAGATGTTAGCAATAACCAGTTCCCATTGGTGCTGTGCAGAAGCAGAGCAGTTCCAGATGCCACGCTCTAGCCAACCAGGTCATCTCCTTGTTTTTACATATGTGCACAGCCAGGAAAATAAATACTTCGCATAAGCTCGTCTTTTGTTCTAGATTTTTTTTTTTTTTTTTTTTTTTTTTTTTGGTTGCAGTACCTCCGTCATTTTGGTTTCAGTCGTCAATATTGAACACCTAGAAACACAGGAGGAACGCAGACGTTCCCGTCCTTCTGTGGTTTCTATAACATCGCTGTCATTATCAGCTGCCTCCACAGTTTTTGCAACAAGGTCTATGATAATGGAATGCAGAGCTAACGGTCTATCGAAATCTACCAAGTGGCTTCAGATCTCTCCGCTCACATTCGACTTGCCTCTGTGTCCACGTTTTCACACTACGACCGGTCTATTTCAACATAAGGCGGGTTTCGCTAGCATCTCTACAATGCAGAGGGCACCGCATGTGGGAATAGTCGGGGCAGGCGTAGCGGGCTTGAGGTGTGCAGATATTCTTATAAACCGCGGCTTTCGAGTAACTATTCTTGAAGCCAGAGACCGAATTGGTGGTCGTGTATGATTTGATTTTATTCATCTTTTGACAACGCTTTTACTCTGATATTTCCAAGGGTAGTAATAATTTGATATATTGCTGACTTACCCTCCAATATGCTAGATCTGTCAAAGTGATCTTGGCGGGTTCGAGGTGGATGTGTAAGTGCAACTTCGGGTTTTATTTATCTTAGGGCAAGTTACAAAGCTAATATCTGTTCTCAGGGGACCAAACTGGATACATGGGACCCAAAACAATCCCATTGTTGATCTCAGTAACAGTTCAAAAACCATTACTCATGCCTGGGATGGTTTGCCCCATGTTATTGATACTACTGGAGAGCCCCTAGATCACAACATCGGAACAAAACTTTCAGAATTTATATGGAAGATTATAGAAGATGCGTACGATTACAGTCGAGTCAATAAAGACAGTATCTCAGCCAACGAAAGTCTCTTTGACTTTATCAAGGAACGGCTAGAAGAAACTGAGTTTAGTCAGTATGAAAAGGAAAAATGCATTGAGCTGTCGAAGCTATGGGGTTCATACATCGGGTCCCCAATAGACAGGCAGAGTTTAAGATTTTTCTTCCTCGAAGAGTGTTTAGAAGGGAGTACGCTGTTCTCCGAACTTCTGTATCCCTTTTTTCCCCCTCTTCACAAAATGATAAATTTGCTAACACTTTTCCTTCTAGCCAATCTTTTCGTGGCAGACACGTATAAAAAAATCATGAACGCAATCGCTGCACCTGCGCTCGAACGTGCTGAGATCCATTTCAATGACCCCGTGGTTAAAATCGAAGCAGAACAGCGAGTTTCTGAGACTAAACACCAAGTCCTGGCTTTAACTTTAACCGGGTCACAATATACCTTTGATGAACTTGTCACCACCTTCCCCTTGGGCTGGTTGAAACAAAACAAGTCCGTTTTTCAACCAGCACTGCCAGCTCGTCTCTCTCTAGCCATTGACAATATTTCATACGGCCAGCTAGAAAAGGTCTATGTCCATTTCCCCTCCGCTTTCTGGGAACATAAACCCAACGCAACGCCCATCACTCGTACAAAGCACTCCTTACCGGCCCCCCAGCAAAACTCCCAAGGCCAGCCCCCTAAGATATCTCCATTTACCGAATTTCTCTCCCCCACCTACGTCAATCACCCAGACTCCCCTTTTTGGAACCAAGAATGCGTCTCTCTTTCTGCACTTCCTGCCCCCTACGCCCATCCCACCCTTCTATTCTACCTATACGGCGCTTCCGCCAACTGCCTCATCTCCCAAATATCCCCCCTATCCCCAACCTCAAAGGAATATCACGATATCCTCAACAACTTCTTCCAACCATTCTACTCCCGTCTACCGGGCTATGACGCCTCATCGCCTAATTGCCGCCCAACAGCCATCCTGGCCACGCAGTGGCAAACCGACCCCTGGTCGGGCAACGGCAGCTACTCGAATTTCCAGGTGGGGCTCGTGGAAGGGGATCGCGATATTGAAATTATGCGCGAGGGAATGGGTGTTGACCGGGGTGTGTGGTTTGCAGGCGAGCATACAGCGCCGTTTGTCGGGTTGGGGACGACTTCTGGTGCCTATTGGAGCGGGGAGGCGGTTGCGGGGAGGATTTGTGAGTTTCTGGCTGGAGCGGGTGGGGAGGTGTGACCTTTTACTGATTTGCTTGTGAGAGGGTATAGAAAGGGCTGTGGCTTAAGTTTTGGTTATTACATGCTTTCGGGGAGTGTGGGAAAGCGACGCGTGTACCGTATGTCCCTTTGTTGTTGTTTCTGGTTTCCTTGCTCTGTTCATGGGATGCTGAGCCGGGGCGGCATGGCCGCGGATTAATAATGTGGAAGTTTTAAGATTTATATCTAGCGGTAATCTCACCATTTTAGACTAGGTACTGAGGGTTAGGGCCATGTTATCTCCTACAGATATATCCTTACTATTCATTGCTATCTATTATCCAAGCAACAACAAGCTATAGTTGCCGGACGTTGAGAGACGCATTTAATTTTGCAAACACCATTTCGAAATTGCCTCTAGATGTCAGCATCCCACAGGTCGAGGACTGCAGAAAAAAAAAAAGAAAAAAAATCTCAGGTGCTAAGAGAAACTGGTGATCTCAAGAACTTCCCAGAAGATCCACTCCACTTCATTAAACAATAGCAAGTGCGTATAGGTGCGCCAGTCAGTTGAAGAACGGCATAATGCCATGTATATATTTCTTCTCCGTACTTTAGCTTCACATATCCTTTTGCATGCAGAAATGTAAATTAGCAGTCGAAAATATATGAACCTGGTGCAAACGCATGCACTGATGCATGCATGCATGCACGCAATCAAGGGCGGATATGAGAAAATGGAAACTCGAAACACCGTCCCTGACAGCTTGGGTTCTCGAAGAGCATGTGTATAAGGATGGGACGAAGATTGGGAAGCAACCCCCGGCTGAGGTTGGGCTTATGGCGGGTATTATGTTGAGAGTGAAAAGTCGGATAATTTGAGAAGTTTGACAAAGATATGAAAGGTGAGATGGAAACTGGGCCAAAACAATAGCCATCCTACGGAAAAAACACCACCACACAATTTTTGATTATATTCTCTATTCACCAATGAGAAAAGTATAAGGATGATTCTTCATTTGTCAGGGAAATAAAGAATCGGGTTAACTAATAGTTGCTAAAAAGGAAGGACTGGAACAAAAGAGGGTAGGATGGGAAGAGGAGAAGGAAAGAGAGGAAAGAAACAAGAGCGAATAGGGTATTGCAAGCCTTGCTCGACCAGCGCCAAACTGCTCATGACGTAAAAAAATTGACTGAAAATGGGACAAGGCAGTATTGTTACAAACACGCCAATAACGGGACAGAATCCGGAGAGGGGGGGGGGGGGGGGGGGGAAAGAGAGTGTTGGAGAAAGGAGACAAGGTGCACACAATTGATAGGTCGCATGGCATGTAGGTGTGGAGCGTATGTGTGCATCTTCCTCATCACCACTTCAATCTTCCCAGATAGTTTCAAGATCCAGATCTTGCCTTCCTTCCGCACCGCAGACGCTCCAGCGCTTTCTCTTATCTGCTCTACCACCACCAAAAGAACCTAACCCGAATCGCGGGTTACCCACCGGACTAGATGGGCCGGAAACTTCGATTGCGCTCCGTCTCCGATTGAAATCTTTGTTGTTGGCAGCGGCTGCAGCGGCTTTATCGGCAGCAGCTTTCAATTTCGCGATCCGATCGGCTTCGATGGCCGCAACTTCCGCATCAGGGGCATCCGGGATGTTTTCGAGGGAGGATATGCTGGGACTTCTCGAGCGAATGGTTGATGGTGTAGACGACAATGAGGAGGTAGAGGAGAAGGTCAGAAGGGGTATGACTCGTTGAACTTGGTGGGGAAAACCAGCGGAGATGATTGCGCAGAACTGGGGCTGCTACCGCTGCCGGGATGGAGGGGTGAGGAAGGTCGTCGTCGACCACTGCGGGGAAGAGTGTTATGAATCCCGGGAGACAATGGCGAGGCTGGCGGCACATTCAATTGAATCCTCGTTGATCGAGGAGTAGTTTGGAGCTCCGGATGCTCTGCTATCGTTTCTGATACGTTCAGTGTGCCAATGGTTGGATGGAAACTCTCTTCGACTGACAGGCGAAGGAAACTTTGCCGTCGTACGAACGAGTCTTGAGGACTCGAAGGGCGTCCTGGACTCCCGCCGCTGAAGCCGTATCGCCCACGAGAATCAGGACCCGGCGAGGAGTGTGCACGAGCCATGCATGGAGCACTTGGGGAGCTCGCGAGAGAACGTGAGCGAAGGTGTATTCCACCAAGGGAAGAATACTGCTTCGGGAAAATATTCAGGGTTGGAGGAAGGGGTGGGAGAATTGATAAGTCTGTTGAATCTACTATCGTAGGAGTAGTGCCATCATTCAAGGAGGGTGTGTCTGTTGTTGCACCTTTTGTTGAAGGAGGCGTGCAATTTCCGTTTGTCGTCGAGGGTTCCTTTGCATATTCGTCTGCGTATTCAGGGGGGCTGGGAGGAAGCGTGATGTCCTCTGGAGCCAGCAGGGAGGAAGCCATGATGCTGTTACAAAAGCCGTAGAGAAGGAATACCCGTTTCAGGAGGCGTATGGATATGAGGTTGCAGAACACGGATGCATGCTTCGAGCAAGGAAAGAAAAGAGTGAATGGCCAAGTTGCTGGGGATGATTTAAGTTGCACTACACCGCGGATGCCTGACAAAGACGATTCCCAGCTGTGTTCCGGCCTGCAGTTTCAAGTCGAGATTGTTGATATTGCACCGAGCCGAGCACTCAGGGGTAGGGAGTCGACGAAGAGGGGTGTGTGTGTGTGTGTGTGTGTGCCTTGGGGAAGCCGAAAGGGGCGCGAAGCTGCAAATTACCCTGATCTCCGCGAGGGGGGGAGGGGGCCAATGAAAACCAACCAAAATAAATTGCAGGACTATCACGTCCAGTGGCCAGCCATGAGTGCGAGAGATGGCAGACGCACACAGACAACCAGAGGACCGGCGTTGAAGAAATGGAGCAGAGTTCAAGAAAGGGTTGCAGAAAGAGGAAGAAAAAAAGGTTTGTCTGTAACAAGGGCCGTAATCAAAAGTCCGTTGCCAGCCAGCGTTGGAGCCTTAGTAATAAGGTTGGCGGCTGAGATACGCGGTCTGGGCGGATACAAGGTTTTGGGGGCTGAGCATTCCAGTATTTACGTGTACGGTACGCCGCCGGCCATTGGCTGGGGCCGACTGAATGTTGCTTGAATGGTATGATACCGTTAGGACATCCCGTTAGGTTGCGCGCGCAGACACACACACACACACACACGCACACACACATATACACACACACACACACACACACACACACACACAAACACAAACACAGGAACGGCCCTGTCTCGTGATTGCGGACGATGTATCTGATATGAATGCGATTTGCTTGATACGGAGTGCTCTAATCTTCTGATGTTCCTGTTCGTTCGTTCATTTGCGCCACGCCTGCGTGTGTCTCTTCAGCCTGCAATCCATGGATAGATAATTTTGTTCATTCACTCCCCAAACCTTCCTCCCGCATATATTTTGTCCTGGCATTTTAATTTTAAAACAACTCCTGGTGTGGTCGAATCGTTTCCTCCACCCTATCGCTACAAGAGTCTGTCTGCATAACACTCTCCCCCTCGTCCAATAAACAAACTATATCAAATCATCCACGGGCTCCTTGTGCCAAATCGTCTTCTGGACACTCATCCCCGTCACTTACGCCCTACAGACGGTGCATGTGGGCTGCGTCCCCCGACTGAGGATTCTTTAACCAACAGTATTCCGATCCAGAAACTTAAATATTGTTAACTACATTTCTTACAGTTAAAATGAGGAAGGGAAGATAACCAAATAATCTGCTCAACCTGTGGCAAAGTATTTAAAATATTAACATCATGTGCCTCTTTGTTTTCTGTCAGATTCAAAACAAAATTAATATGCTGCAGTCAGGTAAAGGATGAATATTTTTCTTTCTTTCTTTCTTTTTTTTTTTTTTCCCCCCCCTTGAAAGGAAAGGGGATGATGAAACTTTGATACAAATTAATTAGCCGAAAAGGAGAGTAACCGTGAACGACTGCAAATTTCCGATTTGTTACAAGGAAGAATGAATATGAAACTTTCATGTGAATAGCTAATAATTGCTGAGGAGTTTCAGGGGGAATCCACCTGTTCTATTTTTGTTACTTTATCATCTACTATTCCCCAATTTCCCATAGTATTATCACCTTGGCAAAAGGTTTGGCAAACCAAAGTTCCCACCATTCGGGATCGCGGCTAACGACATAGTTACCCGCCCTGAGGTTCCGCAGCTAGTTAGTTAGATACTCGAAAAGAAAGGAAGGAAAATAAAAATAAAAATTCAGCTGCTGCCACTCACCGGTCTGTTTAACTAACTATTTGGTTTCATTTTCGGTAAAATTGAAGCGCGTTTCTATAACTATAAATGGGTCAGCCATCTGCCGAAATTACCCATCAGGCGTTGGTAAAATCGCTTTACGGGGAGCCGATGGAGAATAAGGGATTAGTATATTTTCAATTCACGTCTACGGTCAAGCTATCTCTAGAAGGTTGATCTTAATTGCGATCGCCGCCAGGCAGACCAGGAATTCTAGGATGGATATTCTGGGAAATTATTACTGGACTGGGGGGTTGTGATACAGGTAGTTGTAAGTTGATTGACCCGATGGAGTGGAACATGAGCTGACACTTCCATGGGGCGCAGGGAATATTAAATAATTTGCGCTCATTTTTTTCACAAATATCCCACGATAACGCCCCTCCTATATACACCCCACTCTCCGGGCGCTTATTTAGTCAACCCTGCGGGAGTGGTGGGTAACAAGTTTTGGCCACTCGAGTTAACCAGTCAATGAGAGTATCCAGTGATCTTCGCGCACTAATCTGTCAGAGAACTAACTGTAGGGCATGAAAGCAGAAGCAGAGACGGAAAGGTTTGGAAGTCGTTGATATTTGCTCCAGAAGAGGATATGTAAGAAAATCTCACAGAAACAAAACCACTGAATAGAAAAGACACAAATTGGTCGTAGCATTATCAGTAAAGGGGTTTACAATTCCCCCCACCTCCCACTCTGCTATGAAATGGACTGTCTCTCTGCAGAAAACGAGCAGTTCTAAACTCATCCTAAATTTCTAGTTCAAGGTTAACTAACTGTTTCGGAATCTGACGATAGTTAATTCCTAGCTATTTCAACTCCTGGTAAAAAGACCAAGGTGTGGAATCGTTCTTCAGTTTGGTTGACTGCTAATCTCGCCAAGTTTGGTCGCATCGCCAACTATGTTAAAGGGGAAACCAGCGCTGTTGACCCTTTGCCTTTGGGAGTATTTTTGCGTCGGTAAAAGGTTAACACTGGGTCCCTTTGAATCATGTGACGTTAGTACGTTAGTATGTCGGAGCCATCCGATGAGTCGGGCGGTTGCGTTATCGGTACGGATGCAATCCAGCCAATGATTGGATTGATTCATTTGCCAATCTAATAAATTCATCGCTCAATTTCTCCTTGGCTTGGTTTCGAGCATTCTGGTACAACGGGTGTTCCTTGTCGAAGCGTTTCTGGATCACTGGTCATCGACCCAGCCATTGGCTTGGGTCATCATGATATATCAAGGGCCAGTGTCTAGATCTTCTGATTTGACCAGATGAGTGGTATATATTTTTGAGTTGACCACCGCGATAAATAGATGTTAGGGTCTAGGCATTGTTACCATAATTTGGCTCCTTTTGTTAGCATAATCGAAGACAGTTACATGTTCCGAGCTCCCAGTACGGGCAACCATACAAATGATCTGGTTTGGTATTAGTCAAAGATCCATCTGTGAGAGGTGCAAGGTTACCAAATGGATAGTCCCCTCCAACAACACATTTAGGGTCGTCTACATCGCCATCAAGAAAGAGAACCACTGAAATTTAAACCCGGGTTCTCCTTAGATGCATACGCATCTGCTCCCTGAATTCTTCAAAACAGTTTTTGAAAACTTTGAAGGGGAAAGTGAAACTCGTGTTTGTAACACTTTTTCATGGATCTCAGTCCAGCTATCCGGTTTCGATGACTTCCGACCATCCCGATACCCATACTCCAGGGGATATATTTGGAGGTCAACAAGATTCTGCTGAATATTTTAACTATGTCTGGTAGTATTTGTGGTTTTCGTGTTTTGCTTGGTCCAGCACTTCGTTACGATGCTTTCATACAACATTTCTAAACTCTAACAGGTCAGTCCCTAGAGAACCTCCTTATCTGAGCTCAATGGTCAGACAAACGTTTGCAAAGGAACTCTGGAGAACCGACAAGCTTTACCCCGATTCCTCCACTGTGTAGAGGTTGGTGGGAAAAGCTTTTGTGACTGGGTTGACCCTAGGTTTCTTCGGGGTCCAACTCCCTTGACGCGCTCCTGGTTAACCAAATCTTTGACAAATTATCCCAAGAAAATGAAATTGGCCAATTTTTGTCAATCTTCTGTCTTTCTGACACTGGATTGTATGAAGAGGATGCTCAGAACGCTAGCACTTGCGTGATACTTTGGAGGCCACCGGTGAATACATGCGGGTATTGGGGTTCTTGAGATGCTGAAATTAAGAGGGCAGCAGCAGCAGCTGGGTTCTCGTAGTAAACGGCAGGGTGGGCGTGCAGCCGCCTAAAAACGTTGCCATGACTCAAGAAGTTTGTTGAAGGGTTACGGAGTAGTTATATATGAGTCTGGCGCTAGGACAGCCACCGACATTGGTCCAAACACAGCCTCAACAATGCGCCAGCACAAATAGAGTATTAAGAATAAGCTAGGAATGCTACAGCTAAAACACAAAAAGTACCTTGAAACTGCTGGGTTTGTATTGGCAGATCATCCCTTCATACCACAGCAGCCACCAAGACCCCTCTGCATGATTGGTGGTTGGGGTATCCATGGCAATAACCCAAGATGGGTAGCTAACTGCGGAGTACGGAGTAGCCGAAATTTATATGGTTATCCTGTTGTTTTGGTTCAGCAATGGGAAAGTTGATGGCTGATTTTACCTAATCACTTCGATATTTAATTTAGTTTACTAGTTAACGTTAGTTGGCGGTAACTAACTAGACGCGAACTCGCCGTAACTCTATCCAAGCCCTATCCAACTTTGGTGCAGTCCACCCCCAAAGTAATGACCAAATTAAGAGACTGAGGCCAACATGCGACAGCCACGTCATGACATGAGCTCAAATAATTATTCATTTGGACCATGCCCGGGTTTGCAGCCCTGCATTTAAAGCATGCTCTTCAAATCCATATTCCTGTTAGACAATTACTCCAGCCCTCTCTCAATTCTCGCCCAAGCCAATTCAATCTCCAGGTTCTCGCAACCAAATATGGTCGTATCCCACCGTCGCAAACTTTTTCCCATGCGTCGCATACATCCAAAGTTCAGCATAAGACGCCCTCCCTGATATTTAGTGAGCGGAGAGACACTATTTCAACTCTACCTACTGTTAAATCGAGCTGCGCAGATGGCTGCACTAGCAAAACCATCTTTGGCTGCTCAGGACCCGTCAATTGATTACATTGAACCAACCATGTCCAGCCCATTGCCCCCAAATGCGCCAATTCATACTGAAATCCCTGTTGCCAAAACAGATACTCGCAAGAACTCTACCGCTGGAATCTTCGATCCAGAGGCCAATGTTGACGTCCTCGCTGACAAAGAGGAGGTCAAAAAAGCGCTATCGCGGCCTCCACCAGTAAATAGCGGCTATCTACCACTGCCATGGAAAGGCCGATTGGGATATGTTAGTAACTACCATTAAGCACTCAAAGCAGAGTACCTATCCCATGCCTCTCCTCTCCTCATCACGCTGAACAAAAGCCTAGGCCTGCTTAAACACCTATCTGCGCCCCTCTAACCCCCCCATTTTCTGCGCACGTACCTGTCGCATCTCCTCAATTCTCGAAAACCGCCACCCTCTCCAGGATGCCTCGCAGCCTCACCACTGGACCAAAAACAGGCCTGACCTGACCCAGCCGCCCGATGTGGAGCGCGGAATAGCATACGTACAAGCCCTTGGTCTCGCGAATGCGCGGGATATTGTAAAGATGCTACGGTGGAATGAGCGCTATGGCATAAAATTCATGCGCCTTTCGAGTGAGATGTTTCCGTTCGCGAGCCATGCGGAGCATGGATATAGCCTGGAACCGTTTGCGGCGGATGTGTTGGCGGAAGTTGGGAGGGTTGTAGCAGAGTTCGAGCATCGGTTGACTGTTCATCCAGGACAGGTGTGTGATGGAATTTGCCTTTCAGATTTATCTTGACTTTTGGAATTTGTACTAATTATCTTGATTTGATTATTAAACAGTATACGCAATTAGCTTCACCGCGCCCGAGTGTCATTGAAAATTCTGTCCGGGATCTCGAATATCATGCTGAGATGTTGCGATTGCTGAAATTGCCACCTCAACAGGATCGCGATGCCGTCATGGTTTTACACATGGGCGGCGTCTTTGGCGATAAGCAGGCTACGCTTGATCGTTTTCGGCAAAACTATAAGACGCTATCGACAGATATTAAGAACCGCCTTGTTCTGGAAAACGACGATGTGAGCTGGACCGTCCATGACCTTCTACCTATCTGCGAGGAGTTGAATATTCCCCTCGTGCTCGATTACCACCATCACAATATCAATTTTGACGCGGACAAGATCCGGGAGGGAACGTTAGATATCATGAGTCTCTACCGGTGCATATCGGCTACGTGGTCCAGGAAAGGCATCACACAGAAAATGCATTATTCAGAACCGACTCCGGGGGCGCTTACGAAAGCGCAACGCCGCAAACATAACTCCCGTGTGCAGATGCTACCGCCCTGTGACTCTACCATGGACTTGATGATTGAAGCTAAGGATAAGGAGCAGGCTGTCTTTGAGCTTATGAGAATTTACAAGCTCCCGGGCTTTGAGAAGATAAATGATATCATCCCTTTCACGCGATCGGATGATAATAAAGTTAAACGCAGTGGCAATGGGAATCGGAAGAAGAAGGCTATGCGGAAGAAGGCATCTTCCACGCAACGAAAAAACAGTGTTGGATTGGATAATGGTGATGGTGATGATGAAATATTGACAACAACCATCCCGGAGGAGGAGATTGGCATGGGCGGACCAGAAGGTCGCGTGTACTGGCCTCCCGGCATGGAGCAGTGGTTACATCCAGAAAAATGCGCAACTTCTCTCGGGATTGCAGAGGCAATCGTGACGAAGAGCAGCGGAAGCCCCGTGCTAACTACGACCTCTGCGCCACCACGGAAAAGATCGAGATCGGCTAAGGATACTGATACCCCGTATGCGAAGGCTGCTGTGGAACAGCCAGCTGCGGCGAAACGACGGAGGGCTAAGAAGACTAGTATCGAATCCTCTGGCAGTGAAGATGGGGCTGCCGCTCCTATCTCTGCTGCGTAAACGCAGACTACTCGTTCGCTGAGGGACGAGGAGGAAGAAGGTCGACTAATGCGGAGGATGTGTCTTCATGGCAAGCTTGAAATGACAAATGACTTTTACATTTTTATCAAGGAATTATTGTGTAATATAAATTGTAGCTAGTTAGCTATATGTTAAGGGGGTCATGGCAAGCCTTGTAAAGCACACAAGCAGGCGTTATTACAGGAGCTCTATGGATGTAACTACAGTTGGCAAACAGGCCGTTAACATTGCCAATACAAATGAGAAAAAAATTATGATTCCAGAATAATAAAATAGAACCTCTTATCATCTGATTACTGTTTTGACTTACTCTTATATGCACAGCAAATAATGCGTATCCGCATTTGCCATTTTGTTGTCAGCTTGGCGGCTTGACTTCATAAATATAGGGTGGCCTAACTATGTAGTTAATTACTTATGCTCCTTTTATCAACAAAGCCAAGTTCCAGCACACGGCGAAACAATAACAGGAAGAAACGCCCACAAGAAGATTTCGAACATATTGACTGATTGTGCTGCATCATACCTTTCCTCTCATTTTTATCATGTGATCGCTCTGTTGTTTCTTCTCCAAAACCACTGGGTTCTACGACTGAACGATCGATCTCAGACACATTGCCAACATCGACAACTTAGAGTACATTTACATACATCCCATAACCAAGCTCTACTTCACCTCTACCTGTTCCTCGAAACTTCCCTCGTTCTGGCTCCTCCACCTTTCCTCCGTTTGCGGTTTCATAAGGCCAAGCCTGGCCTGAGACTCCGTACCACATTCGCTTTTCTCCGATATCTCATCCCACATACCCGCAATCGTATTTGGACCAGATTCCTAGACCTTCGACACGACGTATTTCCGTCCTTTCGTCAGCGAGCCCATCTTCGCGTCTATCGGGCGATTGCTAATAGGCGACAGCTTAAGCTCAGACACAAGCATCACAACGACCCATCCTGTAGTCCTACCACTGCTAAGACATCGGGAAATAAAAGGCAACCTGGGCTGCTCTCGTTTCTGCTCTCAAAATCGAGGAAGGGAATTGGACCGGGACATAGAAGGAGAGGAGCAACGACGGACCGTGCCTGTACCCAAATTGGCTTTGATTACCATAGAGACAGTCGCATTCTGGGTGCCATTAGCCGGCATTTGAGGAATGTGGAGAAAGGTGACCGGATGATGACACCACAGTCTGGGCCTTCAGGCCCGTACCGGGATGATCCTACAAGTGATGCTGGCTCCGGATATGGATATGGATATGGACAAGAGGGTGGTGGTCGAGAGCGTGGAGCTCGCAGGAAGAAAATTTACGGCTACTTGAAGGCAGCGAATGAGCTTCGCCAGTCCTATTCGGCACAGTGGACACAGCGGAATCAGGATTATGACGACGATATGCGGGACGTGCCCGGTGGATTTCCGGATGTCGAGACGGCAAGATATGCAGATGAGCAATTGATTTTGTTTCCCAGTTATGGACGAAGGCATGTGAGAAAGGTTCCGGAGGTTGACTATAGGGATATGGGTCAGGAGTCGTCGTTGTGGACGGACCCTGACGATCTGCAGTCGACTGGTAATATGAAGTATTGGAGACGGGAGTGGGAGGAATATGAGATGGATAATGCGACCGTGGATGTCGATGTGAGGGGATGGATATTTGCGCCTCATCGGGGACCGATGAATAGGAGGAATCGTATCTTGATCTCCCTAGCTAGACGGTTGAGTGGTATACCGGCTCCCAATACTTCTACTCTGGAGAGCAAGCCAACGCAAACATCCCTGACTGAGGAAGCTTTGGTCGAAAAACAAGAACAATCGATCATTAATAAGTCTCAGATGGACACGGATCCGGAATGGCGCGCTGGTTCTGGACGGGATGCCGCACCTTCTAGAGCTGAAGTGGAACAAAATTCATATTATAACACCAATGAAGAAATAGCCGCCGCAAATGCGCAACTGATGGAACGGCTTCAACCCTTTTTGAACAACCCCATCAACAGTGCGCCGATTACGGTCTTCTTTTTTAATGAAAAGAACAGCCAGTCACGGACAGTTTGTACTAATGATGGCGGACACTTCTCAGTTCGTGCAGCCCTTGACTTCGTCCCAACTCATATTAGGGTGCTGGCTTCCGAAAACCTATCCGCTACGGAGGAGGTGAGAGTCATCGAACCAACAGGAATCAGTTTGATTAGCGACATCGATGATACTATAAAGCATTCCGGAATCACAAGCGGGGCGAAGGAGATCTTCAGGAATACCTTTGTACGCAATCTTGGAGATCTTACCGTACTTGGTGTGAATGAGTGGTATTCAAAATTAGCAGATATGGATGTGAGGATACATTACGTTTCGAATTCCCCATGGCAGTTATATCCCTTGCTCAAGAGCTTTTTCAGTTTGGCCGGTCTTCCCCCAGGATCGTTTCACTTGAAACAGTACTCGGGAATGCTGCAAGGAATATTTGAGCCTACCACAGAGAAGAAGAGGCCAACGCTCGAAAGGATCATGCTTGATTTTCCGGAGCGCCGGTTCATCCTTGTAGGCGACAGCGGAGAGGCAGATCTAGAATTATATACCGAGTTAGTGCTCGCAAACCCGGGGAGAATACTGGGGGTATTCATTCGAGACGTGACGACACCGCAGACAAGCAAATTCTTTGATAAATCGTTTACTCATGTTGAAAAACCTCTATCCCGAACTCCCACCTCAGATCCTCCTCCCCTTCCGGAACGCTCAAGTGAGCCTGAGACCCAACGCCCAAATTTACCTCCTCGAAACTATCTTGAACGAAAAGATCAGGCGAAGGATGAAACTAGCTCAGCAATGAATGATCTCATTGGTCAAAGGATTGGAGATGAACCTGCTCCAGTGAACAAAACTGAGCTTGCCAAAATCCCTTCCAATAATCGACAGGCACCCCCCCTCCGACCTTCCAAACCAGCAGCTCTTCGGAGCGGAGCCGTCGAAGCGGATGGAGATAAGAAAGACTCGCCATCATCCAGCGTCCGGCGAAAGCCCGTTCCGCCCCTCCCAGAAAAGCCGCGAAGTTTATCATCTTTACAATCCCAAGGAAACCCAGAAACTTCGTCTGCTCCTATCTGCTCCACTGATTCATCTCAGGCTACCAGACCAGCTCCGCCAAGTCGCTCTTCAACCAGACAATCGCTGAACAATCAACAATCCGCCGGAAACGGGGAGAGCTACGCCGCTATTGTCCAGGATAAGATTACAAACATATACAACCAGCTCCCATCTGCACGGTCATATTGGGCGAACGAGAACCCTCCCGCCACGTATCCGTCCACAGAACAGGCACCACCTTCTCGTCCAGCTACGAAACAACCGCCGCCACCGCTCCCTCCGCCCCGTCGCAGCACAAACAGCGCCTCTTCAAGCCAATCCACGCTGCTGACCCAAACCACCCAACCCCAGGCTCAATCTCACTCCAAAGCGTCCACAGCGCAGGACCAACGCTATGGTAACATATCCCTCTCCCACTCCCCATCCCCCTCCTCCCAATCACCCACCCCACCCCTACCTTCCCGCAAAGGAACAGACACACCTCCACGCCCACTATCATTGTCATACTCCTACACCTCCCCCTCAACATCACCCACTCCGGGCCCCACGGCCCCAACGGCAGCAACACTGCGAAATAAGCGAGAGGAAATCTGGAGGCGGCGATGGGCGAGGGCGAAGGATATTCTGGATCGGCAAGGGGTTGTGCTGATGAGTTGGAGGGTGGGTGAGGATGTAAAGGATGTTTGTATGAGGTTGATTGAGAGGGCGGGGAGGGAAGGGGGGAGTGGTAAGTAGGTAGGTTGGTTTGTATTGGATGGCATGGGGATGGGATGGTGTATTTACGATATTCGTTACATTTTTTGATGATATTCGTATTGGTAGGAGGAGTGTGCAGCGGAGAGCAATGGGATCTTTTTCGTTAAGAAATTCCCTGAAATGGCAGGAGAGGAATAATGGTAGTTTTTTCATGTTTCTGTAACAGTATTTTACGTCAGGCGGCCTGCCAAGATACATAGATATATAGATTCCTGAAGATCAAAGGAATGAATAGACTTATTTTCCGTACGATTCAAATATCAATCTTTCCCCCCCCTGTGTGTGTCCAGATCTATCTTGTTTTGGTTCATTTATCCCTAATTCCTCTATACCCTATATACAACCTCCAATGCCCGCGATATATATGAACATCCACTTCCGGGAATACCACATGGATATCAGCCTCATTTCCATTTGCAAATTAAAATCACATTAAATCAGACTACAATAAGTTAAAAGTAAAAGAGCAAACTACAAATGAGGTGCAACCCACCGATCAACTGAAGCACGTTGTCTTGTCTGATCCCTTTCTTTCGATCCCTTTTCCTTTTCCGGGTATAATGACAAAGTTATCTGATGCGTGGAAACAATTCCGGATTTTAAGAAGAAACGAGGAACGAACAGTTCGGAATTTATAAAGTGTGTAGTTGGATCGGGGGGAGGGGTATGGGGTTATTAGAGGTGACCTTAATTAACAGTGCATAACGAAGGGGAGCAGATGGTACATGCAAACGTACAAACGTGCACAGGTGCGCGCATGAAACAGAATGTAGAACATATCAAAACATGAAATCGCTTTTTCCCTCCCTTTTTTTTCAGAATTTTGACTGGTATGAGCGAGGGGGCAGGGAAAAAAAAAGGTTAGAAAAAGGGAAATAGAAGAAATAAATGAAAGAGAACGAACATGCTCAAGGATTAAACAATATTTTTTCTATTTTCTTTTTGACATTTTTTTCTTTGCTTTTTTTCGAGGGGAAAGGGGAATTAAAGTCGGGGTATATACACGGAGGAGGGTGGGAGAATATTAAACATTAAGAATGGATCGGAAGAAGCAATTGGGAAATTAGGAACGGCAAGCAAGAAACGACAATTGATGAACAGAACAAAATCCATTTCTTTTCGCCGTGTATATCTTCGAAAATACCGTACCATCATGAGCGCAGTGGAACAGTGATTTTTCGTAGTAATACAAGTGGGTTTATTCTTCTCTTAAAAGCAAGAAATAAAGATCAAAAGTATAAAGTCGGAGAAAGGAATTGAGGCGAAAGCGGACAGCATGAAGATGCGCGTCTCTGAGAATGATGTTCTCCCTACATAATAAATTGAATCTTGATGGATTAGGGGACAACAATCGAAATCGAAGTCTGGGTATAATGTATCAATTTGTAGACTCAGAGGCTCAGAGACTCAGATCATAGCCTCAGTACCTCAAAATCCTGAGTCGGGCTTTAGGAAGTCTCAATTTCAGCATCATTCTTAACCTCGGTAGCTTCTTGATGAGGCACAATAGGGGAACTATCAGCTGTGCTGGACATATGCCCAGGAGCAGAAGTAGGCTCAGGTGCAGATGTAGGCGCATACTCAGGTCTAATCATGCCCATGCGACTAGCAAAGGTCTCTGTGGGCTTCCATTTGCCACTGGCTCTGGGATTACTCTCTTCAAACATGCGATCGACTTGCTCGAGCGATAGACCCTTGGTCTCGTAGACGAAGAAATAAGAGAAGAGCATGGAGAGAGTGCAGGTTGTGCCCCAGATGAAGAAAACTTTCGAACCCAAGTTGGCCTTTTCAGCATCGACGAGGTAAGGGGTTACGAGGGCCAGGATCTGCGGGTTGTTGGGTTAGTGGTTCGTGTGGATATGTCATATGCTCAGGCATTCGTAGGGTCGTTGTTAATATCATGAATGGAGCGGGGACGACTTACGTAGTTCCAGAGCCAGTTAGAGGCGGTGGACAGAGCAACGCCTCGTGCGCGGATTGGTAAGGGGAAGATCTCGCCAATCAGCACCCAAGCGCCAGGTCCCCAGGTCGAGGCAAATCCCAGTATATAGAGACAGACGAATACGATGAGACACGTGGAGGCTACATTCGATCCAGGGAGAGCAGTGCCGACAGAAGCAATGATGAATTCACAAAGGAGCATGGCAAAGGCGCCCCAGATGAGAAGGTTGCGGCGACCGAAGCGCTCGATGGTGTAGAAGGAGATAGGAGTGGATGCGACGTTGACGACGTTGGTGATGATAGAGATGAGGAAGGGGTTTTGCAGGCCGCTTTGTTGGAAGAAGGTAGTTCCTAGTATGTAGTTAGTTTTACGAGTTTCATTTCCTGGGTTCAATTGGGGCTAAAGGGCCGTACCGTAGTCTGGAAGTTGGGAATATAGGTCAGCATTTTCTGGTGATATTAATGTTGAAGACAGAAAGGTTATCAGCACTCACAGAAAATAAAGTTGACGCCAGTTAGCTGTTGGAACATTTGCAATGCAGTGCCCAGGATTACGCGACGAAGATTTCCACTTGGACGAAGACCTCCTCTGAAGCAATCAAGCCAGCTGGTGCTGCTGATTTTGGACTCATATTCATAGTTGGCAGCAATCTCAGCAAGTTCAGTTTTGACATACTCCGATTCGACAGGCAGGTTACGGATACGGGAGAGGGAAGCAGCAGCATGTTCGTTCTTCTTCTGCTTGACGAAGTAACGAGGAGATTCAGGAAGGAAGCCAAGGCCGACACCGAGAATGAGGGCCCAGATGAGCTGTATTCCAATAGGGATGCGGTAGGATGCCGGGGTGTTGAGTTTCTCCGTTGCCTTGTCGATGACTGCGGCGATCAAAAGGCCTATGGTGATGGCCCACTGATAGATAGAGACCATGGCACCGCGGAACCGCTTGGGAGCGATTTCAGAGACATACAGAATGACAACGGAAGAGATGGCACCAACGCCAAGTCCAGCGACCAGACGGCCACCGACGAGATCATTAACTTTGGTTGCGCCAACTTGGATCGCGACACCGACGCCAAACAATAAGCAGGCCATCATAATGGTTAAACGGCGGCCAATTCGCTCAGCGATAGAACCGGAAGCTACAGAGCCGATGAAAGTTCCCAGGGAGAGGATGGACACTATCAGGGACTTTTGCCAGGTTGCAATGTTGTATCCAGACTTGTCGACGTCCAGGGGAACAGGGTGCCCAAAGGTCTTCTTGAAATAGTCCATGCCCAGGACTCCGTTGACATAACCGGAGTCATATCCAAAGAGGATACCTCCAAAGGACGCGAAGGCACAGAGAATGTATGCCCTAGTGGTAACAGGAGCCTCGACGCGGTCCACGTCATCGGTCCCAAACATCATGTTTGACGGCATGTTTGATTGAAAGCTGGGACACGAAGTTAGTAACGATTGATAAATGGAATTTGGATATCTTTTAATCCGAAGGATGAGAACAAAGAGGGAGCAGAGGTTGCACGTAATTTTAAGACGAATAGCATAGAAGAGGGATATAGCGGGGTATTGAAGGGATAGAGGCACATTTGGGGGAAATATCTTTAAAAGGACTTACCTTCGGGTTGGTCCTTGAGAAGCAGTAGATTTGAGAACACGAAAGTATATTTCGTAATGAGATGTGAGTATAGTCTCAGCAGAGTGAGATATTTGTAGCGAGAAAGGACAACTGTTGGAATTGGTGAAGCTGTGAGGTTGTAAGGGAAAAGGAGGTTGGGGAGGTTGAGAAGTCGTTGTTATGGACAATAACATACAATACCGATAGGTGTAGCAACCAGCAGCGGGAATATTTAATGCGTCATTTCAGACTTTGGGGATATTTAACTCTTAACTCAATATGATTCTGAGTTGCCTTGAAACTCTGGAGGAGCGAATAAGCATCAAGAGACTTAACTCGACATTTCACCATGGAATGCAAACAAGGTCTCCTCAAACAATGTGATCGAAACGCCCGTCTGCTAAATTCTAGTAGTAGAAGTGGTCGTAGGTATTCGTGTCCACTCAGAGGAATTGCATAAATTCCGCGCCAGTTCCAAGGTGCATCGTAAGCTTGGTAGATGTAGTATTGAATTCCCTTTGCACAGTCTGCCTTATGAGGATGCATTTAGGCTTTTCGCAGCAACCAGAGTTCAGTCTAGAAAGGCAATACACCACTATCTCCACCCGCAGACATCTGTCAAACGAAGGTTTCAACAGAGGCAATACCACATTGATGACACTGGTGCCGTAGACAGAACAATTATGAATTGCATGTGTCTAACAGAAATAGGAGCCATACGTAGGATTGTCTAGTTCTCGAGGAGACCTCGAGAAAAGGGTTCTCAGAGACCAGTTCTCTTCTCTAATCACAAAGCACTCCAGCCAAAGAAGAGCATCAAAGAAAATGTGTACAAGAACTGTACAGTTTCATCAACCGCCGCTGCTGGCATCATAGAAGTCCCAGGAGCATCCTAAAAGGGGGAGAGAAAAAGCAAAAATTTGATAACTCCCCCATTGGCTTCTTCAAGCAGGGACCAAGAGGTATTTCATATATCTCTCTAGAAATGCTATCACCGCCAAACTTAAGTTTGAAAACGATTTATAGCTGGAATAACCCGCGGTGCTAGAAAACATAAAGAGAAGTCTAAAATGAAAATGGCTCTTCATAAGTAGAGAAACATGGGCACCAGGTATACAGAGTTTCTTCCACAACTCTGAAAAGAGCAGCAAGGAGGGAAATATGAAATAAAATAGGTAAATAAGCAGGAAAAAAAAGAGGGTAGTAAGCCCCAGTCATTTTAAAATCAGCGATCACCAAACCACACCCGGGAGAAGAAAATATGGGTATTCGTAGCAAACCCCCGCATATGCACGTCTCTCTCTCGAAGAGCTTCGACAACATTTCAATATGCCATGACGTCCATTTAAGCTTCCCTACCTAAACTCTTAGCGGTTTAGCTTCCGCCGATCTCCCGATATGGATCCAAGGTTCAGCCCGTGTGTTAAAATTCAGCACCAGGCTGACTCGCGGCTTAGCAAAACGAAATCTGCGTCCGCCGTTTAATTAGATCCTGCCGAGGTTGTGGTTCTTATTTTGCGAAAATTTGGGCTGACGAGAACTGTGTTTTAAAAATATCCCGTATTTGTATGACAATACGAGGACTGTTTTTGAAGTTCGTGTCATTTTTGTGGGTTGATGCTGTACCAAGTAAAAAACTACAATATTCTCCGACTCGGTGCAAGAGAAATGAAAATGACCTTCGCGACAATTTTAGTCTTTCCTTTGATCTCCTTTCTTTCTTTCTTTCCCTTCTTCCCTGTCAATAAATCATCCGTCTAAGAAAGGTAAAAAGCTCTGTAATACCCGGCACCATCCGTGGCCCAATTCAGCAAACTGCGCTAGACCTGATTAGGAATATATCACGTGACTAAGCGCTCTCCCAGAGACACAGTGAACACATCGAACGGAATCCATTACCACTCATCTTTTCACATATTGTTTAATCTCAGCCCATCTATCCATTCCTCTCTCCAAGAAATCCACTAACTTAGGAGTAATGGATCCATGGAGAAAAGAGTAATTAACTAGACATAACCAAATAACAAGATATTTCATTCCCTTTTTTTTTTTTTTTTGGCTTGACTCACATACTATATCCATCATTTATGTCATTAATATGCAGGAAGAAAGCCCAGCTAATAAAGATAGCAAGAAAGAAAAGAATATATTCAAATACTTTTTTCCCTTTGTCATTCGTTCTGTGTGATAAGTGTTCCTTTTCCAATGTCACATTTTCCAATCCAAAACAGGGGCACAAAGGCCAACTCTCACATAGTCAAATCCACATGGCAGGTAGATGTCCAAGGCATATATATATAAAATCCCCTCCACCCCCCATCTTCCAATTTCTTGTATCTCTTCAGCCTTTTCGCCCCTGGAACTCTTTAATTTTAATTTTATTTTTGGCATTTTAGTGTCTTTATACCGACCCACCGACCAAACCTAGATTATCCCCGATATATCAGAAAATTGCCTGAACACGTCATATGAGATATATCTAAATGTTTAAAAAAGAAAAACCCTACTTACCGTTCCGATACCTCCCCGACTGCATACGAAATGCGTTCTTTATCACCACCTCCAAGCTTCCTCTGTGCTTATCCTTCTTCGAGTCCCCGGAAACCCCTCCCTGTCGATCCGATTTCTTCCAGAGCCTAGTTGTATCCATCGTCCATTTGAGGCTGAATATCACTCATATGTACTCCTCTTAGCTGAGCCTCTCGCTCTTGCTGTGACTGATGATTGTCGTTCAGATGCGCGAAAACTCTCCTTAAAAAACTATCCGCAGATTCCGTCCCGTCCTCGGTCCACGGGGGCACCAGGGGTTCGGACGTCTTGTGATCCCCATCCTGATTCGAATGCTTGCCTCCGATTTGCGATTGGTGTGGTCTTGGACGTTTCCCAGAACTTGTGGCTGCTCTTGAGGATTCTGCGTTAGTCTGTTGGACATTGGGATCATGGGAAACCCTGTCCTTCTCTCTTCGCCTCTCTCGTGGTTTGGTTGAGATTACGGCTGCTTCGGTTTCTCTGCGGTTTCCATCGACATTTGTGGGAATATCGTTATTGACCTGTGGTGGTTTCAAGGTTTCAGCGACGGGTTGCACCATTTCGAAATCATCAACCATGCTCATGAGTTCGTCGTTGGCAAAATTCGCAAAATCAGTATCAAGAAAGTCATCCAGCTTCTGGACATTAGGGTCATCTGGAGCAGTATGTGGAGGCTTAGGGTGCATATTATCCTCTGGACGGACAGCTCCATTGTTCTCAAAGGTCCCGGGACCGATACCCAGACCATGATCCGCGCCAGTATTGGTTTGTGCGATATTCGAATTAGCATCGGACGGAAAAAAAAGACTTAGAATATCTTCCGGTTCGTTTTGGAAAGCAGCCGGTTTAGGATCGGGAGGAAGGCCTGCGGCCGTTCCATGTGAAGGACCCCCACCCCCCGTACCCGTTGCTGTCGGCCTTGGTAACAGAAGCCGCTGTCTGGAATGCCCATCGTTCTTGGGGTCGAAAACCCCAGCACCCGAAGGCCCACTAGGGGCCCGAACACCAGATGGTGCAGGTTGGGTGTGATTATGCGTGCCCATACCTTCACCCATTTGGTTAGGGAATACCCCTTGGTTGATATACGGAGGGTCGAGGTTCGAGACGTTAAAGTCGAAGCTCGGAACACCTTGTGTAGTCCGGAGCCCATTCCCCAGTGGAGGATGCGGTACGTTTGGCTGTTGCATGCCATTTCCTATTGGATTAGCTGCCATGCCCATCCTGGTGTTGGCAGCATGCGGGTGTACAACCGGCTGTAAACAGAACTGTTGATCTGTGGCTGGCAGGTTTTGAGCCATGTACAGGTATGGAGGCGCTACTCCCATTTTGTTATTTCCAACCACCACTGGTGCCGCGCTCGGGTTATAATGCTCTGCATTTGGCTGTTGCATTTTATTAGCTGCCGGAGAAAAAGCTGCCATGCCCATGCCCATGTCCATCCCCATGCCGTTACGGCCACTAGGTTGGCCTCTAGGGGGCTGGAAACCAAAACGTGGATCCGGGGGTGGCATATTTTGAGCCGTGGACGGATGTGGATTCGGATGGGGATGGCCTACACCCATCTGAGGGTCCCCAGAACCATTCATCGTCCAATTCAACGGGTTCAGATTAGGGCGTAATGCATTGTGTTCAAGCTGAATCGGAATATTAACACTGTCGTTAACAGGGTGGTGCGGAGCGGGGGGATATGGAGGCCCTCCTCTCATTCGATGTGCCGTATCATTCACCACCCCATTCATTGCACCTCTGTGATGGTGTCCTGTGGGGCGAGGCTTTGGATCTGGTGGCATATTCACACCATTGTGATGGTGGTGGTGTGGACCAGCGGGTTGCAGGGGTGCTCCGATGTTCTGATGATGGCCAGGGCCATTCACCATTGTATCCGTGTTGGGAATTTGCTCATTGACATGTTGCAATCCCCTTGACTCTGGACCTGGTGGCATACTTAGGCCATGGGGACCTGGACGGGGAGGAGGCATGACTGTTGGAAACCCATTTCCCATTCCCATCTGAGCATGCTCGGGGCCTTCAGTCACTGTCCTCATGCTAGCATGTCCTGTCTTAACCTGTAGCATCATCCTAGTTGACTGTGGAGATCGAGGCATATTCTCTCCATCATTAACGGGATGTGGAAATTTCCCTCTTATATGACGATGCTCGGCACCGCTGATCATCACGCCTGGGTTAAGATGTTGTGTATTGGCATGTTGCGTCCTATTTGGCCCAGGATGTGATGGCATATTGATGCCACGGTGGATATCGTGAGGAGCAGGGGCTAGCAGATGTCCTACACCCATCTGGTGCTGAGGGCCATTATGGTTTATCACCGCACCCAGGCCAGGGTGTTCAGCATTGAGGTGTTGCACTCCACTTGGACCCGTGAGCGATGGCATACCCACGCCCACGTACGGTGGATGCTGCACACGCTGCTGTGGCATGGGAGCGGGATGTGGTACGTTTGACTGGCCCAATGGGACTGGAAACTGTGGAGGCACATCCGGTCTCATTCCGTGAGGCCGTTGAGGCGTACCGGTCAAGTTTAGAATCGGGGGATAACTTGGTCGGATTGGGTTATGCGAGTTAAAAGGGACAACTTGGTCACGATGCTGCGCAACGTCCTGACCCTGGTGCATATAAGGAATCGCATAGTTTGGAGCGGGCGCAGGCGGCTGAGGGATCATGTTGTTGGTGTGGTGGTCGATATGCTGCATGCTAGGTCCAAATCCATCTGAGCGTTTCAAGTTATCGATGGGCTTCTCGAGAACCTTTGGATTGATGCCTTGACAGCCTTTGATACCTTGATGCACGTGAGGGTGTGCATAGCTTGATCCTGTAGCTGGCGTCTGGGGTATCATGATGTTGGAACGATGTCCGATATTTTGCGTACCACGACCGGATCCATTTCGACTGTTGGAATCGTAGGTAGATCTCTTGGGAGTTTTCGAACTGATATCTTTTGAGACTCTGTTGTCCCGATACAGGGTATTCAGGGCTCTCTGATGACCATGTGGAGCAATCATGTGGCGACCTGGAGGAACTACTGGCCGGTGTTGTGATGCGTGGACCACATCGTTATCGTTGTTGTCTTGCAAAGTTTTGGAGGGTGAATGCGATTTCTTCGACTTCTTGGTGACTGGCATGGTTGCGTTGGAGTGCAGGATGAATTGGATTCAAAAGGGGTGTGTGTATATTGTTGGAAGGGCAGAGGAGAGCGGAAGATAGTGCGGCGAGATGGTTGTCGCAAAGGCGTTTTTGGACCGAAGAGTGCGTAACGGCCTTTCTTGGTAGAGGCTGGAAAGAGGATTGTGAAACTCGCTCTATTTCTTTTTATTTCTTTCGAGGATTTGGATTTATTATGTGAAATAGTATAAAAAAGGGGAGCTGGGTTTTGTCGATATGAAGCGATTCGGTGAGTGTTGGTAACGAAGTGCAGTTGTTTCCGATGCAACAACGAATAAATAGCTAATATTTATAGGACTAAGAATGGCTGGGATATGCTTTCAAGTGATATGGATGTTATCAAAAATGGCACACTCTCCAGGAGCATATGTATCAGAAGTAAATGCGATGAGGTCTGGGTGAGATGAGACAGCTTTATTCGAAAGTCGAGATGTTTACGATGATGTGAGGAACAAGAGGAGAAGATGCAGGGCGCAAAGGAAAGAGCGATAGAGAGTAGCAGCAGCAGCAGCTGTCGCAGGCGCAGGCCCATGACGGAGAAATAACCTTTCTGCAGCGCCCCACGGCACCCAGAAACACATATTGCTCTCTCTCGCCCATTGACACAGAGCAGTTGCCCCGGGGAGGCCAATCTTCATTCAACAGCATTAAGAAGACTCTATTACCATACCTCAGTGATGGCGAACGAACCTGTCAAACGGCTACGGCGAATCTATTCCCAGGATTGAATGAGGTCATAAGAAGGTTCTGCATTTCTCAGTGCCTCCTTTTTGCTTTTTCTTTTTGTTAATCTTAATTTTTGTTTTTTTTTTTTTTTTTTTTTTTTTTTTTGAAGTAATTTAGGCAGGGCCGATTTTCCATGGAGCAGGAAATCTGACAAACCTCCTTCATGGAAAATAAGTATCCAGATTATCTGTTTACGTTGCATGGCACCTGTGTACTCACTGTCCATTTCTGATGGGTCCTTCCACCACAGAAGGTTTGGCTGGAATCAATAATACCCAACTTTTCGGTTTTCTTGCGAAGAATTTTCAACAACCAAACAGGATACTTAACAGGAATTATATGTGAGGTACAGGGGGGACGGTAAGCGATATATGCGCATAAAATGGCGTCCTTACAAGACCACACAGCAGCAATTGCTACTGGATATAAGCATTGCCCCTATCAGTGTCTTCGTCTAGCGCGCCAGTTGTCGCGCGGTAAACATTTGACGTATGCCAAGCTTTCCGGGGTAGGGTAGTTAGTTAGTTGCTTATGTTCTTGCTTATGTAATCACGGAACCTTAAAGCCACCGCGCTTAATAGATTTCTGCCATTCAGACGGCATTTTACTGTTTTTGTTGTTTACGAAACCACTCATCCAGGCTCCAGGAGGGATATTAAGCAAAGGCTGAATCCTCAGCGATATTCTACTATAGCGTTTTCTGGCCGAATAGACATCCCCAGAGTGAATTCAAATAATTACGTACGTATGAATGATTAGGTTCAGAACCGAGGTCTGACGACATAGGCAATGAATGTCATGGTAAAAGGAGAATCGATTCAGCGGATCCACGCCACAGAAATGACGTTTATCTTTTCTGTCGCCGTTCGCCGTATGCAAGCCCTAGAACCCAATCTTACCTAGATAATTTTTAACGGTACGCGTCCTCTGATAATTTGGGACGTTGCGCTCCTTGAACTGATCTTTCTTCACAAGACTAGTCAGTTAACTACCCAGGACCGTTCTATTGCAAAATTATCCGCTCTTGTTTCTCTCCGATTTCTGTCCTCCTACCAAGTGTAATCCAAACATAGCGACTAATCCACCGGACTTAGCGCGTACACAAAGTTCACCTCCAACCGTCATCCCTCGTTAGACACTGTAGCGAACTCTATATCATGCAGGTTGCGACAAAGACAAATGAACTCCCGAGGAGTTCCTCGCCTGGATAGATGAATATCATTCCACCACAAAGACAACTCCGCCCCCAGTATCCTCTATTAGTGTGGGCTTGCCAACGACAGAGAGGCAGGTACATACAAAACTCCTGGTGTCATCAGCGATCCACTCAACCCATTCTAAAATAGAGTCTACCAGAAGCTGAGTATTAAATAATTACAATTAAATTAATGTTAAGCAAAAATCAAGAGTTTTTGTTCACTATCTATTCTAGCAGAGCTTATTCATCTTAAATTCCTCGTTCCCATGATTTACAACTCCCTCCCACATGTCTTTAAGAAAATGGATATCACATTACGTCTTCCCTAAGCACAGCGGCTTCTCCATTCAAATCCAAGACATGACATTGAAAAGTTCGCCAACACGAAAATATCCAGGCCCAGTCCCAAGCCATCCCTAAAACAAAAAATCAGTGCTAACTCCATTCCATTCCAATATATTTGCAATACGCAATTGATCCCAAAAACCAAACTTCAACTGCATTAACGCCACAACCTTTTCTTTCAAAGCAGACTTTCATATTTATCAAGTCCCTGTTTCTGTTGATTATTTCGGGGTTGCATAGCCGGTAGTGTCAACTGCCACTGCTGGCTCGGGTTTGGTTTTGGTTGACTAAACGCAGCAGAAAGGGAAGCGGATGACGAGGTTTGTTGGGATTGGATATTTGACGGTGGTGGTGGAGGGGGAGAGATTTGGAATGGAGAAAATGGCGTGGTCGTTTGTGGCATGTGCCCAAACGATGAGGCTGATGGTGCTGTTGTGGTGGATGAGGTTTGATAAGTTGAGCTCGCGGAATATTGATTCATTAGTGAGCTGCGTTGTGGGTTTGTCGCGGGTTTCCCAGATGGTGACAGCATGGGCCAACGTGAAGCTTGAGAAGGTTGCGAAGGTTGCAAGGAGGGAAATGGAGATATTGTGGACGCTTGCTGTTTTAGATTCGTAGGCTCGAGCGTAGGAAAGGAGTTAATGCTCATGTCAGGAGTAATCGACCGTTGGCTAGGTCCCGAATTATGACCCACAGTGCTTGTAAGATTGGTGGTCGACCATGAAAACTTAGGAGTATTATCAGTCTTAGCCGGCAGATTAGTTGGGTTGGATGTTGCCGTGCCCCAGTCATTCCAGGAAGGGTTGCTAGAACTGGACGCCGTCCCTTTGCCAAGGACCAGACGTTCAAATTCTGATTTTGAGTTTTCAACTTCAGTTCCGCCGTTCAATACGCCAGTCGTTCCAATAATATAGGAATTGCTATTCTTAGCATCTCCGAACTCGTTTGACAAGGAGAGTGATTGCAATTTTTTCGTTTGTTGCTGCTCGACCTTTGAGGAAAGGGATTTAATCAGATCCATGAAACGGCCAAATTGCTGAATATTGAGAAGCGGGCCAAGGCTGAAATTCCATAAGATCGGAATGACCTCCAGGGCAATGAATTCAGTTTCAGCAATCTGACCGACCTGCCGAAACACATTTAAGGCTGCCATCATGACCGCAGGTTCTTTGGTTTTAATGGCTTTTAACAACGGAACAACCTTCTCCTGGACCGTGTATTTGTCAAGAATCGAAACTGTACCAGATTTGGTTGGTTGAATTTTGTTTGGAACTTCTGCAAAATCATCATCCAAAGTCGAACCTGAAATTTCCTCCTTTGCCACTCCGCCGCATAAAATAGTTAACGATTCTAAGCCACGAACTTTGATAGCAAGGCTGCTGGTTCTGCTAAAAACTGAAGCAATCGGGGGGAAAACGTCATCCTTTACGGTAGAAAAGTCCAGAATCGGTAAAATCACCGGAAGACACCGCATCGAGGCATCAATTAATGAATGTGTGGAGGATTCTAACCCTAGTCGAATCAAAGGTAGTGCATCTAGTGAAAAGAGTCGTTAGTGAACCGGTATAAATCAAAGTCAGTAGTTAGTTTACACACCCTCTTTAAAACTCCGTCCCGAGCAGTTTTTAGCAATTAGATCCATGTTTTCCAGAACAACCATAAGACTAGCATCTTTGCTGTTGTCACGTTCCTGCGGGAGACCTTTAGCTCCGGTTTGGAGAAAGACAGGCTTGAGGTGGGGAAGAAGTTTCTCAGGAACGACCCGCGGGCCGGAAGGAATAATTCTGATAATTTTAAAGACATTTGACAGGATCAGTGGCAATAACTCTTTATCCTTGCTTTCGTCCAAGAGGGTACCAAGAACCTTTCTTTCGAGAACTGAAGGTGGGAATTCAGGTAAAATACGACCTAGTCCTTTCATGAATTGGGATTTCTCGTTAGGTGATTTTGTAGGTAAAGACTCCAAAAAGCGAATGGTAGATACTAGGATATTATCGAAATACTGAGATTGCTGGAACTCCTTTGCATTCATTCGTTGCGCCGCTCTCCTGGTAATAAGCCTTGGCAGAACACATGACGCTAGATCCCTAGGGATTGGACGAGAGGAAAGAAACCCATTATTTTGTGAAGGTATTGTTGATGGTGAACCCAGCAACTTTTTGTATGTCGAAGTGTTGCCGTGCGTCTTAAGAGGAGAGATGTGAGGGGAATTATAAAGTGCAATGATGAGAAGACCAAGAGAAAAGAGATCTGCAGACGTAGTGATATTCGAATCAATTACGAAATCGGGGGAGGTATAATCTAGGTCGAGTTGAACGTATGACGGTAGTCTAGGATCCTCGTGTAAGACTTCAGATAGTGCAAGCGGAGGCAGTGACGATTGTGATCCCGAGTCAGCAGGGCCAGCAAAAGCAAGGCCAGAGATTTTCCAGTCAGATTTCGCATTGATATAGATAGCTTCGGGAGTCAGGTTGCCGTGGACGAGCCCAGCAGATTCATGTAAAAACTCCAGGCCTTTTGCAATTTGCAATAAGCCCTTCTGTATTTCGATCTCATCAATCTCAATACCCTTTCCAGCCTGATTGGCATCAGCCTCCCCGGTAATACATTGACCGGCTCGCCGGCCCCCAACGGAAGACGTCTCCCGGTCATCCATCTCGCGTAAAAGTCCTGCTAAAGATGCGGTGACAGGCTCCGTAGGAAACATCAAACCGCCGTTTCGAGTCTCCTCCACTGGTTCCAAGACTTGAAGAATGGAAGGATGCCTTAGCCGGGTTAGGCTACTAGCCTCTCGTTTCAACCGTTCGACAACTTCATCATGTATCTTTTTCAGAGATGATGAGTTTGACTGGGAAGCAAGGCCGACTCCCCGCACATCCAGTGATTTCCGATCAAAAACGAAAATGGAAGCTTCATTTCCGGTACTCTTTTTCTTACCGTCATACACCTTCCAGGGGCCCGACGTAAATGATGGATGAGGGGACAGCTGATAATTGGCCGCTATATTTGAGCTAAAACTCTTCAAAGCTGATGAAAACATAGCGATTTCAGAAAGACTCCGCAGGTCGGGATAATGGTAGAGATATTTGATCGGGTTGAAACAGAATGCCTATGGGATGATGAGATCCGATTCCGATCAAAACACTCCTGATCAAACGCCATCCGCCGCGCTGCACCCGGACCCACAAACCCAGCTACGCTCTTAATAGAAGTTCACAAGGAACGCAGCCCTTAAAACGTTAACCTGCATCTGAGATATTTTGCTGAAGTCGTTGTCCGTAATATTCAACAGATGTCTATTACGACAGCAGTCAGAATAAGGATAGTGTCTGGTACAATCAGGATTCCAAGCTTCCACGTTCCGCAAACCGATCCTCATCACGTGGGAATCAGGGTTGATCGAATGTTTGAGCGTAGACGGATTAACCATGCTCCGATGGCGAGATTAGCTTTGGGCGCTGAGGCTCGAAGCCTATCATCTATCTCTATCTCTATATATTAATTGAGCAACGATATTGGGTGTTTTACACATGCGACACCTCATCAAAATTTTCAGTCTGCAGGGCTGTATTATTATTATCATTATATACTAAAGAGAGTTAATCAGTGTCAGTATAATAGTTGAATTCAATTTTCTCTGTTCAAAACTCTCTTATGATATATATCTTAAGAGAGGCCCTCCAACTGCAAATACATCACGTGTCGATAACACATCACACGCTTGGTATCCTCAATGGGCTTTCAGTTTTTCCTCCCTTTGCAGAAAAGTGACCGATGGAATTTTTTCTGAGACGATTTACACAAGATCAATTACAGACCTAAGAGCATTCTTCTAGATCATTCTTCATGGTACAGTTGAATCAGGACATAATATTCCAGTCTCTACTCGTATGCTTACCGGCGTTCATGCAGAGAGGATTGGGGTCGAGGGAGTGAATAGTCAAGTGCTACTACTTTTCCCTGTCTTTTTGAATATCCTTTCTCTGAAAGACACGAACGTTGGCTTGTGTTTGTTCAGTGAAGGAGGTAGTTGGTGCATCGCTTGCCGAGTCGGTTAGCTCAGCTGGCTTGACTGGCAACCGTCACCCAGTATGGTTACTGGTTCGGCGTTAGATTGTTGAGAGAAGTGAAGTTCCGACTGCGATACATCAAAATTAACGTCGGGAGGGATATGATCAATCGCTGAACATATTCTTTTTAGATGAGTTGGCATCCATATATCATAGACATTCTGTGTAAATTTGTATGGCGCCCATTTCTCTTTACCATGTTATTCCGTGAAATCAAACTTGCGAATCGGGTGGCGGTAGAGAGTAGTCTTGTCATCTTCAAGAACAGCGTAATGACTATATCCTGACTGCTGTGTGGTCATGCGAGATTGAGAAGGCAAGGATATCTCGCTCAATATCTTTTTCACACTTCACGAGTTTAAATAACTCAACACCTCTCACTGCAAGAGTCATGCTATAGGCATTCTGTCGGTCTGCGATATCAAGCGCCACCCGGCCGTCTTTTATCTCGCATGTTAGAAACGGAAAATGCATTAGTCTCTGTCGCCATAAAAAGAGAAGCATAATCTTAGTCACCTATAAAAGGCTTCAGCTTCTCAAGTTGATCATCTGTGAATGCGGACCGCCTGAATCCTACATAGGAATCAAGTTGTGGACGGGGGCCACAGAAAGGGATGCCTGTTGTTCCAGCCTTGATTAACACTTTCGACCAAGCACTCAGGGAGTGTGGCCCCATACGTATCTAGAATAGCTGCAGATGGGACAATCAATAGTCCAATATCCCGAATTACTCTAGCTTCGTTCCCACGTTGGACCTTCTCGCAGGTCGTGTCGGATAAGTCATCTCGAAATAATGAATTCTCAGGGACTGTCGGGGCCATAGCAAGCGAGGATTCGATAAGAGTGCTACTTTCGTCTGTAATTCCACCGCGTGCCTCTTTCATCAAGCTGCCTTTTGATTCAAGAATGGTTTGATAAAGCGGATTTCCGTATAAGAGCACTTTTTTCGTCCCTTGGCGTTTGATCACTAGGTGTGGAGGAGCTGGAGACCGAGCCAGATTCCTATTGCTCGCAGTAAAAAGAAGATGTCGACTTCTCCCCTTGCAAACAGAAATTCCCTGTTGCCCCTCCTGCCTGAAATATTTTTTGGGCCAATAACCTCGCTGAATCCAATAGTCGATTGGATTAATGTCGTTATCGCAGACGCGGCTGGGTATCTCTTGGCCGGTGGTTGCTTCAACAGCAGAGCTTTCAACAGCGGCAGTTGCATGAGTCATTCGCAGTCCCTTTTTTGGTGATACTTGGCGGGAAGGAGGAGCAGATCTTCGGGTTCTCGCGATCGTATCCGTTTTCGATCTTTAGCTTACAGAGGTGCGGTTGGATCCTGTGGTAACTCGACTCTACGTTGGTTTCGTAGCACAATGGGAAGAAAGGCAGCGTACCCTTCTTGTTCCGGGAATATCACTATTTGAAGAGGGATATGAGTGTTTTGGTTTGGCGTTTCTATCATTAGATATGGGCTTCCTTTGACTCTCTCCCAAGCGTGCGCTCCAACCGATAGGGCCTTGTGGTTTTCCTTTATTGGCCCTTTGCGGCCGCTTTCCTATCATGAAGTGCCACCCAAGGCTGATTGATAAGAAGGCTGATAATGAAGCATGGATAGCTCACTTCCTTCTTGAGCTTTCAACGTCAGAGGCTGTGGTCCTATCTTTATGCATGATTTTACTTGACGACCGGACTTATTGACGTTTGACATTCGTTGACATGGGGCCATGTTGGTTGGACGAGAAACGGGCGAGAGATTTAATGTTACCGCCGAAGATTGTCTCCTTTGCTTGCTGGAAGAAGGCAACGATGGCACCAACTGGCGTTGGATGTTGTTGGTCCAGCCTCACTTTGTCCAGGCTTGTCCGTATCCTTATTCGGGCATTCCCTGGATACTGCGGCTGCGCTAATCAAGTGCCCCCCTCATATATGACTATTTCAGCTAGCTGGCTCATCATACAACAACATTGTATGGGGGGGGGTTTGCGGCTCTCTGGTTGGATGGAATAAACTGTGAATAGCATGATATTTAAAACTAATTACATTTCCAAATATTATTTACGCATGCCTAGAAATTCTTGTGATACTTTGATCAAATAATAAAGATTTGAAAATTAAAATAAAAAACTAAAAATGGGATTTTTTTCTTAAAAAAAAAAAAAAAGAAAAACTATTTATGATATCCTTTACAGGCTCAGCAAAACAATGCATTTTACTGAGAAATAGCCAATAAAATTTGGGTTGTAATAATTAACTGTCTCAAACTTAAATGTAAGGTTAAAATTTGCTCAGCAGACTTTCAAATTAAAAATATTTTGACTAATTAATTCACTGGCCGAGCCAATGACCTGTTGACGGATAATATCCGTGTTGATGCCACATGTTTGGCTAACTAAATCACGTGTGGCAGCGTCAAACAACCGGCCAAACCCAGCCAATATATAGAACTTGACTAAGTTTTTTTACAATGTTATGCTCTAGGAGATTGGCTGCGGGCTTCTCCCTTCAACCTTGTCACGGTTCAACACATAGGTAAATTTCGCTATACGGTTTAGTGAAATTACTACACGAGCAAGCATCATTGCCCTTTGCAACCTCCAACAAACACTTGTGACTCGCTCTTGATAGGTGTCCTCCAATTCCGCTGCAGCTTCCAATTGATTACCTCAAGGAACCATGACAGCCTCTCTATTGACAGTCCGCAGGGGTGTTACGGCCCTCAGCGGCTGCAGCTCCGCATGGAGACATCTCATTCCCTCTCAGAGATGTTTCAGTTCGATGATTGGAAGCCGAAGTGATGGATTGCCGGGAATTGATTTCTCAAAGCTATCTATTACGAAAACAACGAACCCTAAGGAACTGCTACCCCCCGAAAAGCTGGTTTTTGGATCGTCATTTACAGGCAAGTGGTTCGCAGCCAGTGGAAACTCGATATTATATCACATTCTAATTTCGTTTTAAAACCCCTTCCCCCCAACTATAGACCATATGCTTGTGGTGAAATGGAACACAAAGGATGGCTGGCTTGCCCCAAGCATTATCCCATACCAGAACCTAAGTCTGAGTCCGGCCACCTCTGTTTTCCATTATGCGTTTGAGTGTTTTGAAGGAATGAAGGCATACAAAGACAAGGCTGGCGGTATCCGGTTATTCAGGCCGGACAAAAATATGGAACGGTTAAACAAGTCGTCGAAGCGTATTGCGCTTCCAACTGTTGATGGCGATGTGGTCATCAAGCTGATCAGCGAACTGGTTAAACTAGACAGCAGATTTATTCCTCAGTAAGATATATTACCTTTTTGGGTCTGGGTACAGGCAGGTGTGTAGTTTTACTTACTGATCTGGATATTCTTTCCCCAGAGCTCGTGGTTACTCGTTGTACCTGAGACCCACAATGATCGGGACCCAGGAGTCGCTAGGTGTCACTGCTCCAAACTCTGCCATGTTCTTTGTCATTGCGAGCCCTGTTGGCCCCTATTTCCCGACAGGATTCAAAGCAATTTCCCTTGAAGCAACAAATTATGCGGTTCGCGCATGGCCCGGTGGGGTTGGTGACAAGAAGCTGGGCGCGAACTATGCCCCGTGCATTGTTCCGCAACTGGAAGCTTCCAAAAAAGGCTTTCAGCAGATTCTATGGCTATTTGGAGAAGAGTATATCACCGAAGTTGGGGCTATGAATCTTTTCGTCGCGATGAAGAACAAAGAAACCGGGCAGAATGAGCTCGTAACAGCTCCCCTGGATGGCACCATCTTGGAAGGCGTTACGAGAGATTCCGTTCTCACTCTTGCCCGGGAAAGACTGGTCCCCAGAGGTTGGATGGTATCGGAGCGTAAGTTGAAAATGTCGGAAATTGCCCAAGCCTCTAATGAGGGCAGAATGATCGAGGTTTTTGGAGCGGGCACTGCAGCCATTGTTAGTCCAGTTCGCACGATTAGCTGGAAAGGACAGATGGTAGATTGTGGCCTGAAACAAAACGAAGAAGCAGGAAAAGTGGCCCTTGAAATGAAGAATTGGATAGAACGGATTCAGTATGGAGACGACGAACATAGCTGGAGGTAAGCTGGAAACGATGACATCCCCTTCTGCCCTCTAGCTGGCTGGCTGACTAACTGGCCCTCCATTTTAGTGTCAAAATTTAATATTACTTTGTCAACATTCCCTGGATTATTCTACGTATTTTGCTTGATCTCCTCTTGCCACACATGATGCAGGTATATTTTGTCAAGAATTTGCTCTCCATTTTTTGTTCTCTGTATTTTAGAGCTCCAGTTCTTTAGACATAGAATATACACCTCAAGTGTTCTGATATTATCTAGATACTCACGTTTTCTATCTATCCCATCTTTGCCACCTATATGCAAGCTCATGGCCATACGCAAGATTCAACCCAATGAATACGTTACTTACAGTTTCCGACTTTGCCCGTTCTTCTTTTCGAGGGCATTCCAGGTTGTTGCTTCAAAACTTTCATCACCGCTACCATAGTGTGAAAGGGACCACCACCGTGTATGTCCTAAAGTCCCCAGAAACCATCCGTGTGGACTGGGATTTGTTTCACCGGAATGGTTTCTCTCCTCAATCCCAACCATAAATCCATAGGCCTACATGGAATGTGAGGGAGCAGCCTTAAATAACAAACGACCCCCTGACTAGTGCGGGAGGGAGTTAGAAAATGGATACTTTGTAAGGCTTCCTGATTCGTTATCTAGGGGGAAGAATATTGCTAATATATCTCGTCTCCTTAATTATACTGAAATTTATTTTATCCATCTGCCCATGGTTAACAAGGAGCGATGGGGATAAAGGGGCTGGCGGTGAAGTTGAGTCGAGATTCAACAAAATTGACATATGCACAACCCTCCCGGAAACAATTACTACCATTCACCAGTCAAATGCCCACCCTCATTTTATCTTCCCTTGTTTGTATCCCGGTTCCTTTACAAATGTCCCTCGTCCTGCTAGGTTTCATGGCCCCATCCTAGCGTTACCATATCAACGCCTTCATTTCAAGCTGCGACCTTCCTAGGTACCTATCCTTGAACCCTGCCCAGTATATCAATAACCTAGGTTGTGATGTTGATTTATTTTTAGTTTTTGAAAAGTGACAGCTGTTTCCAACTTCTGCGCAGGACTCAACCCTCCACATGATGCCGCTCAACAAGAAACGTCTGGCCCTTCCAGTGATTCGTTAGGGTGCCAAGTTTGCAGTTGATACCTTTCCACTCAAGTATTCGTCTTGGCGCAAAGTCTGTCAATTCCAATCTTCTGCCCCCTGCAGGGAATGTTTTTCCAAGCTCCTGGAGCATTGCAGATATCCCGTTGTATGACCCCCGCACACTTTAGAATGCTTACAGCTGTGATTCCTTGCTTCTCGCTTTGCCTGCTACCTAGAAAGTTCATCACTGTTCCCTGCGTGGGTAAAAAGGTTGATATGCAGTATCCCAAGGGGCCTATTGAAAGACCTCACTAGGGCGTCACAACAGCTCAAAATCCCAGAAATCCCAGATATGCAACAGGACTCCAATAAAGTCCAAAAGCATGGGAAAGACAACGCACATCGCAGGACTTTACAACATTCGATGCTGCGTAAAAACTTAGAATATCAGGAGACGCCCCACCCTCAGCGAATAGGCTAGAGACCTCTTCGTCCGTTTAGAAACGGAGGTGCATGGGTTCCCAGCTTTGTCTCCAACAACGACAAAAAAGAAAAAAATTACCCTCTGTATCAACATCGCCCGTTTCTCTCGGTACAAAAGCAATAAACACAGCGGATGGATAGATACCAAGCTAAGGTCGTCAATCCACGGATGCTCTTAGGGTCCTCAACTACGCCATTCGCGGTTATCACGGTGAGCGGCTAACTATTAATAGGTCAGAGCAGGGCAAACCCATCGAAAATCCATGATATCTGCCAAGTTCCTTATGTGTAATAGCGCCGGAGAGTTTTATCGGGACGTCAGGCATCTTTGCCTTTAGTGCGCTTTGGGAAATACCACCTAGAAAGATCAACAAAAAGTTGAAGGTTCAGGGGTCCGTGGTATTTCGACGTGTTGAATTGTTATTAAACAGTTCGCAGAGACATTCCGGTAAGTTGGTGTTGGAGGTTGCTGCACGTATGAGAGTTCAAGTTCAGGATTGATGTGTACAGGTAACTATATTTGTGGTAATGTTTGGACTCCATACGTTAATTTCCGAAGAAGCAGTTGGATAGCGTATATTTAGGATGATCGTCACCAACTCGCAACAGGAACATTGAAACCGGAGACCCTTAAAAGACCTTGGCATAGACCAGGAGTAATTTATTTTTCACATACGTTTGAATCCTTGATTCATTTTTGGCTCTTGCATCCGCTCACCACAAAAGTAATCTGCAATGACAGAAGCTTGAAAGAATAATCCAGCGATGGGGTTCTCCACTAACCACTAACTAGGGCACTGAATACCGACCATAAATAATGCCCAGCTCGACCATTTGCGGCTGTTCTTCTTCTTAACGAATGTTCTGAAATAATAATAGGGCTGAACGTAACCCAACCAGAGCCACTACTAACGTGACACTATCGCAGCCAGTACGCTATCTAAGTGACTTCCCAACCCACAGGATTTCGGCCAATAGTATCCTTTACGTGGCAATGGCAGAGACGCCTGCTTTGTTACCGTTGAGATCTTTAGGGACGAAACGGTAACTTTGGTTGGGAGTATTGTGGCTGCCGCCTTTGTTGCAAGAGAATCCCCTCCGCTGATACCGTTGATCCCAGTAAGTACCCACCCAGAGGTCGGAGATAAATTTAAATGATCTCAAGCGTGTGTTGAGAGGACTGAACACCACAATTATTCGCCCGTACCTTTTCATGCTGTCGTCTAACACCGGAGATAATTGTCTAGTATCGCACTCAACAGCAATTCTATCCCAATAAACTTTATTCACAACCTCCCTAAGGCCAACCAGTGGTTCTGAGATCAGAGAGAATGAATTGGATGCCCTTGACAATTACCCTTTGAGGCCATTCTCGTTCGTGGGGGAAAATGCGGACATAACGTGCCAATCTCTTGGCTCGCAGAAACGCAATAAGCCACTCAACTCGTGTCAATTTGAGTGCTGACGGATGAGATTCTTCTTTATTCCGTTCAAAGCCACTACAAGTCGGAAGCTAGAGCCTCAGACCCGAGAATAGGCCATGGTCTATAACTAGGAGCCGGCCATCCGCCATCATTGGGGCAGAACTTTAAAATCCGTTGACCTAATTAGGGCCATATCTCATGAACGGTTTCCTCAGTGGACAATTATTCTTGTTATTTTCTCTCTTTCAAAGTACTGAAACAGACTGGATGGTTTGAACTGACTCCCTTAGGCTTGCAAGCTAATGTATCCTCCAGGTTTCTTTCCTTGCACGCTAGAGGACCACCAAGAATATGTCTCCGATCCAAACTGCAACAAATAATGCCGCAATATGGACACAAGACAGGGATATGTGCTTGCCCCCCCCCCCCATCAGGCAGTGTTTAATCTGGCGCAGAAGGTTACGATGAGATCACAATACGTGCCTTTTAATATGGAAAGATCATTGCCTAGAATCCAAGAGATGGATATACTCACAGGAACAGGAGAAAAGGGGGAACAATGCAGTGAGGGGAAACAAAAAGGAAGAACAAAAGCGAAGGCCTGACCCCCAAAAAGCGCGGATACAAAATAGAAGAAATATGCGGGCTTCTTTAGCATACATTCGGCGACCTCAGCACCCCGCAGACACTTGAAGTGTTTTCCCTTTAAGAATCTTGCCCTTTGAACGACGATCTGCCAATGCTCTTAGCCTCCATTCCATCAGGAATCAGGGCAAACAATTGCCACTATTCGGCATTTAATTTGTCCCTATTAGATTTGGGAATATGCAGAGGAGAAAGATCCATCTTGGAGGCCCTGAAGACAGTGTTTCTGTGACATCACATGGCCAGTGGCTTGCTGCTGAGTCCAAACTTCTCGGGATTTGGGATGCGTATCTCCGGGTCTTTCAAGAATAAACTTCTAACTACCGGCGTTAGCAAGTGAACTAGTTAAACTAGTGACGAACTTAGGAATTCGATGATTCTTCTCTCTCAAGTTCCAACTAAAGGAATATCTCGTGGCTAGATCTATGCGGGGAAGTCAGGAGCCGGGGGGGGGGGGGGGGGTGAAATAAAGAATTATAGCTCCAAAACCTCGTGCTCCGTACAAGACATAGTTATACGTGATCAGTGGCCTGACATCAGTATAATCAGGAATCAAATGGGAAAAGCTAAGTAAGGGTGAGCGACAAAAAAACAACACCGAAAAGTACGGAGTATATTGGCCCTTTTTAATATTTCTGCGTGTTCCTCCGTCGAAGGATGGATATGTCCAGTTGCATACCGAGTAAAGGCGGAGTTGAATTTCTCTAAAGGTCTGTTCCATTATATCGCCGAAACTGGTCCGGGACAGAGTTGTAACATTATTTTACATGTACATTGCATAGTGCTGAAAAGGCACGCCCAGGGAGCCAATCAACCCTCTCTCTTCTTCTTGGCAGCAGCACATGGATACGGATTTGCTTGTTTGTCTCCGAATTCAGACGGCTGGGAGGAACAAAACCAATGTCAACAAAATAAGGGCACGCACAGAGTTCTAAATTATTTTATTCGTTGAGAGATATTCGTGAAACCAACCAACCAAAAAAAAAAAAAAAATCTACATCTTTCCATACAAGATCGGGTGTCTGGACTTTACGGAGAAGGTCCAGACAGAAAAACAACGCCGTTACTTGTTTCAAAACACAAACTCCCCCTCCGGGTTTCCCCTCAGCCCGTACCCTTTGATCGTGATAAATCAATTTTTACAAAATGATACACCCAAGATAAAAAACAAATAACAATACATGTGTATGTATGTAGATATGTACATGCAATACAACCGTTTGGATAACACCACAGGCGCTAATAACAAGGAGTGGAATCCGTCATTAGACATAGTGAATTGATTTTGAAGTGCCCTGTATAAAGTTACTCTGGTTCCTGCCATACCTCTAGATGATGTAGGCCCATTCGTGATGCCGAGTCGTATGCTTTCCTCTCTCCTCTTGTATGGTTGAAAAAAAGGATGGGATGAAGGTGTTATGGACGACTGAGTCCCTTGAATATTCATTCATTGAGTTGCTGGGAGAGGCAGAGTTCGATCGACTGTCTGTATCGGATTGCAAGAGAGGAGGCGTCTTTTATTTTTGGGAAGAAAAAAAAAATGAGCTTCTTTCGTTTTTCTTTTCGTTTTTCTTTTTTTCTCGCATTTTGGGAAAAAAAGAGAGTCCCAACTCTGGGCACTAGTTCCGACTTACAAGGGAGTTTGGATCTTGATAAGGAGACGTTGTGACTGGAATGTCGAATCCAGCCATGGAAGCATAATTCATGCCGAAAGGCGTGAGAAGATCCTCCTCCGAATATACCAATTCCTGGGAAGGAGGTGCGTGCGAAGATAGCGGTTGGACATAATAACTTGGTGGAGGGAGCCCGGTTGGGACAGGAGTTGAATGGTATGCCGATTCTTGAGGATAGTGAGGGTAGCTGTAGCTTTGGGAACAAGACTGGTACTGGGATGAGAAGGCAAGCGGAGGAGAAGCGGATAGTTGCCTGGTCGATTGATCTGAGAACATTCCGACGCGCTCCTCGTCTTGGTAAGAAATTGGCTCAGGTAACACCAGCTTTGCTGGTGTGTTGCGTACATTTCTAGCTTTTGCTTTATCAGCTGCAGCTGGTCGGCCGGCGGGAGATTTGGTTTTCTTGGGTTTTGATTGAGTTGGGAGACTGAGTTCTCGATGTGATTGCTCTGGAGAAGCGGAGGAGGATGTGGCTCTTCGTTCCAAATCCTCAAGACGTCGTTTTAGCTTCTTGCCTTTTTAATAATAATAGGTTAGCTACGTAGATCTTCCTCCGCCCTTGTTAGAAGCTGCGCTTACGGTAGTTTCTTTGGGCAATTCTATTTTGAATGCGCCGTCGCTCGGCCAAATCAGATATCTTTGTCCAATCTTCGTTGGGGTGAGCACTGGCACTGAATGCACTGCTGGTTCCATGGCTAGATGTGAACCGGGGCGATGGTGTGGGTTGAGGATGGTTGTAGGGATACCCCGTACGATTCATCACGGTTGCAAGAGAAGACATATGTTTCAAGGGGTGATTTGGGTCGAGATAAAAGATGTTAAAGAGCATAAACAATGAAAAAGGATTTGCCAAAAAAGGAGTCGACTTAACACGTAGTTATGTACTGTATAGTTATCATGTCCACTCGAGTAACTTTGGAAAAACGGGAATCGAAGGTGGGGAGGGGAGATATTTATCAATTCATCGCCGCTTCGAGAGTCGCATGTCCTAGCTGATCATCCACAGCTCAACCCATGTCAACCGTTGTGAGCAAGGGGTCCTCGTGCCTAGGGTACGGCTGTAGTATGGTTGGCAACAACCCTGCGTGTCCATATGTAATTTTTGTGGCGTGCAAACCAGAGTTTCGAATTTGCGACCAGGGCTTAGTTTAGCGCTGTAATGGTTGATACCACCCTTAACAGTATGCTATTAGTAGCATATAGCAGCTCATTTGCCCAAGGGCAAGAGATGAACATCCTTAACACACCGAGAATCAGAGCCCCGGAGACCGGAGAGTGGCCTCGTCCGATTGATTTCCGGACTCTCTGTATTCTGAGCCTCCACAAGAAACACCAAATCTGCTCTGCCTCCATAGCGGGACATCTAGCAAGTATATCTTTGCAAGGGCATTCATTGCTGGATGTTGGAGTGTGGATAACGTGGCACACCCACATCCACCCCGACACAAAGGCCCAGGGCCGCTATTACTGGGAATAACCAAGATGCCGTCCGCCCACCCTCTACTCAAAGGGCGGCATGGAGATAACATCAACTTGCCAGTAAAATCTGTTTTTGGGCATCTCAGTTGCTGTGCTAACAATAATATTTGCCCGGCTCATCCTTGCAGCTCACCAGCATTTCCCAACACCATTTTATTGATTGTATAACGTTTTGCCAATTGAAAGTCCCTGTGCTGGAATTCGTAAATGGCAAGTTCACATGTCTCCAAATTTATGATATGGAAATTACCGCGAAGCAGCGATGTTGTCCGGCATGGTGCTCACGCAGGGCTTGGTTGTTTGCCGTTCGACATCATATCAACAGGGCACCTCAGGAACCTCGTTAGAAACTTCCATTTTCAGTTCATGGAACATGAACCCCAGTCACCCATGCCCATATTGCTACCGTACCCAGAATGCTTCTAGGACTAAGTATAGAGTACGAAGTCGAAGAACCGAATCAAGCAGCTGGAATGAAATACCGCTCAAGACTCTGGCGCTACCGAAGGCAGGATTCCGGACGCGCTAAGCGAGCTGCCGTTGTCGCAGTCGAATCAAAGAGAGACGATTGCCAGGTTCGACTGCTTAGACGCGCCCAAAATAGCATATTTCCTCTAAATTTAGTGATTTGGCTGCTGGATTAGCCGCGATGGTGGGTCTTGACTTCGATGGGGGGTCCGGCTCGGTTTTGTTGCGAACGTCGCGCCTGTGACGGTCAGCACTAGAGCTGAAGCCGAGAGTCGTTGGTCTAATATTAGTTCTCCTAGTTTCAACATTCAAACATGGGGTTGCATCTTGTTACCTGATTGCAATCAATCATGCCGTTTTCTATTTTTGGACTCACTTTCCCGAGAGCCATTCTGTCATTCCGTTTATATGTCGCTCTCGAATAGAAGAGGTCTATGCGTTGGTGATTGCCTGGGATCCAACAGGCAAGATGCGGCGAAGTTGATGCCACTAACATGAGTGTTGTTTTGGTGATGCGTTGTGAATGGGCTATTTCAATTTGTATCTCTCGGAACTGCGGATTCTCGTCTTTCCGACTCTGAAGGTGGGAGGGAGAAGGGAATTGAACCCCATAATGGACGACATTTCAGATCAATATAATAGTGACAAATATGTTAAATTTGTGTTTCCACACCCTACACGCCCATGGTTATACCAATGACTATAAAGAATTCTCGAAATGGTCGAAAGCCATGCCATGTATATGGTCATGTCGCATTATCTCCCTCACCAGGCCCCACCGCTCAACAGCTAAGAAGCGGCATTTGCCCTGGAGAGTAAATTCCGGACGGGGTGCCCGAGCCTTGAATATCAGATCTCCTATCCACCGACCTAGATGAGTAACTAGTTTTGATCTGAAGGCTACCAGTACGTTTCGAATGGTAGCCAGGGGGAAATGAACATTGCACGCTATCCCAAGTTCCCAACCCTGTTGTCCCCTTTGGCTTTGGTCAGCAGCAGCTGCGCCTTTGGTCGTCATGCGGGCGGAAATTTCTAATTAGATCTTGGAAATTAATGAGATTACTCTGTTGTCCATTGCGTCTGTCATGTAGCGGCGCACTTGTCAAAAAGCAGTGTTGGGGATCAACGGTCTACAGACATGCGTCCCCTGGGATAACCACCTATTCTACGTTCATAAGCTGAAGCATATAAACAACCTCAACCACAGCTCCTTTCGTTACATTGACGAAGACGAAGACGAAGACGAAGGGCGATATACGCAATGAAGCAGAAAGACCAGCTCCAATCGTCATGGCGCATGTGTTGAAGTCTAAATTTGATTCATACCAATACTGATAGACTTATTCGAAGTGAAGACAACCCCCTGGAACGCCCGCTTCGCTTGGGTCCCTGCAAGAACCCGGTAGGGCTGATCACTTGGTAGGTCGCGGAGTCCCGTTCTAAGCCTGGAGTTAATTGCTACGGAGCTCTTAACTACCTCCAGACTCCATATTTCTCGGCGCCGTTCGCAGTTAAAATTACGGGTACTTCATGCTAATAATAGTACCGGCCGATGCATGTACGGCAGTTCGTTCTCAAATGAGGTTATAGCTGCTAGGGCGTGGAATAATAATCATCCTTGGGTTGGGTACGCCATTTTAAGACGCTTGTTACGTGCAGACATTAACTACATAGATAACTACTGTAGTTTTGCAGTTGCAGACTATGATGGCCCACAGTTCGGTTAGTTTTCTGAAATATGAACGGTTGAATTTCGGCTTCGGCTCGCCTATTAAATAGCTGGATGTTAGTTAGCTACTTGAGTTGAATATAACGTTGCAGTCGTCAAAGAAGATCAAACATACAATTGAGAGTGGTTCCACAGACCCAACCTTGGAAACCAGCTTGTCTTTAGCATCCACTTTTCAATCTCGCTGGTTAACAATCAGGAAGAGGCCTTTCAAATTTCAGATAAGTTATCAAAGCACCCGTTCTGAATGGAAAGGAATTCCATTCCCTGGGAAAGTTCCTCAGCTTGATTTACTTCGGGTTATCTGGAAGAGCTTGCATTGTCCTACAAGCCAAATTTGTATGTATGCCTGGATGGTATTATCAACTGGGTCGTGTACTGGTTCGGAATTCTAGATCGATGTTATACAACAAAATCTTCGGATTTTGGAAATTCCACTAACACCACCTCGTGTGCATTTCTTGAGCAGTTAGCAGAGGCGGCGACATGAATATTTTAGAGGAGTTTACCAACCGATTGAAGAGACAATGTAGAAGAAGAGACAATAAAGAAGATGGCCTTGTCGAAAAGAAAAAAATAGCTGCTGAAATACCAGAGTCGTAAAGGGGGGGATTTAGTTACATACTCCGTATTGACTCTGTACCCGTGTTCTTGCCGATCTACAAGATGGAAAGAAATATAGAACAAATATGTAAATATTTATTGCCAATCTTTTGCTTTTATTTTCTTGCGTTTTTAGACTCCCATTTCTGATGCCAGTTAAAAAGGGAAAGAAAAGAAAATCTTGAACAAGGTAAAATATAGAATAGTAAAGGACAATCGACAAGTAGAAATCCTTAGATACAAGTAGCGGTGGACGTAACAATCAACATGGCGTTGGTGTGTGTGGGATAAGGTGACAAGATGCATTATCAGAATAGGGATTGGGTGAGATTTACTAGATACAAATATCTTCTTCTCTTGAAATAAACAAAGCAAAATGTGGGAAAGGAATCGGGAAGATAATAAACGAGAAACGAGAAACGAGAATGAAAAGATGCCATGAGAAGGAAAAGACATAGAAAACGAAAGAGAAGAAAAGCCCTCGAGAAAGAAACAGAGTAGGGATAAAAGTGGAAAGGCAAGGAGATTTTGACATTACTGCGTTATCCATTTCAATCTCAAAATAAAATAAAAATAAAAAATAAAAACTAATAAATAAAAATAAATAAATAAAGAGGAGGGGGGGATGAGGGGAAAATAAATGCGGGGCACAAATAGGCAAAGATGTATGCAGGGAAAACACACCCCGTTCATCCACCTTGTCCCATACCGTTAGTATTCGTTAGATCAGGGTTATGTTGTCTCCGTCTCCATATCGGGGCCTTCTTTCGCCTGTTGATAGCAGCCTGTTGCTGCGATTCCGCGACTTCCATATCTAGATCTCCATCATCATCCCCGCCTCCCTCCAGATGAGTGAGGTGGTAGACAGCGGTCTCATCGAGTTCATTGATATTATCTGGTTTCATCCGCAGCCACTTCATACGCGGTCCCGACTTAGCACGCTCGGACACTCTGAAGCCATAAATGCGGGGTTCGTATATTTTGCCTTGACCGAGACCTGGTGCGAGGTTCGATGTCATGATGCCATTGATCTGGGTTGGTTGGGTTGGGGGCGGTTGGGAGATTGACGACGTTGGCGTCGGGGATGCGATGGAGGGATGCCGTGAGTTTGTGGCCATAGTTGTAGTCGAATTGCTGGTTGGAGTGGGAGACGTGGTACTTTCGTTTTGAGCGGCGACATCGAGTTCGGGGAATGTCATGAAAAAGAGACAGCCGAAAGTTGTGCCGAAAAATGCTCCGTCAACGTGCTGGAATCTGCTGTTTGGCGGAGTGTATATATCCTGGCAACTTGGACAAAAGAGCTTTACGGTGTCGACTCCCGGCGTGTCGGTAACACCGACGGGGAGGACCTTGCACCCATTGCAGTAAACACGAGGACATACACCAAAATGTTGCAGCTCATACTTTTCTAGCATCTGTTGGATACCAGGCCTCGAGGTAATATATCGCTGGTGGATCAATCCATAGAGCAGCTCAGCAGAGCTCTCAATAACACTCAGATCACTAGCAACACGCGAATGTCTTCGGTCGCCCGCCTTCCGATAACCTGGGGGCCTATCATCTCCTAAAACGGCGTCTTCATCCTCATCGTCGTCCTCATCCTCCTCGTCATCCTCCTCATCCTCAGGCTCCACGTCTAATATCAATTCCAGCGCCTCTTTGTACCAGGGCACCTGGGACTGCAAACCAGTCAAATTAAAATCATCCTCAATGAAATCTTCCGAAACTTCTGCAAAAAACTCGTGGCCCATCAGTGAGCAGTATGCTGCAATCCAGGTATCAGGGGATCCGTCGGAGGACGACATGGCGAAGGAGCTGAAGGTTGATCTGGACGGCGTGGAGGAAGAAACTTGGCTCAAGTCCAGCCGTTCCAGGCCTTCAGCCAGTGATGAAGGCGAAATCTTCGACACGATGACCCCAAGCTTTGCGAATCTCTGGCGTCGGAATTGCGAGGGGAAGAGGAATCGAATCGAGTCTGGGTATGCAGACGAAGGTTGGGCGTCGACCACACTCAAGACGACGGGAACATACCTTATGCCTGAGGTAACGAATTGATTCTTAGTATGTAGGTTTCGTGTTCTGCGCGGTGTCTGTTGGTATGAGGAAGGGGGCCTCTTCGTGTTTCCTTCGCAAACCAGCCGAGAGTTGTGTACTTGGCTCCGTTCAATCATCAAATAGAGGGGTACGATTTAAGATGCGGTGCGGGACGAGTCGCTTGGCCAAGGACGGAATAGTTTTGCAATTCCGTTAGTCCTCAGGGTTCCCCCCAAAGCGACAAAGGAAGTTCTGGTGTGTTGAAGCAAAGATCCTGTGTTGCGGCAGGCACATGTGGTTTTGTATGATAGGAATGCTAGAGTGGTTGTGTGGGAGTGTGCAGTCTGGTCATGCAGATAGGCCTGATATGCAGATTGCTGGGGTCCCCGAGGAGCAGATGGCGCGGCTTGGGGAGAGAAGAACTGCGGACACGGTTTACTCTGCAAAACACCAACAGTGAGAATTCCCTCGTGTTTCTAACAAGTTGTCAGCCTTTTCTTCCAATATTCTTACTTTCTGCCTGCGTTTGCAAATGCATCCAACTGAGGCGCAAAAGCACATGATCGCAAGCCATGTCACGTGAAATACACTGTAAATACAGGTTAGTCAGCATTAATCTGGCTCCGTGTGAGTCAAAACATTTAAATCTTTCTGAATTTCTTTCACTCAACAACTAATTAAATTAAATTAATTCGAGAATTAGAGTAATATGCTCTTTTATAGTATATTATATTTATTGTATTGTAATAAAGTTCATAAGTATGATATATACTATAAAGTAAAAATAATAAAAATTTAAATAATTAATTATTTAATATTTCAGTAAATAAAATAGTAAACTTTTAAACTTTTTCTCTAGTTAAAACCTTTTTATAAAATTTACCAGTTTAAATCTCTTTTAGTTTTATTTTTTTCTCAATATATAATAAATATATTATAATATTAATTGATTTATAATTATAAATCTTAATAATTTAAGTAATTTTTTTTTAAGTTAAAAGAAAACTTTTCAAGATTTTATGTTATAACAATTTTGATAATTTTGTATTTTCATTATTGAGTATTATAATAAATAGTTAAATTTGATAAGTGAGATTGAATAAAGTATAAAACAAAACTAACTAACTAGTATAACTAACTAGTTCAATAATGTTACATAATGGATCATCTTCCCGTGCAGATCAACCTTTCTCACAACTCCCCTTCAAATGTACGATGTTTCACTCTCAACCTACGTGATCGAATCAAGGGAGTCAAAACACATTCAAATGCTCAACTTTCTTAGAGAAAGCTGACCTTCATAGAGGAAGAATCTCTAGTCCAATGGATAATATCTATGGATGAAAGAGGTAAGCCTCCTCGAATTGAAATATAAAATATGACGGATTTACTACTTTCTACCAGAGCAAACTCTACTGTGGGAGAAAAATGGGTTCAAAGATTCATTACACATCATAAGGAACTAAGAACTAGATCATCACGCAAATACAACTAGATAGTATGAGAGTGAAAATGGCTGGGCCCAAGATAAGCGGGTATAATATGGCCCAAGGAGATCTTTGAGGAGCACACCAGAGCTCATACAATTGGCAGATATAGACTATTGATTATGGATGGATGTGGCAGTCACAGCACGCCTGAATTTGATCAGTATTGCATGGAGAAGTCTATTATATCTCTTTTCTATGCCAGTTCATTCATCCCATCTGCTGCAGCCACAAGATGTGAGCTGCTTTGGACCCTTAAGACGAGCATTCAGAGGAAGCGTAGAGGATTTCATGACATTAGGGATCAATAATATTGATAAGCAGGATTTTCTAGGGCTCTATTCTTAGCAAAAGAAAACAAGCAGCTGAGAGCTGCAGTTGAGAAGAAAAAGTGCAAGAAGGAGCAAGCTCATACATTTATAGCTCAGAATGAAGCTCGAACAGCTGAGGAAGATAGAATTAGGGCTCAAGCAATTGATCATGTTGTACAGAATAGGGTAGAGGATTTGAACCAGCCACCTAGGAAGTGAGCTCCCTCCACGCCGCAGCAAGTGTAATATAGTTGGTCATCCTGCTAGAACCTGCCAGTAGACCTAAGACCTAATCGTGCCGCTGCGCAACCCACACCTCGTGTGGGTGCGCCACACCAAAACGATAAAAACACCGAAATGATAAAAATCTTGCAATTTCATCATCTTCATCATCTTCATCAATTAATAACTCACCACAATGTCAAATAAGGATAAAAATATCGAAGACCGTATTCAAAAAGCTGTCGCTTACCACCAAAAAAACCCAAATTCCAAAATACTGCCTCTGTCATGAGAATTTGAGGTTCCTTATCAACGTCTCCGAGCGCGTATCAATGGAAGGAATCCGAATACTGCTAAGATTCCAGTTAACAAGAGATTAAATGAGAGTCAGGAGGATGCAATTAAATGATGGGTCAAGCTGCTTGATGAAAAGAGTTGTCCTCCCACAGCCGAACACATTGAAGATTTCGCAAATTCAATGCTCAGACGTCAGCACATAGATCCTACTACCTCTCCTTCAAAAGTCAGCAAGATGTGGACTTATAGGTTCATTGAACGCCTGCCTGAGTATAAGAGGGTGAAACAGAAGCCAATGGATCCAAAGAGAGTGGCAGTTGAAGACATTGGATATATCAATACATGGTTTGAATGTCTCCGGATTCTATTTGAGCAGTATCAATTTCATGCCTGTGACACATACAACTTCGATGAGATTGGATTTCAAGAAGGACAAGGATGTGGAGAATGGGTTATAACTGCTTTCAAAGAAGCTAATTCCATCATTCCTTCATCCTTTTCAAGAGGTTTGATTACAGTCATTGAATGTGTATCCATGGATAATCATGTCATTCCGCCATTGATAATCTTGGCCTCCAAAACACACTTGGAGGATTGGTATACACAGACAGATTTGCCCAGCAATTATAGAATTGCTATATCAGATACTGGATTTACAAATGATGAGATTGGATTTGAATGGCTCAAACATTTCAATACTGCTACAGAAAAGAGACAGAAAGGAAGTCATCAATTGCTTTTAATGGATAATCATGGATCTCATATCACTGAGGAGTTCATACAATACGCGGATCTTCATAAGATAATTTTATATGGATTTCCATCGCATGCCACTCATTTGCTACAACCTCTGGATAGTCTACCATTTCAGCAATATAAGCATTACCATTCAAAAGCAGTCAACTATGCCGCACGCCATGGTCTTGTTAAGTATGAAAAACAGCAGTTCCTACAAGACCTCTCAGCTATGAGAAAGCAGACCTTTAAACCTGATACAATAGCTGCAGGATGGGCTCAACGTGGCATATATCCATGGAATCCCGACCGAGTTCTTGACACTCTTAAGCAGCGAATCTCATCACCTCCTCCACTGCAGATTTATGAAGATGAGAATGATTCAGATCACATACCTACCTCTTCCTCTCAGCTATCCTCACCAAAGACAATTCAAAAGCTGAAACACCATATTAATATTGCGGAAAACGCCATACAAAGTATTAGAGATACTCTTGATTTGAAATCACCCACCTTGACGTGTCGTTTGAACAAGATATTCAAAGCAAGTCTAATCAACGCGGAACTTAATGAGCAACAGACCACTGAATTAGAGAACTTTCTCAACGCCAGTAAATGCCGCAGAGCTAAAACAACCCGTCGCCAGGTTCAAGTAGGGGGAGTCCTCACTATTAAAGATGCCAATAGAAAAATCAAGCGGCGTAAGGATAATGAAGCTGAAAAAGAGCAGAATAAGGAGCGACGGAGGCTTGGAGTTGGTCCCATGAAAATTGGCAATAACCCACTCACACCACTGACAGAAGAGGAATTAAATCGATTTAGAGATGGCACACATACTGAGAATGATGTAGATAATCTTTTTATTATAGATTAGCTACTGGTTGTTGATATAGAGTGCAATAATGAGGATGTGATTCAAGATTTTTATCGTTTCGGTGTTTTTATCGTTTTGGTGTGGCGCACCCACACGAGGTGTGGGTTGCGCAGCGGCACGATTAATCTATATATTTAATATGAGAAATTCTAGTTGATGGTTGCTTAATTCCTCAATTTGACAGGAAGGTGATCCGCATGGGAAGGCGATCCATTACGTTTAAATAAATTTACTAGTTAGTAACGTTAATTTATAAATTATGTTAAAAGTTAATTAGAATAAATTTTTTTTTAACAAAAACAAGAAATCAAAAGCTGTTAATGAAAAACCTAAGTGGAGATGTTAAACAGATTGTATATAATGTCAGAGAGAGGGTGTAACCGTTTAAAAAGAGATAAATTGCATATGAGGTTTCAATGAAAAGGAAGAGAAGGGAATAAAGCAATCTGATCTACAACTATGAAAGCATGTAGTAACTATCTCAGGACTATCTCAGAATAGTGTTTGCAAGGTTTTTGAACATATAGCTCATACACGCTCACAGCACAGAAAATAGTTTACTGTAATTAGGTGCTTTTCCTATATCATTATTGTGAAATTTGATTGTAAAGCTATTAGATGATGGAGAAGCAGACAGGAAGGTGGTGGATTATGTGTTATAGCTGTCATTGTGTTAAGGCTGTACAGAGCGCCTTACGCAAACTCAAACCATAGTTATCTCCTACTACATATATCAGTATATATATGTACAATCCATTAAGGTGCCGGCGAAAAAATAGATCCCAGCAAGGAAAAAAAAATAAAAGGAACCATGAACAATCTAAAACATATCTCGCATAATCCGTGCAAACTCCGCTTCACTGCCAAGAATCGAACCCAGTCCCTCCGCATTGGAAAGCTCACTATGGGCATTGACAATCTCCCCATTCATGCTATCCCCGGTGCCACTAGCGTGAGTTAGAAAGCTACCATACCCTCCCACAGCTTCGAACAAGTTGGTCAGCTCGTTACTCATCTGAATCCCGTCCTGCGGGCTGCTGCCCAGTTCACCGCTCGGGTTGATGTCACGGTGGTAAATCGACATCACATCCATGGGATGGCCCGCTAGCCCCGCCATGGCAACAGCAGCCGTTGAATGTGGGTCATTCAGATCCGGCGGGGCGGGACGATTGATGAGGCCCAGTTTCTCCCCAATACCCCGAAGCCCCTTGATCATTTTCCACAGGCGTTTTGAAACGTAGGACTTGGCACTGAACCCTTTGACCAGGTCCAGAGCCATGTAGAACTCGTCGCGGACCTGTCGATTGAACTCAGCAGGCGCGTGTGACACGGCCAACAGGAGGACTGCCAGCGCGGAAACCAGGAAATAGTTGAAGAGCATCTGTTGGGTGCGGTAGATATCGGATGTCTGATTGAGGTGGGTAAGGACACGGACGGTGTCTTTTGCAATGTCGACGACGGTGTGGGCATATTCCATATTCTCAAGGATGCTAGATGTGGAATGTAGGACCGGCCTGTAAATCAAGATCCGCATGTGATTGCCACGTATATATAGTAAGACGCGCAACCGTCGAACCTCTCTGTCGACACCATCATTACTCACGGGAGATTCAGAAGAATGGAACCTCAGGTTCTCGGGAACATTCTTCAGCCATTGCAGAACTTGGTAATCAAGGAAGCCAATCACTTCTCTTTTGGCGGTCGACGTTCCTATGGAGCCCAAGCCAGAGTACCATATCTTAGAGCTGATACGAAAATACGCCACCATCGCCTTCAGGTACGGGACAGAGTCATCCTGTTAATTTCATTCACGGCCACTGTTAGTTGACGGGCATTGAATCCATATAGGTAAATGCTAGGGAGAAGATTTCTCACGGGTTCTGGTAGAGACGAATCAATATCCTCGTCCTGAATGACAAATGGCAGTCCCATGCCAAAGCTCCAACGTCGATCCAAGCTGTATACTGACCAAAACATCTTAACAAGAGAAGACACATCCTCTTCACTTGGTAGCATTTTAAGCATGCCATCTCGTCTATGCAGTCCGAGCTCAAGGCACATGCGGGTGGCATAGCCAATAAATCGATATGCCATAATATCATCATCGGTATGAAAATAGTAGGTTCCCTAGAATAAGGTTAGCTAACATGTTCTATTGAATGATTGTACAGTCCCGATAGCATCATTATCATAAGCATCATACCATGAGAGTGAAAAGCTGGATTGTTTTTATATCGGTGGGTTCCCACAATTTACTTTCGATCCTATGTTTAGTAGTAGTGAAAAACCGATTTCCTAGTGTGCTCTGGCCGTCACCTTCGAGGACCAACGTAATTGCCAGGACCATCTTCAGGATGCAAGTGTCATCGTCGATCAATAAATCATGCCCCGGTTTAAAGCACTTCGCAAAGCCCGTCCGAGATGCTGCATCCAGAAAGGTGAAGAGCAGGTTTGTGTGAATGATCACCTTCTGAATATCCAGCACGGGATACATGGTTCCAACTTCCCGTTCGTAAATATGACATAGCCTAATGGCCTCTTCACGTTTTATTACCCACAGGGGATCCTTATTCGGATGGGCCAGAAGCTGTGGGATAGGGGGTAGTGTATGCTGCTGTTGGGTTGGGGAAGCAGCCGGCGTCGCATTTTGACTAGCAAACAGCTCATGATTGCTATCTTCAGCTGGAGTAATGCCCATCGTTTGGAGACTTGACTTGGCAACGTGGAGGTTAAATGTGGTGCTCGTGGGCCCATGAAAGCGAGGATAGCTCGATCGAGACCGCGATGAGATTTGATTCGGAGAATCATAGCTTGGCTGGGATATGGAGCGTGAAGCTTCTCGACAATATGCACTGGCCTCAATGACTGAAGTCTCGGTCTTGTGGTAGAGATCATTTATACTTGCAAATAATGTGTTCACTTGATCTTGCAGCGTCTCGATATGCTCTTTCATGGAGCGAAATTCTCTGGTAGACGTATACCGCATCAATTAGCAAAACAGCTCGCAACAAGTTGGCTACAGGGGAATAAATATCAATCGGATAACAGTGGCTTTTTAACAGCAAGTAGAACTACGGAGTCTATTATCCTACTCTGAATCTTTGATGCTACGAGTGCAGCAGTTGGGGGCGTAGAGACCTAGATGAGAATAGAATGTGAGCCTCACAGAACAGTTACGGGCCTAACCCATGTGCAAGATGTAACCAGCGATCCAGCGATTGACGATGCGGTCAGTGCCGGAGCCAGAAAGCTAACTTACATTCCAAGGAGAGATGACCGCAGCGCTGGCAAGGCACTTGGCCATTGCACTTGATTTTCCGTCTTTTGCATTCATTGCTGTATTATTAACAAAGGTGTTAACTAGATGCACCACCAGAATGACAGCTTTGCCGGAATCAACGGCAGCGGATGGTTATGAGCTACGACTGACCAGGCCAGCGAGATGTAGCGATTCCGCTTTGTCCGGGTCTGGGTTCCGCTGTTGGGTTCCACTTTTCGTTTAGCAGCATCGCCACCGTTGTTACTGCTGCTGCCACTGGTCGCAGGAGGGCCGTCTGCAAGAGCGTCGGCAACGGGAGACATCGAAGTCATCGAAGTCATCGTGTGAGGAGCGCAACAACGGCCTGCCAATGTCACATGGGACAATGGTTATGGTAGCAGCGGCAATAAGTAATAGTAAATACCTTGTTGAAACTCTGTTTCCTGGAGGGGGGGAGAGAAGTTGTGGGGTAACTAACTAACTAATTAACTAGTTAACTGGAAGACTGTGGGGTGGAATAGCCGGCGACAGACAACCAGCCAAGTCCAGTTATTGAACTACATATTGTTAGGCCAGTGAGGATAAATTAACTAACTGCTCCGTGTAATACAAGACAATGAAGAGGCCCTTTTCCACTTCAGCTACAGTAAACCCATCACGCTTCATCCCCCTCAGTACTCTCTCCAGCAGTGATATCGCCGCATTCCGCGCTTCATATTTCCAACCACAGCTGCCCGTCATCCTCCCACGAGGCCAATTTAGCCAGCTCCCCGCAATCCAAAAATGGTTCTCTATTGATTACCCTTCTCATGGCGGCACCAATGCGCCGTCCTCGATTCAGAGCCTCAATTACACCTACCTGGGAAGACATAGTAACTGCTCCGTTCCCCTCGAATTGACCTCTTCCTCTCCAGACAGCCCAGACACGCCACAATTCCAGCGTTTCTATGCGCCTCTAGACCTGTTTCTCAAATGGACCAAAACAACCACTGGGAGCAATCCCTCCAACCTTCGCCTCTATCTCGCCCAATGCCAACTCCTAGACCTACCTCAAGATCTCCACTCTGACTTCCCCACCCCATTCTTCGTCTCTGAAGCTGGAAGGGGGGATATATACGATACGAATATCTGGATGGGCATCCCACCCACATACACGCCGCTCCACAGAGACCCTAACCCCAATCTATTTGTGCAGATGGCTGGGCGGAAAGCTGTTAGATTGTATGCGCCAGACACGGGGCTGGCGGTGTTCCAGCGGGTGAAAGCAATGGTTTTGTCGCGTCGGCAGAATCAGGATGAAAATGCAATTGCAGATGGAGTGGTTGCGGATCATGCAAAATTTCGCGGCGAGGAGATGATGCAAGGGCTGGAGAAGACATTGCTTGAAGCCGAGGTTTGGGGGAGCGGTGCGGAAAGGGAACCAAATGAAGCGGATGGTGGGGGTGCGAGCGGGAGCGGGAGCGGGAGTGGGAGTGGGAGTGGGAGTGGGAGTGGGAGTGGGAGTGGGAGTGGGATTTCCAGAGAAGTTGAAGACGAAGTTACTATAATGCACGGATTCGAAGCTCATCTTGATGCTGGGGATGGGATGTTTATCCCAATGGGATGGTGGCATAGTATCAAGGGAGTTGGCGAGGGCATTACGGCTTCAGTAAGATTTTCCTGCCTTCCTCTCTGTCGACCATATCCATCCCGCCCAAATATAAGTCAGTGATTAAGAGTTTCTAGGAATTCTAACTTACCAACGGAATAGGTCAATTGGTGGTTTCGATGACCGCTGCTAAGCATCCCTTGCGATTTGAACCGCACATACACACACTATATATCATCCACGCACCCTGCACCATGGTTAAAAACATAATTGATAAGAAAACCTACTGCGAGCAATGTGGCTTTAGAAAAGTAAATCATCAGAAAATGTTTGTTCATCATTCATTCACCAACACCCACCCAACTAGCAAGATACCATATTCTCTAATAAACTGCTAGATACCACCCTATAATGTTTGCTCGTGCACATAAACATCAATTATAAGAAGGCTAAAGCATTGGCCTTCGCATAAATTAATAAAGAACTACAAATCCAACCGTTCTCTGAATGATGAAGAGATTAGAAGAACTCATTATGGAAATTAAAGGGTTGGGTGGCCTGCGTTTAGATATTATTCTATATGCATACGACATGGAGTCTGCTGGAAACTGCGAAGGCCCCGAGTCTGCGTCAATATCTTAAAGAGAAGACAAAAAGAACCGTAACAAACAAGGGCATTGCATGTTGGATTGTATCGATACAGGTGGCGACAAGAGCCGGTTACTCGAAGAGCTTGTTGAAGTATTTATCAACGGAATTTCTGTTTCAGGGAGGCGATCATCAGCTCATGCAGGGGAACCTAAAAATCTACCTCGGACCTATCCTTAAACCGCAAAGGTGTGTTTGAAATTGGGGATGAACCATACAACGTCACCCCTGATTGTATTCTCTCGCTTTTCTTTGTTAAAGAAAGAAAGAGAGAGAGAGAGAGAGAGAGAGAGAGAGAGAGAGAAAACTCACTTTGGTGGTGTGGGAACGAACTTTCTCGTATACTCATCGATCTCTGCGACGTCCGTGAATAAATCCACCTCATGCGGTTTCAACCATTTAGTCTTCTTGATCAACTTCCACCCCAAGAACAACAGCGGGCACACGCCGATCATCGTGTACGAGAAAAGAAAAGTCGGCACACTCCAGTTCCCCGGCAAAAACACGGTATACCCTCCCACAAACGCCATAATCAATGTTCCCGCACAGGCATAGTATGCAAGATACGGCTGCCAGTAGCCCTTGTATGGGAGGGAGTCGCGCGACACACCCTGCGCGTGAAGCGCCTTCATGAACCTGGTGTACGTAAAGGCGATTGAGAAAAAGTTGAGCAACTGTGACGCAGTGACGAGTGAGACGAACCAGCTCAGCACGATAGCGGCGTTGTTGGACACTTGCAGGAACGACAATAGGGAAATCAGCAAGACGAGCCCAACGCAATATATCGGCACGCCATGTTTGTTGCATTTGGTAAAGATTCGTGGTGCTTTCCCCTCAAGCGCAAGTCCGAACAAGCTGCGGCTGGCGCAGTAGACGTACGAATTGCCTGCGCTAAACGCCGCTCCCAGTACCATTGCGTTGACGATGTGCGGGAGGACTTTGATCTGTAACCGATCCATGGCAACGACGTAGGGTGATGCTGCAGCTCCTGGCAATCCTTGTTGGAAAGCAGCTTTCATTTTTGGATCATTGAAGGGGACGACGATGCCCACGGCTAAGCTTCCCAAGACGAAGAAGGCGGTTAATCTGTAGAACACGGCGTTGAAGGCGCGGGGGAGGACATGGCGGGGGTTTTCCGTTTCTCCAGCAGCCATTGAGACGTAGTCTGGACCGGCTATTGTGAAGGAGGCCTAGAGGGGCCGTGAGCTATGGGTATTTTTGGAGATGAGGGCATTCAGAGGATTAGAAGCAAAAGGGGGTTTATTACCTGGATCATACATTGCAGGAATCCTAAAAACCGGCCTAGGTCTCCCTTCTTGTATGTTTCAGCGAAAGCGCCAGGTTGGCGCCAGTATCGGAATCCATATCGGTCTCCAAGTGGATTTCCACCAAGCATGGTGATGAAGGTGAAAATGATGAGACCGATGATGAGAAGCGCTTTACCCAGGGCTAACCAGAATTCGGATTCGCCGTACCATTGGACGGCAAATAAATTGATGGTTCTACATTTCCGCCCCGAACGAAATGTTATTATACAGTATTTCAACCGTAGTTTCTCCGATCAGGCATTGGAGTACTTACCCGTATAACACCAGCACAATAGCAATAATTCCAGCCGCAGGGACGACATCACTCCAGTAGTGGATGATGACATTACAAGCCACGATCTCGAAAGGAACCATTGCAGCTTCGAAGACGAAAAAGTTGTATCCAGTGGCCACGCCGAAAGCTTCGTCAACATAACGGCCAGCAAATCGAATAAATGGGGAAGATATCGGAAGATATGTGACCATTTCTGCCATGCCTATTTTTTATTTTTTATTTTTTTTTCCCCAAGCAATTAGGTCAAAATGATTTCCCTCAATTTACAATCCTCCTAATGAAACACGAGAGCAGAGAGGGTAAAGAGAACATGAATCAGAGTTATCAGCTGCAAATCCGGGATGGGAGAGGATGGCAATCATTTGGGCCCCGACAAGTTTTTGGAAGTGCCGCACTGGAGGATAGTATATGGCAGAGATATAATGGGGGGAAGAAAGAGAAGAAGAAAAAAAAAAAAAAAAAATTGGCGCATTGGGCAGATTCAAGGAGCAACATATTTCGCAGGTAAAAAACTGCCATTCTCTCTCTCCCCTGATCGGAGGTGCTGCATGAGGGCTGAAAAACTTCGGGAGATCCGGAAGAACTTACATATCGTAACAGCTAGTATGAACGAAGACCTAATTGGAGAAATGGGATATGAGATTCAAATTTGCAACCGATATCGAAAGTATCGCAAAGAGGGAGGAAAACACAAAGTGAGAACTTTCGCTGCAAGCCATGCTGCTGGAGAAGCAGAGAAGAAAAGCATAACTCTATATATAATATCGAACTGTTCGAATCTCGCTCCAGAGAGACAGGGGCAGATTCTTCTATCTTGGTAATGCTGATCTCTCCAAGCTCTGCGGTACATCTTGAGCCGCTCCATCCTGTATTTCCATTCCTTACCTGGACAATCCGATTTCGACTTGACTTTCTCTGCCATCTCCTCACTTCCCCTTTTGTCCCTCCCTTGTATTCTTCCCAGTTACACTTTTGACGGAGCGGGGGAGAATGGGAAGAAGTGCGATACAAGATTTACAAAGGGACATTTTATCAGTCATGGGGCGGCGAGAGAGTCTCTCGGACTTACCACAGAGTAAATGCAAGGAACAAACTTGCAGGGCCGCCAGCCATCAACCCTCGTCCAATCTGCACATACAACGCGGTTCCAATTGTTCCTCCAATCCCAATCAGCTGGATGTGTCGCGGCTTCAGCTTGCGATGTGTCTGATCCACCCAGAATTTTATGGACCCCTCGCGGATAGAAGAGTCGTCATTCTTCCTAGGGGAAACCGGTTCAAGGAAATCGGTGTATGGACGTTTGCGAAATTCCCCGGACGGGAACTTTTCAGGATCTGATCGTTTGGGCGCCGATTGCGCGGGGATTTGGGATTCGATTGAAGTCGTGACAGCGTCCTCAGGCGGACCCATTCTGAACTGCGGCGGGGGGCTCGATCAATTCGTGCTCCTGGAGGCAAGATAAGACCGGGAGATATGGAAAAGTCTAGGGGCGGGGTTGGGGAATGTAGATCCTTAAAAGTTGGATATCTCCTCCTCTCAGGCCATCTCTCTGCGAATCCTGTCGCATGAAATTAGAGCAATCTATTGGCGCGACGGAAATCAGGAACTTGTGGAAGACGGAGAGAAAGAAGGGGAGAGAAAGAAGGAGAGAGAAAGGAGAGATTAAGAAGGAGAGATTAAGAAGGAGAGATGGGAAGCAAGATTTAAATAATAATATAATATAATATAATATAATATAATATAATATAATATAATATAATATAATATAATATGATATGATATGATATAATATAATAATAATAATAATATATATAATATAATAATAACAATAGTAGTAGTAGTAGTAGTAGCAGTAGTAGTAGTAGTAGTAGTAGTAGTAGTAGTAGTAGTAGTAGTAGAAGAGTGAGAATGCTAGAGCAAAGGGCATTCATTCATTGCCGGTGGAGCGGACCAGCGGGGGTTGATCGAAGGCTAAGCTCAGGTTCGAGGATCCCCTTCCCCCCCCCACCCACCACCGTATTGGCAGCGGCGAACTGCGAACAAGTGAGCGGCGAACGGCGAACAGCAGCTAACTAACCAAAGGCAGGAGGCGCTAGCTACCCAGGCAAGAAGGATGTTTGTTTGTTTACCCCACCCCAGTTTCAACTCATCCACCCTCAGCTGCCCGAAGGCTGCCTTGCCTGGCAGTCTCGCAGATCCTTTCCCAGGGTGCTCAGGATGTATTTTGCTCCAGGCAGGAAAGGGGACTTGCCGCCATGTCTGGGATGTCTCATAGTCGTGCCCATTAGTCATTGTTTGCGAGTTTATCCGAGTCGTCCATAGTTACTTGTTGAGACACAGCACAAGAACACACACACACACACACACACACACACACACACACACACACACACACACGGCTCAATTCAAGAGTCTCGGGGTGGCAACACACACGGGTGGCTGGCCAGCATTGTAATCCTTAGCCCGGCTCTAGGTAGCTTTGGGCTTAGCCAAACCACCCAAACATCGGTGGTTGGTCCCAACTGTAGAAAACCCAGTTAAAAAAGGCTTAATCCCCAAGCCGTTCCCGTCTTCGTCTCAGGGGGGGGGGTATGGCTTATGATCAAAAGGCCGCCCGCCCACATCAACATCGTCACCACTTCCAACCACTTCCAAACTCTTCCACGAAAACGCTTTCCATGGTGTGTTCCAAGTATTGGAAGGGCGTGTCGTTTCTTCCTTTCTCCTTTCCACACAAATGAGCAACGTAGGACATACCGGGCCGATTGTGGTCGATTGATCGTCTTTAGATGGCAGCCATGATAACTACCCGTCGTTTAATTGTTCTCAGTCCAATAGCTGCTCGTGAAGTGGGTAATTCAACTACAGAGTATTGTTCGCCCAATCCAATTGGCCAACAGCCCTGTCTTTTCGGAGTTGTGCCACGGCCGCCCCATCATCTGCTCTGCCATGTCCGCTTGAAGATGTGCCACGATTGGCAGAATAACTAATTAGATAGGTACGCCATTGGAACTAGCCCGAAATAAAAGGCAGCTGCTGGGTCGGCACCCATGAACAACAAAAGGGTTTTTTTTTTTTATTTTTTTTATTTTATTTTTTTATTTTTTATTTTTTTTTTTAGTTGCTATCTAGAGGCTGGCCAAGGAGGTAGTCATTCAACAACCCCCTTGCAATGTCTCTCTGGGAGACATGGGACGTTGCACACTTACCTAGTTTATTACTCAATCGCCGTGTTTCCCCTCCAATTGCATATCATTACTAACCCTAATGGACGAAGGAGGCATTCCGGATAGGTCGCTTATGCTTTACATCCAAGCTTTTTAGCCCATCCGCTGTCATAAATCGGCATAAGCGCTGATATTTTCCAAGATTCGTTGCTGTTCTTCTGGTGGTTCCTGTGTCGTGCTGGATGCTAGATATCGCGTCAGCGATTGCCGAACATTTCCGGACATACAATGTGTCTCTGAGCCTGTGATTCATCTGTCCCACTGGTGATTAACCCGCTCAGATAGGATCAATACTTCATCCCATGCAAGAATAGCGGCAATGAGAGAGAGAAATTACATGGCTTGTTCTGCGAGCGGGAAAGCGTTGAAAAAGGGAAGAATCCATTCTTGACTTCATTGGCATCACTTAAATAAATATTCGCACGTCATGAGCGCATAGTTAATCTAAAAGAGAGAGACTCGAGGGGAAAAACAAAGGAACTTTGCAGCTAACAGATTCGGCACCTTGCCGTTATTTTTCCGGACTATGGACGTGGGTTGAACGGAATTTGAATAGTTCAGACCCCAAGACTCTTCCCTCATTCATATTCAACTCCTTTCATATTATCTTAGTTCATGCAGGCAATTATCTGTAGCAGTTAGTGGTTCCCGAACTTCAACACATGTTGGGGCGGTGTTTACTTTGGGGCCATCGAGCTTTCCAAGTAACTAGCAGCAGGATGAATGCATATACACTACGTATCTAGATACAAAACTAGCCTTCTGACAATTTGTATAGTTACTCTCTGCGTTTATCGTGGCGGTTCCGAGACAAAGAGTCAAACACCACACTAACAGCTCCCTGTCAACCCTATTTCAAAGTGCAGAAGCTAAGATCCGGGACGCAGTTCCGTTTTCCAAATCCAACGAGGCAGGCTTTTAACTAACCGTGTAGACTATATATATATTCAGAATACATATAGATGGCCCCCCCCTTTTTGGCATTGACATCTTCACAAACTCAGCGACATTTGGCTGATTGCGGGGGCATTAGCTAGTTACCTCGGCGGTTTTGTTTCTTTCAAGCACGTGATGAATTTCCCCGCCAGCAATTGGAATCTCCGGGGAAACTTGAAGTGATTAAGGATTGTCAAAGCATCAGAAACTCATCCTATACAACCAATCCGCAATAGTATCTTATATTCTTACAGCTTAAGATACCATTTCTTGATCTCCCCCCCCCCCCCCCCCCAAACCAGCCACCCCCAACTCCCAAACCAAGCAGTAATTAAACAACCGGCCTCGGAGGCAGGAAAACTGCTCCCTGGGCATATAAACTTTTTGAAACTGCACTGCAATGGCGAGCAAAGGGCTTATGTCCAAGGAGGCGACCAGCCTTGATCCGCCAAAGGATGATCTAATTTCACTGGAAGAGCTGGCCAAATCAGATGGTGAGTCCAAACTTGTCTCAGCGTTGCGGTTTTCCCAAGTAACTACACCTTTTCAACAAAGGCTCGGCTGTTTTCCACCCGAACTTTAGTCTTCTGTGCTTTCCCTTTCTTCTGTTATCATTACAAGTCTATCTATCTATATATTTTGTATTTCAACGATATTGGTTATGTGCGGATCTAATAATATCTTTTCATTAGGAACTGATCCAAACCGTCCCACCCTCGTCGCCATTAAGGGTGTCGTATTCAATGTCTCAGGAAACCCGGCTTACGGACCCGGTAGGAATTACCATGGTATGTCTTTTGTAATCTGCTCCTTTAAATATATGGGTTATAAGACAACCTTCGCGACCTGGGACTCTATGATTAATCTCCATTTTTGGCCAATGCAGTATTCGCCGGTAAGGACGCTTCGAGAGCTTTAGCATCTTCATCGTTGAAACCGGAAGACTGCAGGCCAGACTGGTACGATTTGCCCGATAAAGAGAAAGGAGTGCTAGAGGAGTGGTTTGCGTTCTTCAGCAAGCGGTACAATATCGTGGGGAGAGTCGAGGGGGCTACAAACACCTGAAGGTCGTCGTCAAGTGAAGCGGAAATCGGGGGTGAAAAAGGAGGACGGGCTTGGAGAGTGGTTCAAGGAGTGGGTTTTTTTTTCCTTTTTTTTTTTTTTTTTTTTTTTTTTTTTTTTTACGAATGAAATGACTTCCCACTGTTAGATTATATGATTTTAATCGGCTGGATCTTGATCCGACTGCGGCTGTGGGAAGGAATAAATAGTATCAGACTGGAACATACTACGTCATATCTGATACCCCACGTTCCCCCTTCTTCCCCATTCACACGGGATGGCTTCTGGTTATTATACAGTTGTTTGTCGCCGCCTTTTTTTTTTTTTTTTTACGTCCTCGTTTCGAGCATAAAAGTTAACAACTGAAAGAGCGAGGAAAACTTGTAAAATTAGTTAGATATCGGGCCGATTTGTGTACAACTCAGGGAAAGTAATTTATATTGCCCTGTTTCCCCTTCTTCTGAACGCCAGGAGATACAAAGTATACGTGGGAATGAGGGCTATAGCCAATGACAACCGACAGCCCGCCCCATCAGCGATGATGGCCATCGTTCAATCCTTCCGATTCCTCCTCAACATTCTATTTTTTGCAATGATCCTGTTTCTCTTGGCAATTTGATTATCCTTCTCGGGTTTGGAATCATTAGGCTTGGATGCCCTTGTCATGTTTTCGTTTCCTTGTCCGTCACTCTCAACCCTCTTTCGCTTCGTGCCTCTAGGAGTATTAGAATTGAATCTCGAAGAATTTCGCTGGTGTGAAACTCCGTTCCTCGAGGCCCATTTGTGCTGCTTCTGTCCTTCCTCATCATGATTCCGTGACTTCTCCTCCTTCTCATGTCTCCTCTTGACAACCTGTGCGTTCTCAATGGCAAACTCGACAATGAGTCGTTTCTTTTTCCCGTCTGGGCCTGCAACAACATGGCCATTCAGCCATCGAAGTCCCATCAATGCCGAGCGGTGAGAGTAGTATTCAATAAATCCATATCCACGACTCCGACCCGCTCCACTCTTTTCGTCAATCTTACTGCCCTCTTTCCCCTCGAAAACGACCTTGGCTTGTCTGATGATTCCTTTACCCTTTGACTTTCGCAGTTTTTCTGCTTCTTTCATATCCTCGTTACTCCGCTGCAGTTCCTCTCTCGACAATGGTTCACGCAGACCACTCTTTACGTCTTTCGCAAAACCGACAACAGCCTCTCTCGCGAGCGCCTTGAGAGCCTTGGAGTCGATGTTTCGAGGTAAGTTGCGGACTGATAGACGTGTGAGACTTAGGTGCAACACCGGATTGCTCTTGATGAGCTTCTGTCGTTGCTTAGCGGAAGCTTCTCTCATTGCAATTTCCGAAGGGGAGAGCTGTTTGTAGAGAGCAGAAGTCGATGGGATGGTTCCTTCAGACAAAAGGAATAATCGTCGTTTGTCTTTGTCTCGAGTCTCCCTGCGAGAGCTTCCTTCAGCTTCTAGTTTAACTGCTTGAGATTTGCTCACTGCGGGAGATAACTGTAGAACGCGACCGTCCATTGTGTATCTCCCTGATGGATCCTTCTTCTCATCTTCGAGAACGGAGTACTTTATAGTAGATGTTTTTGCCTTAGCATCTTCCGCTCGGGGTAAATCTGTCCGTTTCGGCGCATCGCGGAGACAAGAGTTCGCATTTTTTTTGTCCCAAAAGCACACAAAAGCAGTCCCCCTAGGCCTGTCTGTCTCTGGATCGAATACGACCCTGGCATACCTTAAAGGTCCAAATTGAACAAAATGCTCGTAGAGACTTTCATCTGTAGCAGTAAAGGGTAAGTTGCGGATAAAAACTGTTGAAGCGTTCCGGTCATCCTCAACTTCTGCATGCACTTCTTCATCGTCATCGTCGTCGTCATCGTCGTCAACGTCTTCCCCTTCATCCTCATCATCCACTTCACCCATGGCGACATCGTCGTCCTGGTTCTTAGTCTCCTCGTCCTCTTCTCCACTCTTATTATCCTCTTTCTCAGTTCCATTGTCCTTAACACCATCCGTATGATTCTGCAACTCATCCCATACATTCTTCTCCGCAGCCCAATCGACTGCCAGAGTTCGCCCGTCAACCTCCTTCCCATTGACGGCCTCTAATGCCTTCTCCGCGTTTTTCCTGCCCCTCAAAACCACAAATCCAAATCCAGAATGTTTATTGCCTTTCTTTGGAATTACTGCATATTTAACTTTCCCAAAACTTCGAAAAAGGACCTCCAATTGCTCCGGTTCAGCTATGCTCCATGGCAGATTTCGAATGATGAGTTTTGGAGGTTGGACCAGTGCTTGTTTATTCTCCCTCTCCCGTTTTGGCTTAGAGGTGGAAACGCTTTTCCCTCCCTTCTCATCAACCTTTCGATGGCGGGGTTCCGCAACCTCGATCTTTAGTTTCTTGCCGTCAAAAACGGAGCCGTTAAATTCTTCTAGAGCCCGAGCAACATCTTCACTGTCTGCGAAAGTGACGAATCCGTAGCCTTTCGATTGCTTTGTTTGAGGGTCAAGAACGACGGTAGCATGTTTTAAAGGATATGATTGCGAGAAGTAATCGGTTAAGCTCTCTGTTGTGGCCGATAAAGGGAGGGAGCGCACGAACAGTGTTCGCCGGTTTTTGGCTTTTATCGGGGACAACGCAGCATCAACATCTGGAAGCGCCTCAGTTTGTTGGTCTGTTGCCGGAACTCTTCCATCTTCCTGAACACTTCCACTGTCTGATAAACCTCTTCTATTTCGTGTATCTGTCATGCTGAGAATCTGGGCTGCTTCTTTTTAAAATCGAAGTTGGAGCAAAATAAACTTCACTGCTGAAAATTAAGGTGGATTTTGAAATTTTAACCGCGCGTTTGTCGTTAGTTTTTGAGTTACTTAGCGCCAATGCTGGTTTATCTTTCCAATCAAAACACCACTTTCAGTGCCAAATCCAGAGAATTTAATATATCGATCCAATTAAACCAGGCCGACACAGCCTCTATTCTACCAAATTAGCGACGAATAACAGGAAGACAAGAGGTGCAAGCAGGCACCGAATTTCCGGAAGCTCCAATATCCTAGCACCCCCGCCGCTTCGTCCTATTATAACTGCTTCAAACATTTGCTTGGTTGCTTTGGTCACGCTATCAAACAAAATGGATGACGAATTTGGAGATGAACCGGATTTGGTTGCGTTAACTAGGCCAAATCAACCAGATAGAAGCCCAGCGCGGGCCCCCGCGCCAGTGGCAGATCGTGCTACAGGGGTCCAGCAGCCCAAGCCCCAAGCACTTCCAAGCAGATCAGGGCCTGCTGCCATTCTAGTATCTGCAAGACAAAGAGGGAACCCCATCCTCAACCATGTTAAACACGTCCCTTGGGAATATGCTGATATTCCCGCGGACTATGTGGTTGGGAACTCAACCTGTATCCTCTTCCTCTCCCTTAAATACTACCGTCTACACCCCGAGTACATTTATTCTCGAATCAAGGGTCTTGGGGGGAAATATAATTTACGAATCCTTCTCATCATGGTTGATATCCCGAATCATGAAGACAGCCTTAAGGAATTATCGAAGACGTCACTGGTCAATAATCTGACACTCATCCTTTGCTGGTCCGCTGTTGAAGCAGGGCACTACCTGGAGCTATTCAAGTCTTGCGAGCATGCGCAGCCGACTGCAATACGAACTCAACAATCTCAGTCTTATAATGAGAGCCTGGTCGAGTTTATTACGACTCCCAGAATCATCAACAAATCGGACGCCGCTAGTTTGATATCGACATTTGGTAGCTTAGAGGCCGCGATCAATGCTCAACCAGAGCAAATTAGTGCTGTTCCCGGGTGGGGAGAGAAGAAAGTTCAACAATGGCACGATGCTGTAACAAGCGAGTTTCGTATACGAAAATCTACGAAACGGAGAGCAGAACCATCCGGGGGTAAAAATAGAAGAGCTCAGATCCCAGACAACGGCCGTACGGAGGAAGAAAGTGCATTTCTCGCTGCTCATAGCGAGGAATATAGGCGTGACGTGACAGGGTCACAGTCCGCAATCACAAGCAGTCGCTTACACGAAAATAGAAGCGATAGTGTGAATGACACGCAAGTTGAAACACTTATCTCAGAAGAGAGAAGAGTAGAGTCGAACCCACGTCGATCAGGTCAGGAAGAGAAACGGTTGAATGATGGTGTCATGGCAGCGCTTGATCGACTTCGAGAAAACGGTGGCTGAAGCCGTGTCTCCCCCGACTTTGTTATCTACCTATGCTAGCGATTAGAGCATGCCATGTGTGCTAGAACATGTTTACCATCCCAGCAGAATTACTTGGGTTCGCTACCTGGTGACCGATCTTGAGATGGTAGGGCTAGTGACCCTAACAAGAGCTATTATGGTCTATGCCGAGGTTTCTTCTGTGAGAAGTAAAGAACAACCACACCGCAGCCGGATCAACCGCCCTTTTCGAATAGTCATACAGTGGATATTGCGGGATGTTGGTTGGTTTGTGGGGGAGGGAGGTGAGGGTTTGAAATCTGGGAAGAGAATACCACGTACACACATCCACGGATTTCAGCATAGTTTATGGAGAGCTTCTGCAACGAAAGGGGATCTAATCTTTGACCAATCTTGACAGGTGGTGGTATGAGATGCTGCCTATGTACGCAAAATATCTACACGCAGCATAGGTAGCTTTAGAGCGGAACCTAACATAAATGCCTGGTCACTCTTCTTGCCTGTGAATACAAAACAGCAATATTTAGACCCAAAAGCATTAAAATAGGCTTCCAGTACATACCACTAATTATCATTTATTTTCCATGCCCTTTCTGAAATATATATCAATCAAAGTGACACACCATCCCCCACCCCACACAGCAAACTTGGCACCGTTGGGGACTCCCGAAGTCCCACTCCAGCGCTCGGACTGGCCTCCGCCACGTGACCCGCTTCCCCCGAGGCGCCATCGGCCCTTTCCACACCCAACCTCGGAATCTCCCCACCTTGTCCCAGTTTGGAAATCGATCTTGGGCTTTGGACTGGCCAAAGCACCAACCTTTGGAACCCTATCCTCACATCCCTATGCTGCAACCCTGGACCTCATCCCATCCTCTCGTCCTAGTGGTGAGTCGTTGTCCCCTGCAGCCACCAGTTCACCCCGTCTCCTGCATGATAAACTGGCCCCTCAGCGTGGTCATCCCTCCTTTCTCGTTCCCGCAGAATACAGCGTAGTTGTCATTCTTTGCCTGATTAGATCGATACCTTTAGCTGACCGTCAGCGTGGGGCCCTTGAAGATGGCATTATGGGGAAAGCTGCCGCCACGGGGACTGGCAAGGGGAAGCTCTGTGACGCCTCCCCTTTAGAAGGCGCCAGGAGCAACTCCAGATCCCTTGGCCCTCCTCCCTCCGGTGCTTCTACTGCTCCTCAGCCTAGGGCCTCGAATTCTGCTGCTAAATCAGCGCCCAGTAAACCGCAGGAGGGCTCCAAATCTTTTGAATTCGTCTTGGTCACAGATACAGAGTCCCGAAGACAGGTACGGCGCCATGCTATGCGCCAGTATATGCGCCAGCGACGTCTGGAAGGTATAGCACGACTTGAATCATCTCGTGCTCAGGTTAGAGGCTGGGGCAGAAGTGGCAGCCCGGCGACTGGAACTAATCTGTCTCCATCCTCTTCCAGAGTTGAAGAACTAGACGACGATGAAAATATAACGGATCTTAGGAGCAGCTCCAGCGATTCTAGTCGGGGTAGTGTTGGTCCTGCCGAGCCAGACATTCCAATAATGAGAGACGATGAGAATCTAACCAATCAGGGAGATGAGATCATCTCGGCTCTTCTACACGATATTTACTCCTCAGACCCCAAGGCAATGCCAGGTGCGGGATGTTTTGATCCTTTCAACAGCTATCCGTTGAAGTTGAATCGTACTGATCAACATTTGATACACCATTGTAAGTGGCTTTATTACATGTTTGCAAACTCCTCACTTTCATACACCAGCTCGCTCTACATTGGAGTGGCTTGGACACTACAAATATCTCCTACATGTGTATTTCTTTAGTTTCAAATACCTGGCTGTTTTCTCACTTTTCGTTAAGTTGTCACTACATATCCCATGATGATGTATAAAATGGGTGATGCACATCAAAACAACCCCATAAAAGATATATTTCGCCACTTGACTTTGCATGATCCAACACCTTTTCAGGCGATGCTCGCCATTTCATCAAAACACCTAGCTGGCGTGGAAGGCCATAACGAGTCGGTCCAATCACTTACCCACAAAATGCGAGCGTTGAGGATGTTAAACGAAAGATTGCAAAGTGATGCAGGCAGGAAGCACGATGGTACAATCTATGCCGCGGCGACAATGGCAGTGATCGAGGTAAGCATCACTTTCCTGTAGAGTTTCTACCACTTATTGTTCAGCACTGATCTCGTACAGAAATGGTCAAAGGACCGGGATGTTGAACGGATGCATATTCAAGGGATTGAACAACTGCTGCGACGACGGGGAGGTATGAGCGGTATGCGGGCCACCAGCCCGTTTCTAGAAAATGTTTTATATTGGTTCGTGACCGACCCATGACAAATCTTGTTCCGGCTGATTGCTGAACAGTCCTCACAGGGTTGATCTGAGCTGTGCCCCAAGGGCTATTGTGGCAGCCAGTTTGCCCTGGACGGGAGATATACCTGACACAGTGCCTTCGACTCTCCCATACTTGTCTCCTAAACTTCATATACATCTGACACCACACCATCATGTTTTGGGCACAGATCCGCAGGAAATTGCTGGCATACTGCAAGCATGCGAGGACTTTCTTGCCTTTTTCCGCTCCCTTAATGCGTTACAGCATTCACTTATTTCCACCTCGCTTCCCGTTCCTCTAGATCTCAACCATGAAGGTCAAGCCTTTCGAAGTCAAAAACGCAATCTTTTTGACGCTTCAACAACCCTGTTTTCTATCCTCACCACTCTTCCCGATTACGACCATGGGATACGCGACGTTCGCTTTATAGATGAGTATACCTGTATGGCTTGCTTATTCTACCTTAACACCGCTTTGTACGACTCATATCTTAAGTCTCAAAACTTCGACCACTACCTCGAATGGGTTAATCTAGAGCTTAAAGAGATTAACCCATATTCGAACCCTAGCATCTCGTCATTATTATGGGTCTTTATGGGGAATGGGGGATTTATGGCTAATAGGCCATCTGATAAAGGCGAAAGAAGCTGGTTCGTATCGCGAATGGTGCGGGTAGCTAAGCGACTAGAATGGAAACAACATGGCACATTATGGGATAATCTTCGCGACACCCTACTTGGGTTTTTAATTACCCAACAGGAATGTGGAATCGGGAGCGATCAGGTTGGCGAAGCAGAAATAGTCTCTCGCAAAAATTGCCCTGGTCTACTATGGGATGAGGATGAGATGCGAAAACACATTCTAGGACCTCTATACACCGGCCTTCCCACCTTTTCTATGTCTCCTAGCTACGAAAGCTCGAGCTATACTCTGGAGCCTTTAACAACCGCTGGCGATATTAAACCGCCAACTTTCGAATTTCCATGAATTAAACGACCAATGAACGACTGCATACTTCAAACCCTCCCACTTCGCCAGCAGGCTGTCCTTCTTACACCCGATTCCGCCATCTATACCTCATCTATTTGCCGTGTGGCGTCCAATGGTATCTATCACATGTACAGCTCATTATTTGGTTCAATTTCCAGGCTCCGTGACATTTGCAATTCACGGGAGGAGTTCTGTGGAGAATCAACAAAAGATGACCGGTGGGGTACACGATTAACGAATGACCTGATATCCATATTTTTTACTATCTGACTTTACCCGTGGGTGTTCCACGCTTTTCTCGCTCGGGATCGGAATATATACGCGCATCTTTGGATGTTACATTACAAATTTATTAATATTTTACTACTTGGCCGAACGTTGTTTGATCCATGTGACATCACTGGACGTCTCGCTTACTCCTTTTACAAAACAGCAATGCATTTCTGCTTTTTCGAGAGTCTTGGGGTCTCAATTTTCTCAGTTGGACTTCCCTTTAACAGTTTTAAGATGCGTCATTATATGGATACGTTTATACACATCTATTTAAATATCCTCTATTTCTATTTACGGCGATTTAGGGCTTACCTTTCTTGGATGGCCAACAAGGCTTTCGAAGCACAGGGGTACGAGATAGAGACGCACACGGTGGCTAAATTATGTAACTAACAATATCATTTTCTCTGACATTATAATCACTGTTCACGCTCCCATTTGGCAGCATATACAAACAGACTGGTTCGACAGAATTCCTTTTCAGTCGTCTTGGGCTTCAAATGGTGACTAATTTGCCCTGTCACTTCACACTTCTTCCAGATTTGCTCCAAATGGACACACAATGCCTAGTAATTCCCAAATGTGTCAAATGCGGCTATCGATTGTGTCTGTCTAGTCAGAGATTCGGGCTCCAAATCCCATCCCCCCCAATCAGCCAGTGATTTTCTTTTTATTGTTCTCATGGTCAAGACTGTGCTTTGGCTGTCAGGAATTGATATAATGTCAAAATTTGTGTTTTCTTATGATTTTATGCAATGACAACCTCTGGTGATTGGCTCTAGTGGTTCTGAACTTGTCTCTCATTTATGTCAATTCTTTTTTAAGTGCTCAGGTGCATTATACCTAATTTTATGTTCCGAGCACACGTGAGGGTGTGGAGTGAATCTATGATTATTTATGATGCAGGCATGACACTCACTTCTCCTTCACAACCTCTGAATTAGGTCTAATTTGACAATGTACATGGCTTTATTTATGAACTAGATAAAACATCCACAAGAACAAGAATTAGATGCAAATGATCACCCTATTAACACACTAGATGAGAAATTGAAACAGATCTTTTCAACATCATAAAACAATTGTGATGGAGAAGATTGTGAGGATTATTATCCTTCTTTATCAGGAATCTTTTGATCCAACGACTGTGCCAAGCACATTTCATAGTAGATTCCTTTCTTTGCGAGCAGCTGTGCATGCGTACCAGATTCCAACACCCTTCCCTTCCCAAACACAAAGATTACAGAGGCATCTTTAATCGTCGACAGACGATGCGCGACAGCCACCATCGTCCTACCGGACGAAGCCTTTTCCAACGCCTCCTGTACCACTTTCTCAGACTCCGTATCGAGGGCAGAGGTTGCTTCATCAAGCAGAAGCAATTTGGGAGAACGGATCAGGGCTCGAGCAATTGCGATGCGCTGCCTCTGGCCGCCAGACAACTGCGTGCCGCGGGAGCCACAGAGGGTGTTGAAACCGTCAGGAAGGGAGGAGATAAACGTGAACGCATTTGATTGGCGAGATGCCTCTTCAATCTGCTCCTGTGTTGCCTCTGTTTCGAGGCCCATGGCAATATTATCGCGGATGCTACCCTGATACAAAGTTGGTTCTTGTTGGACCAGTGCAACCCCCCGGCGATATGCGCGGGGACACAGCTGAGCGATGTCCTGCTGGTCGAATTTAATACAGCCGGAACTGGGGTCATAGAAGCGTTCTAGAAGCGCGATGATGGTGGATTTGCCACAGCCGGATGCTCCCACAAATGCAGCAAAGGAGTTTGGTTGGATCTATATATTCTTCATTTAGCCTGTGGTTCAGTTCTCAAGAGGTGTGAGGGTCCACCAAAAGGGGAGGGGGGGGGGTAAAAACTAACAGTAATATTTATTCCACAAAGGACGCGAGCATCGGGGCGTTGGGGGTAACAAAACTCAACATTTTCTAATTCAACAAGACCTTTACCGTGTGGTTTCTTATCCAAATCTGTGTCAGATGTATCCTCATGGGCTTGAATTTGAGGCTTAAGACTCCGAAGCCAAAGTATGTAGTTTCCCGCAATGCGTGCGTTCGTTATACCTTTACTGGGTTTAGCTTGCCTGTCCCTGTCGAAATCAAGAAAAAGGGTTTAAGATGACTTACTTGTTGTATATGAGAAAAACTGAGCGGCAGCTTGACCACTGAAAATAACACCCACAAAAACCATGAAAAATTGGTTCAAAGAATACACTCTGAAAGATACAAGACGGCCGCCATACCTTTAAAGAAAACCATCAGTCTTCGTGCCAACCAACGATGTAGATGTATTCATAACGCTTACCAGAATCCGAGACACATCACAAGGAAGTCGATAGATTGTGCCAGGCTATACCAAAACATTGTCCATACCACATTCCTTATAGAATGTTTAACAATTCCGTTCATACTACCTTGGTACCTGGACAAAATTTGGGTCTCTAGTGCTAATGACGACACAGTTCGTATGGCCGATACCGCTTCATTCGCTAGGGCTGCGGTCTTCGAAAACCGTTCCCCCGTTAGGGATTCAAATTTGACTTCGAGTCGAATGCGCAGATATCCGCAGATCAACAACGGTGGCAAGCCGCCGCATATGGTGACCAGCGCCAACTTCCATCCAACTACGAGGGCGAGGATACAACTTGAGACCAGGTTAACAAGCACAATTATCATAAGGGGTAGGTTGAATCCTAAAAGATCCTGTAGTTGGGTCGGTTTGGTTGATAGATTTGATGCCAAAGCACCAACAGCATTCTCAGGCTTGTCAAAGAATTCCATGTCCTGCCGGAGGAGGGTGTTAAATATTTCCAAACGATATCGATGCGTGCATACCTATCAATATATGTATTAGTAACATCCATGGAGTAAGCGAACGTTATACCTTCATCGTAAAGTAAACTAACCTGGGCGATACGATTAGAAAACCATCCAAGGGTGAAATACGCAATCAAAATCCCAATTGCGACCATAAAAAACATAAGAGCGAAAAAGTTGCCTCTGTCTACCATAGATTGCCCCTCCAGGGTGAACACCGTTATTAAGCGAGAGAAAATAACTGCTTGCGCAGGGTACACCAGCCCTATCGTTTCATATATCAATAAAAGTTTCAGAGAAAAAAAAGAAGGGCATGATGTCGTGATGATTTAACACTTACCGCCCATAAAACAAGATATGACAACAAAAATATATTGAATCCCAACTCCTTCTTGCTCTTTCAAGAATATGTATAAACAATGCAACAGGCTGTACTTATTCTCAATAGAAGAATTTCCCGATCCAACACCGTTTGTCAGTGCAGGTTGAATTGAAGATCTCGTTGTCGTTGTTCGCATTAATGAGATGCCCTGTCCTGCTTCCGTAGGTTCATATCCCTCAAGAGCACTCTCCGGCTCATCGTCTTCTTTGCTACCAAGATCCTGAGCACCGACCAGTCGTGCATATACGCCACCGGCGGCAATCAATTCCATATGGGTGCCTTGTTCAACGACCCTGCCGGAGGCCATGACGGCAATGTTATCAGCGTCTTTAACTGTGGCAAGCTTATGAGCTATCACAATGGTGGTTCGATTTTCAGAAACTCGGTCAATGGCCTCCTGAACAGCCCTTTCCGCGCGCGGATCCAGAGCGCTAGTCGCTTCGTCCAAAAGAAGAACCTTTGGATTGGAAATGACGCTTCTAGCAATGGCGATGCGCTGTTTCTGTCCTCCAGATAGCATACTCGCCCGCTCCCCGATTTCCGTGTGGTATCCCTAGCAGCTGTGTTAGTCAAGATTTGGATAAAATTTTGTGACAGCTCTTCATACCTTCGGGAGTCCCTCGATGAAGTCATGGGCATTTGAGAGCTTGCAAGCTTCGATCACATATTGCATTTTCTCCGATTCTGACAGGTCCGCTATGTCTGTTCCGACTAGACCGTGGCAGACATTTTCGAACACTGTGCCACTGAATAAAACGGGTTCCTGGGGGAGGTTAGCTCGAGTTCATTTGGGTTGAAGACCAAGGGGGTCAAATACTTGTTGAACAAGCCGAATCTGCGTTCGGAGCCAGCGAACATTGAGTTGATCAACACTGCAGCCGTCGAGAGTCAACGTGCCACTCGACGGGTTATACCAACGTTCGAGAAGGCCGATTATAGTACTTTTTCCACACCCACTGGGACCAACCAGTGCGGTGGTTTTTCCAGCAGGGATTCGGAGATCTAACCCACACAGAACGGGATAAGCAGGCCTTGAGGGGTAGAAGAAATGAACATCCTTGAGTTCGATATTGCCGTTCAGCTTGTTTGGCCGGAGGCCATCTTCCGATAAGGGGTCAATTTTGGAATCTCGATCTATGGTTCTAAACAGCT